ATAGGAAGTATAAGATTTAGAATACAAAAGGAAAATAAATTTTTAAAATTTAGAATTATACTATTGGTGTATACAAGTTAGGAAGTATAAGAAGAAGAATTGTAAAAAAAAATAAAAATTAAAAGATCAAAAAATTTAAAAAATATTAAAATGACAAAAATACCCCTGAACCAAAAAGCATGTGAAAAATAGATTTCCGTCACTATTTAACGGCCAAAATTAACAGAATAATCTGAAATGGATTAAAACTTTAATAAGGTAACCCGTGTTACAAATAAATTTAATTGATAACCTAGAGTGAAAATATATTAAAGGTTGATGACTTGTTTTGAGGTTCACTCTATATATAAACGTCAAGTTCTATCTATACACTTATAAATAAGCATTAAGCATAAAATATCTTTGCATCAAAGTCACTGCATGAACAAACTTTGAAGCCATACCATGGATGTTTCTCAGGGGGGAGTTTGGAAAAAATTTCACTGGGGCACATTAACACTATCAAGTATTAACATCATGTTTCTTTTTTATGAAATAAAATATGCCCATGAAAATTACTCTTGTATTAAATAAATATTTGTCTCATACATTCTTTTTTAGTAAGTTAATTGGAGACTAAATTTTCCTAAGCATATGCCACTAACTATGATGAATAAAAGTAAATTTAAAAAATTGCAAATGATTTTCCTGCACTTAATTTTTTTTCCTTGAAAAGAAGTCAAATTCTAATTAAGATATATAACCCTTTTTTTACTATGGGAAAATTGGTGGGCTTTGTGAATTTTTAAACATGGAATAATAATGATTTTTTAAAGCCCAATCATATATTAATTCTCCAACCCAAGTAATTCCCACAATTAATTATAATTTTTTATAATTTTAGAACAATAAATTTAATAATATATTTATAATTCTCTATGGGTGGGCCAACTCTAGTGGGGGCATGTGCTCCACACTGTCTCCGCCCCTATGTTTCTATGAGGTTAATTGGTATTCCTTCTCTTCCAGTGATTAAACTAGCCACAAATATTCACTGGATTGAGTACTTATAGAATTTTTTTTCAAAATAGTTTATAATTTATAAGGTATTTCTTTGAAAAAATAGCTGACCGGAAGGTCGGATGACCCTCTTTGCACCCCTAATTCCTGTTGTTGGTTTTATATCCAAAAATTAATTAATACATGGATTGGAATTTATATTTATTGTCAACGTGTTTTAGGAACCTAAAAGATCACACACAATAGGACAATTAATTGAGATAAGTTAGGTGATTAATTTAATTAATCACAATGATTTATTAAATAAATAAGATATCGGTTTTATGATCATTACTGAGACCCGTAATCTTATATAAATAAGTCACAGACACAAGTTTTAGAATTAATCTGCCAGTTTCATAAACCCTAGTTATAATCCAGAGAACTAGCTGTCATGCCTTGTCTGTGTCCGAAGAAGAATTGTTCGTGTGGATATTGTTAGAGGCTGGACACTTAAACAGCTTTGTGATCAAGCTTCTCCATGTGTTGATCGTGATTGCAGGATTAGCTGTTAAAGGTACATAATTCTGAACTGTTTATATTATTCATAGATTATAAAGTAATCTTGGTATAAAATCAGACTGTGTTTATTCCGCTGCGTTAAAATTTATCTACTTACAATTCCGTCTTTGTTTTCTCATGAAAAAATAGTTTACTTTGTTGAACTAAATTAATACGATAAAGTAATTATTTTTTTTAGAAAAGAAGAAGGGAGATGCAGTGTGGCTGATATTTTGTATTCCGTTACGGTGTCCGAAGTAGAAGGACTTCTACGATTGTGTAGGTATTATTCCATGGTCATAACATGACATAGTTGATATTTCTACTAAAGAAATATAATAGTTACCTCTCCCACAATTCTTACCGATGCTTTTGGAGGTCTAAATGTTACCACTCCAAATGCGTCAACTATTTAGCTTGGTAACATTTCAATAGTTCTGTTGAAGTTTAGGATATTTTTGATATACGATCTGTCTAAATATGCAGATTATTCAAATAAATAAATATTTGATTCACAACGTACGGTTCTTTATTATTATTATTATTATTATTATTATTATTATTGGTATTATTATTATTATTATTATTATTATTATTATTATTATTATTATTATTATTGAAAAAGGTACGGTTCTTTCTTGATGTAAATAGGCATGTCCACGATTACGGTTCTAACCGAAATCGAATCGACGGTTACGGATCTATAATTGAAACCGCAATAGATGGTTTTAGAAACCATAACCTAACCATATGATGGAGGTTTGGTTATGGTTCTAATATTCAAAAAATCAAAAACCGACGGTTCTAACCGTTGATAACCGGCATGTAAAATCGTCGATTCTTAATTTTTATTTAAAAAATAAAAAAATTATGATATACATGTAACCAATAGATAATTTTGGTATATTGTGTCGTAAAATTATTTTATTAACATGAAAATGTATATATACTCCATTTCTCCGTTTTTCATCTCTGTTGGAATTGCGTGGCCAAAAATACAAAATCATCCCATGTTTTTGGCCCAACTCATGAATCATGATTGATATAGGCAATTTATCCAGTATACCCAATGGCACCATATTCTCCCTCCTATTTTTTTACACCTACTAGTCCTTACTACACTTTTTTCCACTTTTCTAAATAACATCTTATAATTTATAGGTTTAGTTCCTTTGATTTTTTTTTCGCTCTCCTTTAAAAAACATCTCTAATCTTTAAATGATCATATCTCATGATCCGTGAAGAATTAGAAAACGTATTACAGATGAAAATTATAGTACTCGTCGAGATCTATCCAACAAGATCCATGTCGAATATTTTTCTGAGTTTAAAAATGACTAAATTTCGATGGACATAATACGATGGATATCTAGTTTAGAAAGATGGATAACCAGTTTAGTTTACATTAAGATTCTTGTATTGCATATATCTCTTGATCCGTAAAGAATTAGAATACGAATTGTGCATGAAATTTATAGTGATCGACGAAATCTATTCGATAAGATCCATGTTGAATATTTTTTTTGAACTTTAAATGCATTTAAATTTTACAGGCAGAAAAGAAGAAATGTGTTTTTCGTTTTTCTTTGAAAAATGATTATCAGTTGTGTTCCTACTGATTATCCAACCGGTTTGGACTGATTATCCATTCTGTTTGTACTTGTTATCCAATTTTTGACATTCACTCTTCAAAAAAAAAAAGATAGAAAGAAAAAATTATTGGATAAGTGTTGCAAACAATTTGGATAATTAATAGAAATTAATAGGATAATCAGTGCAACACGTTGGATAATCAGTACAAAAAAGTTTGACAATCATTTTCATGAAAGAGCTAGGAAACAAATACTGGATAACCACCATAAAGAAGTTGGATAATCAACATGAACACATTGGATATCCAGTTTAAGAAGATGGATAACCAACTTATTTTGAATTAAGAAGTTGGATAATCAATATGAAGTGGATGGATATCCAGTACAAGCGAGTTGGATATCCAGCACAAACAAGGTGGATATGGATACAAACCCGTTGGATTACAACTACAAAACAAGTTGGATAAACATATAAACTAAATTGATGGATATCCAATATAAGCGAGTTGGATATCCATTTTAAACAAGTGTGATATCCATTACAAACAAGTTAGATAGACATACAAACCAAATGGATAAGTAGTACAAACAAAATGGATAACCAGTTCAAACTAATTGGATAATCAACATGAACACAATGGATAACCAATTTAGAACAAGTTGGTTATCTATCTTTTAAAACTGGATATCCACCTTTATTCTGTCTATCAGAATTAAGTCATTTTTAAGCCCAGAAAAATATTCACTATGGATCTTGTTGGATAGATCTCGACGAGTACTATAAATTTCATATGTAATTTGTCCACAAATTCTTCACGGATTGGGAGATATGCTTGTTGAAAGATTAGAGATTTTTTTTTGGAAGAGAGAAAAAAATGACATGGACTAAACTTACAAAATATAGAAAGATTGATAAAAAAGTACAATAAAGACTAAAAATAAAAAAATAGGAAGGGGTACCGTACACGATACCTCCGATATACTGGATACAGACTATTGATCGAATCAAATTACCCTTTCTTTCCTTAATCCTTTGATCACCTTTTTTTTTTTTTTTTTTTTTTGAAAGAGTCCTTCGATCACGTTATGAACTAACTCCAAAATATAACTTTGAACCTTTATTTTCAGAATAAATGATACTCACAATATTTGAACGTAGTCCAAACTTACACAAGAATGATGAATGTCATTAGGATCGTTTTTACTTATCTTCATTTAAAATCTAAGTTTAGGATATGTTTGTCCTATTTGAAAGTTCTCTTCTCTTATCTCTCTCTCTCTTTAATTCATGTTTGAATTTTTATTTTTTAATACAATTTGTTCTAAAATCTAAACATGAATTCAAATCGGGCAATTATTTCGGGAGGAAATGGTCAACCTAATCAAATAATGGGCTAAAGCTTTCCTATTTCCTTCAAAATACTATTGGGTTGATTTGATACGAGTCAAGTCAACAATTCCCTTGGGCCGACTTGGTGACAAAAATGTTTGAACCAAACCCAACAATTATCTCATTTTTCTAATAAACCAAAGACCAACTGCTTACAATTTATTGGGCCACAATATAATCTGAATATGACTGCTGAACACTATCATCCACCAACACCTCACCTGCCAAATCCTCCTCCCTTTTGATTTTTTTTTTTTTTTGTTTCTATATAAAATAAAATAAGATAATTATTACTATAAACAAGGTGAAAAAGAAAGAAAAAAGGATCCTTATCACATAAAATATCAAATATCTTTACGTTGCATCCGGAACAATTTTGTGCTTCAATATCTAGGCACTCAGTCTATATATAGCAGTAGCACGGTTAGAAAAAGGGGGTGGTAATTGATATAAGTCAGTAATTGATATTGGAGAACAAAATGGGGATAAGTGAGAAGCAAGAAGCATTGGTGAAGGAATCATGGGAGCTTATGAAGCAAAATGTTCCTCAACTCAGTCTCCGTTTCTTTACCTTGTAAGTGTGTGTTCGTCTCATAACAATTATCGAACTAAAATAGTTATAGAAACACGACTATTATTTTGAAATACATATATGTTTACTACTCTCTTTCCTTCATATATAATCTCTTTCCTATTTGAATTAATGGTTGGAGCGCATAAATTAAATATTGAAGGATACTGGAGATAGCACCAGCAGCTAAGGGGATGTTCTCATTTCTCAAGGACACAGATGAAATTCCAGAGAACAATCCAAAGCTCAAAGCACATGCTGTCAGAGTTTTCAAAATGGTCAGAGTTCCTTCCCCTTCGATTGCTTTCATAAAGAAGGCCTTCTTTCATGGCTTTTTTTTTGTGGCTGAATTCAATTGAAAAATTTTTATGGGTTTATCGTTTATGTTTCAAGAAAACATGTAATTATTCTTAGAAAGTTTGTGTTAATAAAAAGTGGTATGGATCAATTAAAACTGAAAAGAAAAAAGTTTCTCCCAAAATAAAACAATGACATTTTTTTGAGTAGACAGTAGAGATCCATTTTCGTTTGTTTACCTTAACTTGCAACGTTAACTTGTTACTTTTTTTCTTGATATCTGAAGACTGTAATTGTGTAATTTTGACGTAAACCCGTTTGCACATGATTGTGACTAGACTTGCGAGCCAGGATTTGCACATAATTTTGGACAATTAATAGGAGTATTTGTTTAATGCCATTAAGTCAACATTGTTACTTCAGCTTTGCACATGTGTCACGGAAGTATCATCTTCAACTTGTACAAAGTTAGCTTGTATATCCTTTCTCCAGAACCTCTCGTCATCGGAAAGGCCACCTGAATCCTCTTTTATTTTATTTTAATTTTTTTTTCCTTTCTATTTTTAGTCTGCATATTCTGTTATTTACTCCCGTCTTAGTTAACTTTGTTTAGTACAAGAAAGTGAACTACGAATACGGAATGAGTATATAATTGTGTTAGAAAGAAATTTGAAAAGGCTGATTTTGGCATGCCAGACTTGCGAATCAGCAGTGCAGCTCCGGGAAAAAGGAGAAGTGGTGGTTGGGGATACTACTCTCAAGTATTTGGGATCCGTCCATGTAAAGAAAGGAGTCATCGACCCTCATTTTGAGGTACTTTTTCTTTTCGAAATAATACGATCCACGTTTCTATTGAATTTGCTTTTGGTTAAGAGTAACTAACTAGCTACACTGTGTTCACTTTTTCTCCTAACCGCAACATTGCATTTACAAATACGCAGGTTGTCAAAGAAGCTTTGCTAAGAACAATCAAAGAGGCAATGGGGGAAAGCTGGAGTCAGGAAATGAATGACGCCTGGGGAGAAGCCTATGATCATTTGGCCTCCGCGATTAAGGCTGAAATGCACGCTGAAGTTGCTTCCGCTTGATTCTTCTATCTGTTGTAATCAAACATGGAACGTGTGAAGTTGCATTCTCATTTCACATTCTCTGCTCTGCTTTGGAATAACATATAATTGTAAGAACTTTTAGGTGAGTACTGGTGCTTTGTTAAAAAGAAACTCTCAAGCTTTCGTATTTTTGTCACCCAATGTTTGTTATTGGATAGCCTTTTCATGTCACTGGAACTGGCAAAGGAGTTCAAACCAATGAATGGGACTTGGAAGATGACACAAAGGGAAACCTTATGCCATTTCTATCATCCAGGACAACTTCTAAACTTTACGTCTCACACCTCATGTCTCGTCTTCACTGTAAACATGCAGAACCAACATTTATGTACTACTGATCTCTCGGAAAATTGCTTTTAATATGATGGATGAACTGATGATGAGCATATCAAAGATTTCGTGATATAATACCAGACGAAGAATCAAACAGTTAGCAAGAAAAGGCAAGATTTTCATTAGAAATCACCATGAACAACCAAAGCATTGCCATAAGTTGCTCAGACCTCAGAGCACCAAATCAAACAGTCGAATCAACATTGGGACTGGACTTTTTTGAAAAGAGGTGGCTATATTAACATCAACCAAACTCACCTTGGCCTGAAGGAAAGAACATGGAGCAATGGTCACTGCCTTACTGCGGGAAAGAAATAACAATGATGAGAGTGACGTAATTAAAAGACTCAGGTGATTATTCATTTGAGATGAGAGAAAAGAGCAACCCAAAAAAAATTAATCTTTCTCTATCAGTGACGAATACTAAAGCTACGTAAACACTACTTCCAGAAGAGAAAAGAGTTAGCAATTCAATCCAAGTCAGCTAACCTGGCATAAAAGAATCTGATGTTGGCATACTGGAGAGTGGAGTACGACCTATTTACCACCAACCATACCTAAACAGGCCGTGGTTACCGGCGAACTCCCTTTATACATTATATGTTTGATGATAAAGCAAAGCTAACCCACAGAATCAGCTAAATCTCCTCATCACACAAAAACAATCAAATAAAAATGCAAAGGGATAGAAAAGTGAAGGAAAGCAGATAAAACACCCGATACAAACACAGTTATAAAACTGGCATAACCATTGCCTCCAAAGTCTGCATTTACTTAACATATAAGGATGTACATGGAAACAGAAAAAAAAAACCCCTTCTGATAATATGTTTGCCCATCACTTACGTACTAGTATAATCATTAAGTAACAATGTTCTGCATTGCTCAAAATCAGTAACGCATAACAAAAATGATGAACCACATTTATAAATGGAAGGTTTTACACTACAGTTCATTTCTCTTCCCATCATTCAGTACTTCTTCTAAGTTGCAATATGCAATCTACTCACTTTCATCTAACCTTCCGTTTTAATATTAAGAACAGAATCCAAATAATTTTTAAAACAGCATTTCTTCCACAATCCCATGTGAGGCTCACAACAGTCGAATACACTCACTTCAAATATTGCTAGTCTTTAGAAAACAACAGTTCATGCTCAGCTTAACTCCATTTAGACCAAGATAAAGACAAAAACAGTAGATATAGAAAAACTTTTCAAAAAAGATATAGTAGCTTATTAAAACATAGACAAAGCTATAGTTAACCAGAAACACACACACCATAAAAGAAAAAAAAAAAAAACAGAGACAAAGCCATAAGAATTGCATGGAGGACAAAGTTTTGACACATCAGCAAACAAACATGCCAGTCTCAAAGGCCAATTTTTATATGCGAGTTAAAGTAAGTGCAAAGTAAGTGCAAGCAATCCTATAGTAAATGTTAAGAAATATGTTTATTACCTTCTGGGGGCCAGCGCTAAAACTTACAACCCCTTCACCAAATCAATTTAGTGCAGCTTGGACAGACAGCCTGATGCTGATGGTAGGTATAGACAGGAGCCACGCAAATTTTTAGATTGCAAACAGAGAAGAAACTTTGTGAAAGACCAAGAACAAATAGTAAGTCTGTGAAACAAATAAAGGAATTGTATTGAGGTTAATCTTTCACTACATTGTAATCTCCTACAGGAATAAAAGAATTACTTCCTGATCAAGCTAGTTGTATGCACGAGCATGGCATGCTAGTCATGCCTCCAGTAATGCCATCATCCAATTAATCATACATCTAACCACCTAACTCTACTAAACATAAACTTGAACCAGATTTAATTTCTTGACAATAACCAACATAGCAACTTCTCAGCTGTAGCTGATCATTCACCTTATCATCTCAAACATTCTTCTTTTGCATGATATTCAAAGTATATCGAAAGAGACAACAGATAAGGAGAGGCAGTCAAACTTATAAGACTATTAAGTATTAACAGATGCCTTAAATCTTTTCCATATACATTTGCGCACTCCAAGAACATAGCAGGCCAACCATCAGAAAATAATGGTTTCCCGTTCACTTGTGGGGTGAACGAAGTGAAAAAAGTCAGCTCTGACTGATTTCCGCACAGCGATGAAACAACTAAAGCGAGGGTAGCAACCTGATTACCTAATTTATATACTTGTTTGACAATTAAAACTATCTGATGCGGGCAAATTCAGCAAATGGCTCTCTTTTTGTTACTTGTGAAGACAGCTTGCCTGCAACTCGAGGATCTCCAAACACATTCCAAATTCTGAGAGTTTCATCTGCAGATGCAGTAGCAACCGAGCATCCATCTGGACTCTGAGCTGTACAGAGCACTCTTGCGGTATGACCCTGAAGCTCTGATATCTTGACCATGGAAGGATAATTCCAAAGTGTCAGCTGATTGTCATTCATACCATGAGAGCTTAAGAGCTCATGCTCGTGTCTGTTCCACAGTAATGAACAGACCTGCGAACCAGAAGTGACAGAGCTTACACAGGCGCCAGTCAAGGAATTCCAGAACTTGATCGAGTGATCACCAATTCCACCACCAGACGCTAAAAGATAACTTTGGAATGGGGACCAGGCAAGAGCTTTGACTGCTGCCGTATGGTCTTGAAAGCGGTGAACCCACTGATTTGAAGCACCAGAAGACAAAGAAGAAGTAGCCCTTGAAACGCTCCAAATGTGAACCAAATTGTCATTACCTCCACTAGCTAAGTACTTTCCGGATTCAGACCATTTCAACCCACAAACCTCCCTACTATGCCCTCTGTAAGATCCAACAATGTGAGACCTAATTCTGACATCATTGTTTATAATCATACCATCTTTTCCTCCAGATGTCAAAATCTGATCATTCCAATCAAGAGAACCAACTCTTGTTCTGTGTCCTTCTTGGAGAATCCTCAGCAACCCACTGGACTCAGAGTCCCGCAATTGTATAACTGAATTGTTTAACCCCACAGCAAGATGTTTCCCGTCTAGTGACCATCTGACACTTGTTACAGGTCCAAAGTCATTATCGAATGTAACAAACTCAGTTACAGATCCAGTAGAAGCATCCAAAAGATATACGGAATTCCCAAGAGCAATGGCAATGACATTGCGAATGCTCCAGTCCAATATATTTAGATAAAAGTCATCTACAATATCAGGCGCATCCAATGCTTTCTCAAAAGATCGGGGAATCTTCCTCCTCGCTGACTTTGGCTGGGTAACAGGAGACAAATGTTCTTCAAGAATCCGAACTGAAGGCTCTGGCTTATTCTTAAAAGCAAGAATTCTTCTCCCGTTCATATTAAATGCATCAGCGAGTAGCTTTCTGTAAGCAACATTGGATGAAGAGCAAGATGGAGTGCTTTCACTTTTAAGTTTTCTCCCGGAGAGCATACTACGAGCGAAATCAAAATCCATCGCCGCACGATTGGGTATAAATCTATCCAACTGCAATTACAAAACAAAAAAAAAAAAAAAAAAAAAGAGTGAGAAACCAATGAAAGATTTCTACTAGTTTTGCTAGTTGTAGAACCCACACTAGAAAATCAACCACATAATATTGAATACACGAGTTTCACATCAAACAATCGATTCAAAACCCCCAAAAAAGCAATACAATACAAGATACTGAAAGACCCCAAACCCTGCAAATTTCTCAAATAAGATAAACAATCTGGCTATTAATTAAGAAATCACGAAACCGGAAAACAAAATGACGCTGAAAAGATTCATCCTAATGCCGAATCGAAGAAGCGAAAATTTAGAGACAAACAAGAACGGAAAGAAAACCGAAGAAGCGACAGATAGACTAAACGGCCACGAAATTGATGAGGAAAAACAGAAAGAAAACAGAATTAAAAGAAGCCCAAAATAGATTCAAAACAAACGAAAGTTTTGAGGGATCAAACAAAGGGGGAAAAGAATTACAAAATCCGATAAACCTAGCAAGAAAACCAGAGAATTAGAGAGACATGGTGAAAGGGGTAATTTAAACTCACATTTTCGTACTCCGAACGGCTTCGCTTTGGGAAAGAGTAGGAGGAGGAAGGATCCATGGATGAACCTGCAATCAGGATCTGGAATTCACATTCGCTCGCCGACCAACTGCCAGAAAAGATCTTACACTTTGGGAACAGTGCCGTCTGTTCTTTCCTAAAACGCTTTTTCTATTTTCCCTCGCAAACGGGAAATTCCCTCGTATCGGAGTAATTAATTTATGTGGAAGACATCAATATTTATATTTTTATTTTTTTAAAAAAAAAATCTTTAAACGAAGTATTTTAAAAAGATTATTAGTACAATATTAATAATTAATTTTTGTGGAAGGCATCAATATTTATATATATATTTCTTTCATACATCTCTTATTGATATCGGTTTTTATTTCATACTCCCTCCGTCTCATAATTATTGTCCACTTTGCCCAAAAAATTTTACCAACAAAATTATTGTCCAATTTGACTTTTTATGAATCAAGTTACACATTTGTCTTTAGTAAAAAACATTATCCATAAAATCTTAGTGGTTAAACAATTGCTTATGTAGGGGTACATCCGGTTGTTTAAGGTAAAATATAGTTAAGTTTGACCAAAAATAAAATCTTTCATTTTAGTAAAACTGGACAATAATTATGGGATGGAGGGAGTACGTCTTATTACTTTTCAACAAACATATAAATTTTATAATTCTAATACTACAATAACTTTTTAAATAATCTAAGTGAAGAGATTTAACGAAAGATAAAACAATATATTATATTGTATTTACACATCTACTTCGATGGTTCTTAATAGCCTCTTCTTCTTTTATTTTCTTTAACATTTATGATGTGAGTGTAAGGTAAGTGGTGCCTTTTCCTTTTCCTCAAATTTTTTTTTTTTTTTTGGTTTTTGTAACTTGCTGGGAAATTACCTTTGATGTTAATAACTATTCCCTCCATTTTTTTTTATGTCTTTCTAGAGAATTTATCAAAACCAAGAAAACATTAAATAATGTAGTTAAAATACAAAAAATCCTTATTTATTTTCTATACAATTCATCAAAAACCAATAGAAATTCATTATAAATATTGTTTCATTTCTAATGAGGAGTAATATTAGTAAAAAAATGGTCAAATGTGCCTCGATTTTTGAAAATGACATATATTTAAAAAAATTCATCAAACCTTAAAACGACATATATTTCAAAATGGAGGGAATAATATTTACAGGCACACTGAACATTTAATAACAAAAAAAAAAAAAACAATATTGTTAGTATGGAAAAAAGTATTATTTAATTCCAACGCACCCATGGAAGAAGCAAAGGAAGAGGATCCAAGTTAAGATCAATTCAATTTTCAACATTCAACCATCAAACTGAAAAAGGATTTAAGTAATTAACATTCGCATAATCTCCAATTAAATGTGCCATATTTCACTTCGATCCCAGGTTTTATTTAATTAAGGATGAAATGGTAGCCGCCGAGTTGACTTTTTTCAATTGATAGTGCTGCTATTTAGGTTCGAGTCCATGAATGTAATGTTCGAAGATCAATCAGAGAGGTGGAGGAAAACTGAAATGGGAATAAGTGAGAGGGAAGAAGCTTTGGTGAAGGAGTCATGGGAGGTGATGATGCACAATATCCCTCAACTCAGTCTTCGTTTCTTAAATTTCTTTAATTTCCTTGTAAGTTCTAATTTGATATACTCTTTCTGTTTCGAAAGTAAATTTTTATTTTTAATTCATTTTGTATTAAGAAAAAAAAAATTCAAACTGAATAATAATTTGGAGACGGAGAGAATACTTCGTTTCTATCATATAAAAATTTGTATTCGAGTCAGATAAGTCATTTTTTATTTTTTATTTACGTGGTTCTCTTTAATTACATTTCGAATAAATGACAAATGCAAAAAAATTAAATTAAAGGATGCTGGAGAATGCACCAGCAGCAAAGGCCATGTTCTCATTTTTAAAGGACACGGATGAAATTCCTGACAACAACCCAAAGCTCAAGGCTCATGCCATCAAAGTCTTCAAGATGGACAGAGTTTCCATTCTTCAAAATATATATATATATATATATATATATTCAATTATTTTGTAGCTTCCATGATTCGTAGCTTTTTTGTGAAATGGCTAAAGTATGCAATATACATATGTAGACAGGTGAATCAGCAGTGCAGTTGCGCGAAAAAGGCCAAGTAGTAGTTTCGGACACTAGTCTCAAGTATTTGGGATCTGTTCACCTACAGAAAGGCGTTCGTGAGCCTCATTTTGAGGTATACTTAAATTAGAGTTGATTTAGACTTTTTTTTTTTTAATCTTTTTGATCTTGACTTTGTGATTACGACGATGATACACGTATCATATCACCCAGTTCTGTCACGATTCTTAAGTTTTGATGGGACTTTCCCTTTCCCCCAAATTTTTATATAATGAGATTGTGGATCTAACCAATATATATGATATATATATCAGTCTCTGCAATCCACTTACAGGTGTGGTCAAACAAACTTTGCTAAGGACAATGAAAGAGGCAATGGGGGGCGGGGAGGAATGGAGTCAGGAAATGAATGGCGCATGGGGGACAAGCCTTTGATCATTTGGTCACTTCAATCAAGGCTGAAATGCGTGCTCAAGAGCGTGATCTTCCTTTGATAGTAGTATAACACTATAATCCATAAGTCGAAAAAACATGCTTGGTTATTTATATATATTGTTTGAGTTCCGTAAATCTTGTAGACTGTATTAAATATTTATTTTTCTATAAATTTTTTGATAATTAATTATTACATTAATTTTATTTTAATTATCCATTTGTTATATTGTTTTGATTCAATAAAATGAATGAGCCTACACGGCCAATATTTTAAAAATGATACTCTAGACCGGGTGTAACATAGACGTGAAGAGAAGTAATGACGAAATGGATAAAAATGGGTCCACGAGATACAACCAATACGTGGACATTCGAAACCTCCTAAGTGCCCCAATTGTTTGTTTAATACTTTAATTATCAATTTCCGCAATAATTTTTTTTCGCTTTTAACTCCTATGTTCCAATCAATGGAACCAGTGGAATTCCGCCCTCATGATTGAAAATGTTAGTATTGATACATTATGTATATATAGTATAACTATGGATACATAGTTACAATTGTTACCTTATTTATGTAAACATTAATAATTATGTGTATCTGATATCCATTAAAACAAAATCTATATTCTCATTTAATATTTGGAAATTAGGAAATAATTTGCGACAATTATATACAATTATGATATGAAATGCAACTGTGGAACACTTCACATTGTTGCTACACAATATTTTATCTCGTAAAATAACATATTCGCATATTTATCTGTCATGTATAATTGTAACACAATACATTTGATTTACAATTGACTCTCAGTACCTCTATTAATCATAATTGCCTTTCATCAATACTACTTTATTATGTTTGAACTAATAAAGTTTGAATTAATTAACTAGTACATTATTAGCATAAGAGAAATTTATTATGTCATATTCTAACCAAGAGATGATACAACGTGGATTATCATATTCACAGGCGGATTTACAATGGGGGCCATAGAAGCCTTGGCCCCCACTAGCCCACCATAAGTCTTTTATAATATATATCTTTTATTATTTTAAATAAATAAAGAATTAGAACATTTATATTTTATGCAATTTTTTACTTTTATTTTTGCTTAATTTACATTCGATTTATTGCATATTGACTTGATTAAATATGATTAACATCTGAAATGAATTTGTACCGATATGCATTATATGATTAATAAAATCAAATAAAAGTTACAAGTTTTTGAATTATAATTATACTAATGATGCATAAATTCTTGTAATAAAATGGTCAAATATATTTAAATCATTCAATTTGAATAAATCTTTCTTGTTCCATAGTTTAGATATTCATCGTGTGTTTGAAGGATTCATTATTATTATTATTATTATTATTATTATTATTATTATTATTATTGTTGTTATTATTATTATTATTTTGTGTACATGTATATGCATGGTTAAAAGTGTTTTTTATTAAAAAAAATTAATCCTTAAAAATGTTCTGATTTTGGTTATTGATGCAATAATTGTACAAAGAGTTTTAAGATATAAACACAATAATATACATGTTCGTGTATGAAATACGTAACTCTTGAATGATGTCTAGCTTAATTTTATATTAAAATAATATTATAGGACGTATTTATGATATGAAAGTGGTTTCAAAAAACAAAATAAGAAAATTCATTGTGATGAACAGTAATACAATGATGTTATAAAATTCTTTTCGCTAATATATACATGCATGGCCCCATTAAGAATTTATTCTAAATCCGCTACTAATTATGATAAATAACCTCCTATATTTCATATGCTGCAAAATAAACCAAAAAATCAGTCACAAAATTTACTTTCCAAAACTCAAGCTTCATTACCACCTCCCAACTTCGTTTCAGCAATAAAGAGATTGTCCTCGTTTCACCGAAACTAATATTTATGATTAAAGAGATTGTCTTCCGCGGGGAGAATCAATATCCAGTCACCAACCTCTCCAGCAACCACCATTAAGGCATTAACGAGTATTACTACAAAATAAACTCGATATGAGGTTTGCGTATGAGTCATGTAAAAGTTATCTTCTGAACATTTTTGTCAAAAGTTCAATTCCTGAACATGGAATGCTTCAATAATTTTGTACGATGGAATGCTTTTACTCGGTCTTATTTACATTTTTATTTCTAGTATAACGTAAACTAAAATTAAAAATTCAAACAAGTCTATCATTTTGGAATAGGTGGAAAATATATTATCAAATTTCCCTCACACATCCTTTTCAATCAAACCTATTTCTCTCATTGTTTTGGAAGTCAGATTTTTTTCTTTTTCTTTTTCTTTTTTAAAAAAGTCAATTTAATGAAAGAAATAATAATGAGGTGGGATGCTTCCTCCTTTAGTTCCATCATATCTCTTTTATTATTTTGTTCTTCTCGTACCTACGTACGTACTTTGTAGATTATGAGAATATGTACATATGTACGAAAGATATGTCACGAGAAAAGATTAAAAATAACTCAATTCCCAAATAACAATTAATGATCAAGGCAGTGAAAATTTATAATGATTTTGGTATATAACGACTAATGTATGATTCAAGCATTGATTAATTTTGAAGAGTAAGTTAAAATATTCATCACTTGAACCGTCAACGAGAAATTATCATATTAATAATCATTAATATAAAAAATCACTATTGATCTTTCACAGTATATCATTTCCCTTTTTATAAAAGGCCCCAACATCCCTCTCTCCACAAAATGAAAGTGAATTAAAAGTAACTTGAATGGCAAAACACTGGCCACCGATCATTGATGATATCATCGTTCTCATGTAAGCAACTCCATAGTTGGCCTTCAATTCCAAAGTGTTTATATATATATATATATATATATATATTTCAATGTTACAAAAGTAAAAAAAGTAATAGTAGCATGAACGTGGTTCATGAATCATGATCATGATCTATGAGTCTATTCAATGGGCAGACAATAGGTGACAAACACCGAAGTGCAATTTTCCTCTTTGTTTTGCATGCTTGATCATGAATAAATTACTGCATAAAATGTGCTCACCAATATTGTGACATAGAGCAAATATAGGTAGGAGAACTAATGGCTGCTATAAAACTATGTATACAAATAAGGTCTTTGGAGCTCAAAGTCAAGATGCGTGCTTTGCCATAATCGATCACGTGTGTTTTCATTGGATGCTTCACAGAAATAGGAGTTACCACTTGGGATTTTAAAATTAATGGAGTCTTATGAAAAGTTCTGTCACTATATGTGGTTAAGGAAAACAAATTAAAGAAAATTATATAACAACAAAGATGGAGTAATATTTTACTATTTATTATAGGTGGCTGATGATGCTTTCGAAAATCCAGAAAAAAATTAAGTAGGGAAAAAAAAAAAAAGAGAGAGAACTACAAATCGATCACGATTGATGTATTTTTCAAAAGATTTGCTATTCCCTGCACCCTAGTAATGATTACTTCTACGGTTGATATCCATTTTTTATAATCAAATTTTAGTTTAAGAATGTGACTTGTGTTAAAATGAAACATGTGGGTACGTAATACTTAAGCAGCCATGGAGGGAAAATGCAATGGCCATCTTTAGCGTAATTTCTTCCTATCTTTCTTTCTTTTTTCCCCGACTATTGTAGAAGAATGGATTTCAATTTTGTAAATGGAAGGAACAAAGAAATCACACAGAAAGAAAAGGAAAAGAAAAAAAAAAAAAAAGGTGGCACAAAATGTGAAATTATGTTCTTAAGAAAATTAAAGTGACTCGACTTTGAATTGTAGGGGACACACACATATGCAAAAACAAAAGAGAGAGCAGTAGCATATGTAGCACAAATTGTGGAATTGAATTCCAAAGCTGATTCTTTGAACTAAGGAAAATCAACAAAATCACATGGAGTCTTAAGTCTAACCGAGGAAAATAGGGCTACCAATTCATTGACATTTCGCAGCATAATGTCGAGACTTGAGACTGGTGTGAATTAGAACTCAACTAATTGCATGAATTCGTTTCTTTGACCAGATTTGGGGGCGTAACCAATGAATGTACGTTGGTTAACGATAAGTCAACATGGCACGGGGTAGACCTCTAGAACCTTCACTCATTTGCTCCAAAGGATTACAAAAAAGTTTCTTGTTTTGGTTTGTACAAAAAAAAAAAAGCATGCTCGCCCCCGAAATAAACATGATACTGTCGATGTTTCTATGATGCCTTAAAATTTGTTTGGTTATACGGTTCTTTTATCATCATCACAAAAAAAAAAAAAAAACTCTCCGTCCTCTCAAAATAATTATTCTATTTGAAATTACATTTCTACTAATAATTTGAACTAAAAATAAAAATCTAAACTCAACAATTGTTTCGAAACAGGAAGAGTATACTAGTAATTAATCCAAAAATTTGAACCAAGTACGGGATCATATGCGGTATATGTACCCGCAGAGAAACACTGTGTGTCTTTTGTAACAAAATCATTTATATGTCTCTCTTCCGTCAGCGACTTTATGCATCCAATTATTAGGCTTTCATGAATATATGCAATTCCCAATGGCGGAGCCAAAACTTATTAAATTGCTGAATCAAATTATATTTTTTTTAAAAAAACAAAACTAGTACTCCCTCCATTCCAAAATAAGTGTCGTTTTAGCAAAATGGAGAAGTTTCAAAATAAGTGTCGTTTTCGGATTCCAATGCATTTTTTTTCAAAAATTTTTAAATATACCCTCAAAAGAAATAATATTATTGGTGAGCATTTATTTTAATGGGGTTAGTTGAGGATATTCTAGTAATTTAGCTATCATATTTAATGTTTTCTTAAATTATGTGAAAACTCTAGAATGACACTTATTTTAGAACGGAAGGAGTAGTAGGGGGCACAAATACGAAAAATGATAATAAGAGAATCATTTACGTCTCACCTATCAAATTGCCTACAATTCATCGAGAAGTATTAGTTATTGCTGCCGATGGTGACACCTGCAAATATGGGAAAAAAAAGTTTGTTCATTTATTGGTAAAAATACAAACAGAAATTCTAGTGATAAAATGTGACAGTCGCTGTTGTCCCCTAATTCTCTCTATTACACTTTAAATTATTCTAAATTATTCACTTCCGCCCGAAACCTACTTCTTAAGCCTTAACCTCTACGCCAGAGGTAATCCTGAAATAAATTTCAAAACTTCAAAAACTCCATAACTATGCTATATCCCAAAAAAAAGAAAAAGAAAAAAAAATCATACGAGAACCACTCCATCCTCCCTAGCTGTCACGCATTATTAAAACAAAGGTTCTGATATTAAAAGTTAAAATTATGATTAATTGTCTCGTTTTTTTTTTACTGTGGTACATACTTAAATAACGAAATGTAATTAATTCGATTCGAATAACTTTGCAATGAAACTTAAGTGTCATTACCTTTACCTGGATGTCCCGGCCAGCAGTCAGCTCCTTTCCTGGTACGTACGTAACAGTAACACTACCGGTCCGGTCTTTGGTGTGTCGTGGCAGGACTACAACTTAAAAGCAGTCAACGTTTCTTGTCCTTTGCATGCATGGAGAATTTCCTTAAAATAATACTTAATAATAACAAACTCCTTCACATATTATTATAATATAATCTATTTCTTTTCGTCAATTTCTTCCGCTGCACTAATGATAAAAAAAAGCAATTGTGTCCCTATTCCCGGTCAAACTTGATCCCCCTATATATATATATGTGTGTGTGTGTGGGTTTGCTTGTCAGATTCATCTCCATTTCTCATCGTTCATCAATCATAATCTTCCACTTCGACTTTTTTCCACACTAATATTCATCGAAAGTTCTTTATTATTAAATTAATGTCTCCTGCATTAATTAGTATGGATTCTAATTCTGCGATCAGAAACTGTGGAACAACTGCCAAAGATGACAAGTATCTGAAAGGAGTGAAATATGTGTGTGAAGAAACTGGCCCTTTAACCAGAGTTCCCAACAAGTATGTGTTGCCCAGCTCAGACAGACCTAATTCTTCTGAAAGAAACCCTCATGTTGTGATCAACAAGGCAAATCTCGATTTGCCTGTTATTGATTTCGCCGAATTGCGAGGTCCCAACAGATCCAACGTTCTTCAATCTTTGTCACAAGCTTGCAAGGATTATGGTTTTTTTCAGGTATGTGCTAGGGTTTTGACTTTACAAAAAGGGATCGAACTGATAATATGCCAGAGCAGTTATTAGCCAACCAAAAAATAGGCCTAATGAGGCTGACGAGAAAAAACCCTAGCAAATTGACTAAGAAGATTTGATCGCTCTGAATGCTAATAATTGTTCTGGTAGTAACATCCATCGATGACCCTTTTAGTTCTTAGCGTTTAATTAAAAGCAAAATGATATAGATTAATTAATTTCATCTGTGATTAATGGTGCAGTTGATAAACCATGGAATATCAGAAGCGATTGTACGAGAAATGAAGGAAGCTACTAGAAGGTTTTTCGAGCTTCCATACGAAGAAAGAGCAAAGTATATGTCTTCAGATGTATACACCCCAGTCCGATATGGTACGAGTTTCAATCAAAGCAAAGATAAAGTGTTTTCATGGAGGGATTTCTTAAAGATCACCAACCCAACTTCCTTACCAAGTACTTCCTCATGTTGGCCCTCTTCTCCTCTAGATTTCAGGTATATATATCAACAAAAACAACTCATTACCATGTACTAGCTCCCCTTGACCTAGTAACTCGTGAATTGTATACTAAAAACAATACAGATCACAAATTGGAATAGATATTATTTTTCTCGCATGGAGGAGTATCATTTATTCTTAACTACATACATACATGTAATACTAATGGTTGGTTGATTTGAAGAATGTAACAAGGGATGTAACATGAAAAATGATCTTAATTCGACCGACATTTATGTTGAATTTTACAGGAAGGCGGTGTTGAACTACTCAAACGAAACCAAATTGTTGTACGTGATGATTATGGAGGCGATCCTTGAGAGCCTAGGGTTGTTAGACAGTGAAATACCAAAAGAGGTGATGAAAGAAATCGAAGAAGGAAGCCAAGTGATGATACTGAATTGCTACCCAACGTGCCCAGAGCCAGATTTGACACTTGGAATGCCGCCACATTCCGATTATGGAATGCTAACACTTCTACTTCAAGATGAGGTGAAAGGTCTTCAAATTCAACATGGTGGGAAATGGCTCACTGTCGAGCCTTCTTCCCCATACTCTTTTGTCGTCAATGTTGGTGACCATCTTGAGGTTCGTTCTTCACACATCTTTTTTCATTTTATTTTTGTTTAATACAAGGGATTCATTTTCTGTGACAATTCGTGTTTTGATCTTTTGTCCTTTTAAGTTTATAATTAGACAGTGATACAGTTCATGCAAATTCAGTTCTTGGAGAAAACTTTTGAGAAAATGGTGTAATCAAATAAAAATTATAGGCGGTTGTGGTTTCATCCGCGTATATATCCCGATATACTCCCTCTGTGGTCGTATCAATGCATATCCTAGAATTTTCTAAAATAAGGTTCATAATACACACGGTTAATTCAATCAATTGTTTGAGTTGGTGTTGTCAATGTATATTCTAGAATGAATTCTCTTGTACTATACATTTAACATCCTTTTCTAGAGGTTTTAAATTATACATTGACAGGATCTTATTGCAAGGCAATTTAATTTTTATTAAGTTTTGTTTAGCATGTTATAATAATTGAGAGAATACAATAAATGTGAACATACATTTTTAAGGATTTATTTTTAATTAAAAACATACTAAATAAATCAAATGTAAAAAAAATCAAAATATCTTATAGTAAGATCGACACAGACAGTAGTTTTTCGTTTGAAACAGTCCTTTACAATATGTGTCATTGGTACTCTTTTCATGAGCTATATAACACTGTGCAGTAGCAAACTGATTGTTCTTTTGCGTTCTCTTCGACATTTGTAGAACACAATATCATTTCTTTTTTTTCTTTTTTTTTTTGGTACAAACAGAATATCATTTCTTGTTTTCTTGTAATTAATGAAATGTAGCTTTAGACATCATGCGTGTTTTATAACTTCTTGGTGGCGTGTTTTTGGTTACAGATATTTAGCAATGGGAAATACAAAAGCGTGCTGCATAGGGTATTGGTGAACTCAATCAGCTCCCGGATATCCATTGCTTCATTACATAGCTTGCCTTTTCACTGCACCGTACGGCCTTCACCTGAGCTCGTTAATGAAGACAATCCCAAGCGGTACAAGGACACTAGTTTTGCTGATTTTCTCCATTACATCTCATCTTGCGAGCCAAAAAGCAAAAATTTCCTCGAGTCTAGGAAACTCTTGTAACACTCATTGTGAAAAAAGAAAAATAACTATAGTAAATTGTGAAATTTTTGACAGTTTCATATACGGTACTCTCATTGATTAACCTAAGATCTCTTTAATAAATGAAAGCGTTGGTACGCAACCTCTTCTTCCACTTATCTACTTTTTATTTTGATTATTCATGGTCCTGTGGACTTAAGTTTTTAGACATTTTCTCTTTTATTTTTTGGTTTTCTTGGTACTTTTGATTTTTCTTTTCTCCAAATTTGATAGCTAATAATTCTTAAGAATATCCTTTGGAGAAAAGTCCTACACTAGAGTCAGTCTTGGCTTCCTTATTGATTTCATTCATTAATGATAACCCTCTTCCTTATGTTAAGTGACATTGGACTTGTCCCGGCAATGAGATACGTCGTTACAAACACAATAATAGTTTCAACTTTAGAATATTAATTGAACACTTTTTGTCATTTTAAGTTGCCGGAAACAGAAAGCATTAGTCAGTCCTGGGAAGGGGGAAAAGAGGGAACGGGGAAGTGGAATGAAGCAAAAGATGAAAAAGAATAAGATATTTTATTTACCAACGAATGAAGCAGCAGAAGATGCCATATGTCATTCCAATCATACAATGCGCAGAGCATTCTACGTTATCAGAACACATTCTACATTATCCATAGGTTAAAAAAAACCCATGGAGGACGTAAAAACAGAATGCCAAAAAATGGCTTCCCTAACATCATTTACCTCAGAGAGCTCTTTTCATCCTATCATTCTTTTTACAGTATAGAGTAAGCTCGGATCACCTCGACAATAGGTGCCCGGCATAGTGGACACTTCCCTCCACCACGAACTAACTCGTTAGCACATTTAGAACATGTACACATGTGCCCGCATCTGCGAAAGGAGAATGTTTGCCAGATTAAAATTTTAAAAAATGAAAAATAAATAAAGAAAAAAAAAAAACTCATTTGTGGTAACAGGCTATATATGCTTCAAATTTGAACGTAATGTCACATTCTATCCACAACTTCTACTGAGGCACTTATACCTGTACAACAAGGAATCAATCTGGTTATCACAACAAACACAGCAGGTTCCCTTCCTTACATGACCCCATTTCGACCCATCAACTGAAGTCTCTGCAACCCCTAAAAATCAATTTGAACATGGAAAATCAGCTAAGTGACAAAAGACCTTGAAGGAGGTTCAAAAATATCCATAGAAGAGGACATAGTAAGCCAAGCACTACAAACCTTGCCCACCAGCTGATCTATTTAGAGCGGCAGAAACTTCCTGTCTTACTGATCGCTGCAACTCCAATTGCATATCCATACAGGCTTCCAACATTCTCTGCATGTGATTCATACCTTGCTGAAGTCTAGCCATGTCAGCCCTCAGATCATTAATTATCTCCCACTCCTGATACAAAGTATCCAAAACTTCTACCAATAAGAATGATCAAGATAAAAGGACAGTAACTTTTCTTCAGTTAAGATTTTGAGGTTTGGCTATCTAGAAAGGTGAACTAGAATAAGACCAAGAATACTAAAGAAAGAACCTTCACTAACATTAGTGTGTGTGTATGTGTGTGTGTGTTCACAAGTTCAAGAAGCAGCTGACAATTCACGTAGTTTTAAAAATCCTTTTCAGATATTCTTCCTTCCTAAGACAATCATGCAAAATGATGGGGAGCCTTGGCACAATGGTAAGGCCATATAAACTGAGACTACAGCTTCAAATCAAAAAAAGACAGCCTCATATGATAATACAAGTAAGATTGCACACAGCACCTTACCGGCACCAACCTTCAGATAGTTTATGCAGACCATTTCTACATAATTAAAATCAGACACCATAGCTCCTAGATAATAGATACACTAAATCCAGGATTGTCAAATTCATTCAAAGAAATATTTACAGTCTACTGTCGTCATTCCAAATTCAAAACCGTTAGCTCAGAAATAGGAAAGGGTATGTCACCGTCAAGGTCAATGTAACCACTTTTCTTTCATTTATTTCAAAAAAAGAAAAGGAAAAAAGTGAATAATGTAGGAGGAAGATTCTCTTGATCCGATAATTCCACCAATAAACATGCCCCAAACCACACTTTGCACCTTTAAAAAAAAAAAAAGATGTATAAAGGAGGCTAACTCACAAGTTCAGTACGATGCACATTGTGGCGAGGCCAACTAGAATGATGCAACGCCTGGTGCCAAATGGGTTGAGGTGGTGGAGCAGGAGGAGTCGGTAGTACCAATGAAGGTCGACCAATAATATCATTTTGATCTTCATTTCCTTCATCATTTTGCTGTTCCAGGTCCTGCCCTGGCGTAGCAGGAATCGGAATGTTCCGGTGAAGATCCCAATCAATTGGGGTGCGCCCTTGCCTTTCTACATATGACTGTATAAGTTGATCCAGACTTTCACGAAAGCCACTGCGAAGAAGATTAGAGACACTCCTCCTACAATGAATGAACAAGTCTAATAAGTGGGTTATCAAGTAAATGGTAAATCAACAAGATGAAATAGAAAGGTAGTTTAGACAATATTATCATTACCTGCTAAGAAGCTCCCTGAGTTCCATGCTGTATACATTATCATCATCAGGAGGGTGAAACCTGCTAGTTCTTCTAAATGGTACAGCACGCCGCATTCTCGGAGGATCAGAAGGTCCTTCAGACCAAGTTTCCACAGCTTCTCGAGAACCAACTTCACGCCAAACCTCATTCAGATTTTGCATACTGCGATCCTCTTCAACATCATTTCCTGATGACCTCAAAGGCCAATTACTTCTTGAATTTTCTTGCCAATCTGTATCCATGCTTTCTGGAATACTATCTCTCCATTCAACAGATCTGTTAGAGGTGGACTCTGGCTGGTTTTGTCTCACGTTTACAACAATCTGCTCCGGCATATCCTCCCCATTACTAGAAACAGCATTCTGATCTGTACCTTGATCACCTGAATTACTACTATCTGAATTCCCAGTGTGTGCTTGTAATTGATTAAAGTTACTCTGCAGCATCTGAGACTCTACATCCCCAAAACTTCCATGTTGATCCCGATTTCTAGAATTAGTGGGGCTATTAATAGATGACATTTCAGGATGGCTGCTTGCTTGGCCTTGGACTGCAGTTTCTTCCATTGTGGAGCTAAACCCATTCCTGGTTAAATAAATATATCATCAAGCAAGCACTGAAAAATCATTGCTAAAGTAACAGCTAATGCAGCATGGTAACCAATAATGGAAATTCTACAACACATGAGTACTTATATGAGTCTTGAGTGTAAGAAGAAACCAAATTCTATCAAACAAACACGTCATCCTTGAGCTCAAAATTAATAAATACAATAATTTCTGGAGGATGTGATGTGAAACACTTACCAAAACAAAAATAAAAAAGAAATGTGGAAAATCAAACAAAATTCGGAGATTTTAGACAAATAGCCCTGAGAAGGGGACAGAATGAATACATCAGCCAATAGTTAATTATAATCATCTCTTCCCTTGATGAAAAAGCAGCCAAGGCATGTTATAATACATGTTTATCCTACACCTTCTTTATAGGTCCATTCAAGACCCATGCAGCAAGCACAAACAAGAACCCATGGAAACGACAAAAAGAAAGTTAAAACAAGGGAAAAAGGAAAGTATGACCACAGTTACAAACAACAATTATAATAAAGAAGAAAGAATCAGGCAGTTTCCCAAGCAAATAATGATTGAAGCTTCACACCTCAAATCAGAGACGGTGTGCCGCTGCCTCAGCTGAACCAATTCACTAGCTGCCACTGAAGGGGGTCGTTCTTCCTCAACAGGCCTTTCATTTCGCAGGAATCTACCTCTGAGTAGTGACTGAACCAAAATATGTAAGTCCGAGGCCCAGGTAGATAAACTTTAAAGGTCAAAGAGCACGTTTTCATCTCATGTGATAGACGGGAAAATCACGAGGGAACCTAATTCTAGAACTGGCTTAACCAATCAACATATTAACTTAAAAAGCACAGCACCTACGCATGTAAGAAAACCAATAACACCAACTGTATAACCCACACTCTTCAATAACAGAAGGAAATGTTAATATATAGTCATCCAGTGATCAAGATACACCACAGCCCGCAAAAGAAAGAAGAAACTGCATAACAAACAAGTATCTCACCCCAAATCATAGGTCTTTCATCACAGTGCATTTTCCCTTAGTGGACAAACTATAGCAACAACTGCAAACCACGGCGGACAATAAATACTTATGACCAATATAGACCAGTCAAATAACTCCATCACAAAATTCCTGATATGTGCAATACAAAGTAGGCTGTCACCAGCATAATAGCCACTAGACATGAACCAAGCTAGAGATCAGAACACTACAAAATTTTTGCAAGTCTACTTCGAGTGAGATCCTAGTTATCAGTCAGATGATTCAGAATGCAAATATTTAGTTTTTCTTCCTTGACTAATTTTCAGCCATCTACCTGTATTTGATCACATGATAGTTCTTTAAGTAAAAGTTGCAACATATGTGACCATGTACCATGAAAACTATTTACACGTAAATTAAAAGTTTAATCACAAAAATACACATTGAACATTAAGGTACATTTCAGTTTCAAACAGCTTCCTGTTAGAAGAAACTGACCTGAATCCGATTGCGATGTGCAAAGTCGGAGACAGCACGATGTTCCAACAAGCCTTGAAGTTCCCTCTGTCTCTCCCTTTCAACTCTGACAAGCAAATCAACTAGCGCCTGTCTTCCACGCAACCTCAACCTGTCTCTGCGAACATGTTCTTGTTGACCTTCCTGTTCACCCATTGAAACTTCACGAACTCGTTCAACTTGAGTAGCAACTGTGGTAGCCTCTTCCCTCCGGCCACCTCTAGCTCCTCGCTGCTGGCTTGTCATCTGCACCCATTCCCTCACATTCCTAACCCTTTCACGCTCAGTTTCCCCGAGCCATTCCCCTCTAGCACCAGTATTCCTCTGTGAAACATTAGATGAATGGTCACTAATGCCACTCTCCATCCAACCACGTGCAATGTGCCTTACTCTTTCCCTCTCAATTTCACCAAGGTCAGGAGATTGCTCGCGACTAGAATCATCACGATCCCTGTTCCCGTTCTGTCGTCCAATTTGATCCTGTGACCAAGTTCCATATTCATTTTCACTCTCAGCATCCACCAGGCTACCAGGATTCTCACTTTCCCGACTCTCAGACATGTTTGTGCTGGAAACATTTGTATTAGACTCCACACTCCTCTGCCTCAATCTTTCCCTCACTCTTTCTCGGGCTCGATTCAACACATGTTCGTCCTCCAATTCCCGCCACATTTGCAAAATGGAAGAGGCCTGAGTGCTTGGCCTCTCAACATTTCCCTGTCTCCTTGCTGTTGGGGATTGCGATTCTCTCAAGAATGAAGAATCAAGCATGGAAACAGTATGCAACCCAGCAAGAGCAATCAACTCTGACTCGCGATTTCTCCTCTCAATAGTAGTAATCATCTCCTGAGCCTGCCTTGCAGCCCAACGGCTCAATATGCGTGAGTGGCGTCTCCTGGCTGCAGAAGACTCAGCTAGATCATCTCCATCAAGCTCCGACCTTCTTCTCCTCCGTACAAGTTGATCACTCTCGTCATCGTCATCTTCAATAGTTCTCGGTGAACTACACGAGGCAAAAGACATGCAATCATCCAAATGACCCCGCATCAACTCCTCCAATCCTCTCTCGAACTCCGCCCGGGCATCATCAGCTGATGTGGTACTTTCAGGCTTCTGCTGGAGTTGTTGGCGGATATCAGTCATCCTCACCACCACTAAAGCCTAGCAACCAATACAACACCACCACTACAATACCACCAAAAGTACCTCAAAAACTACGGATAACAATGCCCTGGTAAAAAATAGCCAGGATTACAAAACAAACCCCATCAATTCCCAAACCCAAAGATACCATCCACAGACTCCTCTTCTAAACATTCATCCCCAGCACAAGAACAAAGGAAAGCCTACAGCTAACTGTACCCCTAAACCTAATCCTAAATTGAGATCAACCCCCATCAAATTGACGAAAGAAGAGCCCTTTCTTTCGAAATTGAAATGAACCCTTCGATACATATCACCTGATCAAATTAAAGGTCTTATCAAATGTTCCAATTTCCACAATCAACAAATTCAACCACACACAGAAGAGGGAAAAAAATCATATCCCAACAACGCAATCAAGTAAAAGGCGCAAAATCCAACAGAATTGAGATCCACAAAACCAAATTGGGAGGGGGAACAGAGAGGAATAATAAAATGAGAGGCCCAATTGTGTGATGAGAAATTGGAATTGGGAAATTAATCATTCGACGTACCTCAGAAGCTGTGCGCAAAGGCTTCGGAATTGCAGTGCGAGAATCACAATGACAAAACCCTAACTTTGTTCACTAATTTATAACACATATCGCTCAGAAATAAAAATAAATATAATATCACTGAGAATAAGAAACTGTGTGTGAGTGCGTGAGAGAGAGAGAGAGAGAGAGAGAATACGAGGTAAATAAAAAATGGAGGAAATATAAAGGAAGAAGCAAAAGCAGAAAAAGAAGGATGAGAGAAAGAAGAAGACGAAGAAGAGAAGGGTAAGAGTATTTTTTTAAAAATGAATAAATAAATAAAAAATGAAAATGAAAAGAAATGGGGGAGGGAGAGGTGTATTTTATTTTATTTTTATTTTAAAGAAGAGGAAAGACCGGGAGATTTTTGGGTGGGAAAAAAACAAGAGGAGAGAGACGCGCCGATCATCTGACGGAGTGGACACGTCACCGGTTGTCTAATTCCTTTGCTTTTGGTTGGTTTTTTGCAATTGTAATTTTGCTTTTTTTCATGTCACGTTTTTATTTTACGTTTTCATTACAAAGTGAGAATCAATGCTTGTTTTGGAGGTAAATTTGTGCTTTTTATTTTTCCTATATCCCTTTTGTGTATGAATATATATATATATGCAATGCTCGATATTTTTCATCGGTTTTAAGTTTCAATATGATTCTTCTTAACATTCTAAGTTAATACTATTATTTTTATTAAAAAAAAACAAATACGTGAATTGATAATCACGACTGTCCTCACACAAAAAATGTTAGAGATGAACTAATAACAAGAAGTAGCAAAAGCAAACAAAGTGTTAATTAGAGTGTGTAGTACAATGAAATATTTAAAAACACTTTAATTGTGACCTAATATGGATTCTTAGAATTCTAGGTTAGGTAAACACTTGTCACGTGAAAATAATAACTCAATATCAAACTCGCTAGCTCAAAGCCTCAATTAAAGATGATGACTTTATCCTTGCTCAATTTATTTTCATGTCAGATTATATAATACCAAGAAAGTAGAAGAAAGTAGAATAAAACCAAGATTAGGAAGGGAGAGTATCCCTTTCAACTAGATGGCACTTATCTTGTGGCCCGTTTATTACAGGCATATTTTTTAAGGTGCATATACAATTGAAATGTAGGATTAGTCCACGGTCACATAAATGATGGGACATTGGGTTTAGAAGTTACTTGATGGAAAAGAATCTTACATAGGAGTGAGATGTGGATAAAACATATACATGCATATATGTTCCACATTGTATTTAGACTGAGGTTCCGTTTGACAATTACTAAAGTTTGAATCTGAACACTTAATACTTAATACTAAAGTATGAAGTCTAAAGACTGAATTTACATTATTTGATAAAAACGTCTAAATATGATGTCTGAATACTGAAGTCTGAATTCTGAAGACTAAATCTGAATACTCATGTCTGAAAGTTATTTAAAATTTTACTATCATTAAAATTGAATTATAAACAAAATTCTTTTAAATAGAAAAATAACTAATATTTTGTTCTAAATAATAAAATAATAATTTTAAAATAATTTTTTGGTATATATAATAAAAATAAATGTTACACTTGGTAAATAATCAATATATAATTAAATTTAGATTATTACATATATGTGTATACCTTGTTATTTAGCAAATTTCATGTATTAAAATTAGTTTACTTTGAGTTTGAAAGTTTGAGATCTTTTATACTCATAATATAAATTCAACTTTAAGTACTCTTAATTAATTTATCTTAAGAAAATAAAAATTTTTAAAACAATGTAAAAATAAGCGACAAAATAAAGACGAGGAAAAAAAGGAAAAAAAAGAAAAAAAAAAAGAGTCATCACAGAAATTAAGTGATAAGTGATAAGTGGTAGGTCTATCACTTATTTTCTGGCTCACAATTAAACTGGTCATTCAGACGCACTTAATTAATTTAGACAGTGAAATTTTAGTTATCAAATGCACTTAATTTATAAGTACTTAATTAGTTCAGAACTTAATTCATTAAGACTTTTTAATAGCAATTATCAAATACACTTAATTTCATTAAATTCTTAAATAAATTAAGTAATTATCAAACAGAGCATGAGTTTTACGGTTATGATCCGCATTTGAAATATCAATATATTACGCTAAAAAAAAATTACTAGGAAAATTCTAATCGCTTTTTCACAAAGATATAGTATAAATTATGAACTATCCTAATTACATTAGGACAGAGTACTCATTACTCAAGGCTCACATTTTGAGTTTGAAGCAGTGCAATCGAATTTATGTTAACTTAATTGAAGTAGTAAGTACACATCATCCTTAAAAATAAAAATATATATTCACTTTATTCTCAAATTATTGTTTAATTTGAGATTTACTTTTAGTACAATATAAACTAAAATTGAAAACACAAAGTGGACAATAATGAAAAGAGTATTATAAAAAAAAAAAAAAAAAAGGTCAAGAAATCTGCTGGAAAATTTCCGGGTTAAGTTTACGGGACGGGAGGAGTTTCTTCTTGCATTGTTGGAGTGGTGGAGAAGAAAATGGCGTATGACCGTTAGCGATCACGAAATTGCTCCTAACTACGTAAGAAATTTGGTACTATTTGGGGCCAAATGGCCTAAAGTTGCTTGCACAATATTGCTTTTTTTTGTAGCATCCACATCATAAGGTAATTAATGGTCACCTTATTAATCTGTCATTCTTTTTCATCAGGTACATATGTATATATATATATATACATATATATATATAATTGAATTGATAGAACCGTTTTGGTAGCGTGGCAGCGAGCTATTAAGTCCTAATAACTAATTAAACATTTTATATTGTTGAGGTTACGTAACTAATTAAACAAAAGATGTGCAAAAGTAAACATTCTAGGAGTCTAATTATTAACCTTAGAATATTACTTAATTTCTAATCATCTATCTCAGAAATAAAAGTTCTTTTATCAAACTAAACATCACAAATTCTATCAGAAGTCTTATTTTGGGGGAAAAGAATATTATTTAATCATTTTTAGTTTACATGTATGACCCCCATTACCCCTAATCCTTACTCTCTTTTTTTTTTTTCTCATTCTTATTCTTTTTTCTTCTTTTAGAGATTCTCAGCCACAACAGAAGTAAAACATGTCCCATTTTATTCATTTGCTTGGAGAAAAGTTTTTTCATTAGTGACAAGGGTACACATTGTATGTTTGCAACTCTTTCCAAAAATGGAAACCCACTTTAGCTTTAATTGAGTTTAATGATGGAGCCTATAAAGAGAGATAATGTAGATTAACTTATGACAATTATACTAGAAGTCCATGCACCCTGCATGCGTAGGTCACCTTGGAATTCTTTTTTCTTGGTGAGCAAAAAGAAACTGAATTATAATCATAAAACTGCATGCAGCTACATACATTTAGACACTGATGATCAGTGGATTCAGTACATAGGTTTGCTTGGAAGAACTGCACCCCCAGGGTCTGAGAATCGCTATTCACCTTGCTTGCAACAACGGTCTATTGCATTCAACTTTACATTTAATTTTCATCGCTTATATTTTCAACTTCAGATCGAATCATATTTATTATTTCTTCACATTAACATATTTATCTACTCGTGAATGGCAAATATTCGATTTAGTTGATTCGTTGATCGACGTTGTTACATTTTTCAATATACTTACAAGCCAAATATACTTAACTAGCAACCCGCAACATTTCTTTGTGTGGTTTTGATAGATAGTATTTCGTTTGTATTAAATATATTTATATTAAGATAATCATTTTGAAATAGAAAAAATTAATATTGTGAAAAATTTGATACAGACTAAGGCAACGCAAAAAGACAAAACAAATGAAAGTTGTGTAAGAACGCAAGCAAGTGTGCCATAGACATGAAGACAAAAGCATCGGGTGAAAGAAAGAAACGGTGCAATTCATGCAACAGTCAATTTTTATTAATGCCATATTCGCCACCATTCTTTCAATATCCACCAAGCTAGTAGTAAAGCTTTAGCTGCATGTTTGTTGTCTCCTTATTGAAAAAAACCCTCAAAACCCACACAAAATCATCAACAAAACTCCATCCCCAAGAAGCCACATTTCCTTTCAATCACGGCATTATTCCCTTGGAATTACACCACTCTTAGGTCTACCATAACCAATAAATCGTTAATTGGTCAGAAATGGTGGCTTCTTTGGGAAACAAATCACATTGAAATAACCACTACCCACGCACGATTGATCAAATAAAATTTTTGGTGGATGAGGTGCAATACGGATCTTGTATAAATAGTTGTTGAGAATTATTTGAGAATCCTAAGTTAATGATAAGGGAATTCATCATATATATATATATGGCATTTTGAGGAGAATAAAAATTGTTGCATTTATAATTATTTAAAAGGGTCCACATTTCCATCCCTTGATTAACAAGAAGAATGACCAGGACCGGCTATATATATTGATCAATTATAAGGGTTTTTGTTTGCATTTTGTTGTCAAGAACAGAAATTGATCGTACGTGCATCAAATTGACTTCCACCTTCTTATCCTCTTTCATCAAATGGCCTTGCTTTAAACTAGGTCCTAATTTCGTATGAACGGTGTTGTCAAATTTGCATCATATTATCACGTTTCACTCATCCATTTTGGCGTCGTTTTGTGCCTTGTTTTTGCACCAAATTTCATGCCAATGTTTCCTATCTTGAAGTTTCGACAAATGAAACCGATAAATGGGGATGGGATTGATCTTTGCCAGGGTTGTATGAGTGTATCCAACCTGTGGTGGTAGATAAAAAATACACGTTGCCTACTGCTCCCTCCATTTCAAGATGGAAGGCTTTTTAGCCTCTAAACATAAATTAAAGAGAAAATTATTTATTGATTAATTTGTGTATTAAATGTTTATTTTGTTCTTTATTAATTATTTTGGAACTATAACCAAAATTATATGAAAAGTGGTTAGCATCATTTATCCGGAAGAAAGTTGGGAAATTAATCTTTAATTTTCTTTGAAATTCTAAAACGACACTACATTTTTAAATATTTCTTTAAACCTAAAACGACCTACATTTTAAAATGAAGGGAGTATATTTATACTCTCTTTCTGTTATAAAATGATTCCACCGTTTAGATTTTCACCTTTTTAATATAAATTTAAAAAGTGAAAATCTAAAATGGATAATAATTTTGAGACAAAAAAAGTGGTTTGTTTTGTTAATTAAAATAAAAATGTATAACAAAATGTAGGGCGAAAACAGAAAGGTACGAATAGTATCATATCAGTAATACAAAAATCGAGTAAGCTGCATGAATATCCTTCATTAATTCGTCAAATTTTATAGGCTCATCCTAAAGAAATTATTGTTTGAACTTACATATGTGTCTCTACACTTCTACATTTTCTAAATAGACGATCGCAGACCGCAGGAAGTTTTTTTTTTTTTTCCCGTAACAATAGACCTTATAGTCTCACTGAAAATTATCAACAAAGAGAAAAGGGAAAAAGTGAAAACAATTAGGTACCGAAATAGAAGAGATCAACGCATTGGGAATACAACAATTTTATATATATATATATACAAAAGAGGCCTAACGGGAATGTAAATGAAAACGTTCTGTGGGAACCAAAGAACCAAAGAAATGAAAACGCAAGTTAGATCACAACTTTTAAGGTATATATACGTAACCAGCGGTGATACATAAGAAACATTATTGAGAAAAACCTGTCAAAAAGTAATCAATTAACAATTGTAATCTAAAAAAACTACTATAGTTTGGTTGATTCCAAATAATTCTTACTAGGTTCTGGATCCATGCGGACGCACGGATACAAGATGGACTAAACACTGTCAAATAGAATGTGTTATGTTATTTAGTCATGTCAATGACACTCTGGCCAAAAAAAAAAAAAAAAGAAACAATCCAATTAAGTTTTAAATTTGTATTAAAAATAATACAAAATTCAAAATTCTATGGGACTATTTTTTGGAATGAAAGAGTATTATATAAACTACTACTACGTCGTATTAAAAGAATGGTATGCAAACTATAATTGTCATACCCAATATAAAAGGCAACAACAATTTAATTAGAAAAGCAACCCAAATAGTGAAAGATAAACAAAGGATGGAAAAGGAAAAATTATACAACCTGCTGCATTCCCATTCATCAAAGGTCGTTTAAATACAATAAGACGTTCTATGCTTTTCCACATGCATCAAAGCTTTCTATTCTTCAATTTTCACATTACATACATGGAGCTACCATTCTAGGAAATACTAAAAAATAATGGGATGGGGAAAATGGTTCCTGCATGTTTGTAGACAACTGACGACACGAACTGAAAGGGAAAAACATTTTCGATGAGGAGCTAATTGTAGATTTCATGGCCATGATACTCATGTGTTTGGTTTCTCTGAAGTCTTTAGGGCTTTAACTAAAGTAGTTTTGCTGTCATGTCAAAAAAATGTAAAGAGGATCTCTGCAGTATCTCTTCTCACAAATGTATTTGCAAATGTATCAAACTTGAAACTTTAAACATTAAACCAGTTTGAAGCAACCTGGATTACATGCCTTCATCTATTAATGGAACAAACATTTTTACATTAACACCAACATTGAGTATGACTTTAAGGAATTAGTCTCAAGTTGTAGATATTAAACATGTATCCAGCTATAAAAAATATAACAACTCATTGAGAGAAAAACTTACCGAAACACCACCACAATTGAAAAATTATTCAAACTCTAGCCTTGAAATAAACTGGTATATTGTGAGATGTTTATCTAGAAATTATAAACCACAAAAGCAAATCTAGAGTGTTGACAACGATTGTGATGAACAACGATTGTAAGATAGTTAGACAACAACAATTTAAAGTGTCGACAACTTACTAATTGAAACAACGATTGAATTTACCGCGCTCACTTGGTTTCAAATGTGGGCAGCATATTTATCGTCTCCGGTGGCCGGTGAAACTCGGCAGAAGTAGACGGTCGCTTCAATCTTCACTATCAAGATTTATTTGTGAAGAAGCAGGAATTTGAGGCTGATGAAATATTGCAGCGATTATTGCCATTGGGATTGAAAGAGATTTTCACGTTGGAAAAGATTTGAGTGGGTAGTTACAATTAGTTATTTGAGATCGTGGAGAATTCAATTTAAACTGGAAGTTTTTTTTTTTCTTCCAGAAGGAAGTCTTCTTTGGATTTAGGTGTGGAGAGGAGACTTTTAAGGATTGATTGACAATTAGAATTTTGGACAAAAACTGGTTTTTGTTATAATGGGGTATATAGATAGATTTAATATCAAATTAATTATAACAAATAAATTCTAGACTTCAATCCCAAGTCAAACTATCAATTTAAATTCACATCCAATGGTACTGCTAATTTAAATTTGAATCAGACATTTCAAACAAAACTTGAGTTATAGTTAAGAAAATTTATTTTTATAATATAATAAATTTATATACAACATAATATCATGAAAAAATAAAAATTTGAAAGAAAAAAATGTTACGAAAATGAGATTGGGATGAAAACCCAACCCTTTTGATAGATTTAGAAAACTCCTAAATAATTTGGTATTAATTCATTTTTATCAATTCAAAACCCGCTAACCAAACACTCATTATTTTATTCCCTTATTCCCAAATTCATCCACCAAATACCAGTCTACATCATTGTTTGCAAATTCTCGTGATAATTTTTCACACGTATCAAATGGAAAGTGAAAAATTGGTGGATTTACCCAAAGATTTACATGCGTCGTTAATTCTATCCTATTTTTTTCGGTTAGCCAATATTACCCTAAACTATCCAACCGTTAACCGATTTTGTCCAATTTGCTATTTTCCGTCTAAATTAATGGAATTCTATTTTTTAATTACAAAAATACCCTAATAATTTTAAAAATTTATAAAAAGAACCCCAAAAATTTATAAAAATTACAAAATAGTTTCTTTTCAGTTTTTATTTAAATTTTTATTTTTTTTAATTTCTTTTTACTATTTTTCATAACCATAAAAATATACTATATGATCTTTTAAATAAATAATTTATTTTTAAACACTACAGTACAAATTTATAGATATACATTTTGTAACTCATGATTGATTTACATAAACATATTAATTTTTTTAATAATATGGCTAGAAAATAATGATATTATTCTTTTAATCCGTTTTTTTCAATTTAAAGAATAAGATTTTTTTGACTAAAACTAATTTTTTACAAAAAATAAAAACATTTAGCATAGATTAAAAAAATATATACTAGTATATTTTAATTTATTGCAAATTAACTAAACAGACTATAGATTGTATTATCCAATTAAAAATTATTTAAAAATAAATATTTTTTTAAAAGATCATATAGTATATTTTTATAGTTATGAAAAATAGTAAAAAGAAATAAAAATAGAAAATTTTAAATAAATAACTGAAAATAGACTATTTTATCATTTTTGTAAATTTTTGGGGTTATTTTTATAAATTTTTAAAACTATTAGGGTGTTTTTATAATTAAAACAAATAAAATTCCGTTAATTTAGACGGAAAATAGCAAATTAGACAAAATCGGCTAGCGGTTGGATAGTTTAAGAAAATATTGGCTAACCAAAAAAAAATAAGGTAGAATTGACGAAGCATGTAAAGCTTTGGGTAGATCTGCCAATTTTTCCAAATGGAAAACATTGGTTGTGAGCGGTTTGTGTGGGGCGGGAATGAGGAAATTCATAAACTAGCTTGGTTCATTGGGCAAATGTTTGTGAGCCCAAAGGTGTAGGAGGAATGGGGATTAAAAAGCTAAGGCTGATGAACAAAGCCTTCTTGATGAAGCTCGGATGGGCCATGTTGGGCCATTTGGAGGCCAACTGGGTGAAAGCTGTGAAGTCAAAGTATGGGTCGGCCTCACAAGATGGACAGGGACTAAGAAGATCACGAACAGGTCTGGGTTCTTTAACTCCATTAGGAAAATATGGAAGCCCCTGGTCCAAGGAGCCCAATTCATGGTGAATATTGGTGAAGACTTGACCCCGGTCCACTTCCATTGCAACAAGCTGCCACAGGTCCAATATTGGCTTCCCAGATCTCATGGGCGGTAAGGTAATTCGTTAATGATGATGGTAGCTGGAGTCTGGAGATGGTAGTTGTTCCACCACCTGTTGCCGACGTCGGAGATGATGAAAGTTGCGGCAGTAAGACCGCAGGAGGTAAGTAGAGGGGTGGACAAACACATGTAGCCATATTCAGAAGATGGTAATTTTTTCGACCAAGTCGGCGTATGCTCGCTTGGATCGAGGAGTTAATCACCGCCGGCACCCCCTGTGGGAAGCAATTTGGTCCCGGCTGGGACCGAAAAGAGTGAATACTTGTCTTTTGTCTGACAGCACGTGGGAGATTGATGACAAACCTTCAGAGATTCCGGCGAAAGCTTTCAACGAATCCGGTCTGTCCAAGATGTGGAGAAGAGGAGGAAACTTTGGTTCACGCGCTCCGGGATTGCCCTTCGTCTGCAAATTTATGGGGCAGCTTACTGAATGGTCAGGATTGCCAGCCGACTTTCTTTCAGGATGACATCCACCAATGTTTACTTTCAAACCTTCTGTGCCTGGTGGCGAAGGGGGAGAGTAATTGGGCACGGACGTTTGGAGTGATTTGGCACTGGAGGAACCAACTAATTTTCTCAAATAAGTATTTCTCGTAGAACCACCGGCTGCGGTAATTCCATGGCTCAACTATGATATCATGGGTGTAGCCTACCCTCGCAATATAATCGTGTAATTAAGCTAATTGCCTCCTTTTTTGTACTAAAAAAAATTGGAGAGCATTGGCTGAGACGCAAAGCACATGATCAGATTTTTTTTTTCTTATACAGTGGAAGCTTTTAAAGCTTTGATTACAAAAGACTCCTGGAGAAGGAGTGACCGATTAGAGGATATCTAGTACTTTTGGAGGGGGAGATGCCAAAATATGAACTCCCTCCGGTGCTAGGTGGCCAATTTTTGCTAATTGGTCGGCTAATTTGTTGCCTTTACGGTCTATGTGTAGTATATCTAATGTCCATGACCGGTTTAACATTTTATAAAGTCTGCGTAGCACATTGCTAGCTTGGGTTAGGCTGTTATCATTTTAAAGAAGGGCTTTGACTGCAGGTAGACTGTCCATTTGGAGTTGGACATTTTTGAAGCCCAATTCCCACGCGATGTGAAGCCCATGTAAAGCCCCCCAGAATTCTGATTCCAAAATCCGGCAGTCACCCACATTTGCTGTGAAGCCGGTTATCCCATGTCCGGCGTGGTCACGCAGTGCTCCACCTGCGGCCGATTTTTTTGCCGCTTGAATGACAAATCCATCAGTGTTGAGGCGGATTGTTCCCCACGGTGGTGGTTTCCAGATTTGTTCGTCGTCATATGGGTATTGTGCGGGGTTTTTTCTAGGTGTCAGAAGTTTGTTCGATCTGTGAATTTTTGTCACTGCTGCTCTGATTGAATGGACGATGCTCTTGGAGTTGGTGTACTTCTCCGAGAAGGTTTCTTCGTTTCGAAAGCTCCATATCTTCCAGTATGTGGTGCCGAACCAAATCGGCCATTCTATTCCTTCCTGCGAAAAAGAGGCGGACAAATTAGAGGTAAGCCAAGCTTTCCAATTTTGTTGTGTTCAAAAAGAGTGGTCAGTGTCTCCCTTAAGGTTGCTCCATATTTGCAAGGTTTTGAAACAATCTCTGAAAAGATGGAAAAGTGTTTCTTCTTTTCCACAGAATCCACATGCGTCACTGCTTGAGATGTGTCTCCTTATCCTTTCAGCGTTGGTTAACAACACTTCTTGCATTAGCTTCCATAGGAAAACTTTAATCTTCTCTGGACCGTGCCACTTCCAAATTTTGTTCCAACTTTTGTCTTTTACATTCCAATTTCCTTTGAACAATCTCTTGTATGCTGACGATGTAGTGAAGATGCCTGATTCTGTCCATCTCCAGGCTGCTCTGTCGGGTCCAATTTGTGGGTCTGGGGGTGGCGTGGCTAGTATTTTCTTTTGAATTTCTGTGGTTATTTGCTTGATAGCTCTCCAGTGCCGTTCCCTTTTGCATCAGTGTATTCACTTACTGTTTTGTGTAGGATTTCCTCTGGGATTTGCGTGGTGGTGTAGTGTTTAATTGGTTTTTCCATATCCACCCAGATGTCTACCCAGAAGCGTGTTGTTCTGCCATTTCCGATTATCCACTTGGTGCTTTGAAGGGCTGTTGACCAGACCTTTGACAGCTGCTTCCACAGGTGAGAACCTACTTGGCCTCTGCTTTGTCTTGCGGCTTGTATTCCGTATTTTGCTTTAAAAATTGATGTCCACAAACATTGTTTCCCATATATGATCTCCCATGCTAGTTTTAGAAGAAAGGTTGTGTTGACCTCTCTTAGCTTCCTGAGGCCTAAACCTCCTCTGGTCTTGGGTTGGCATAGCGTATCCCAGTTGACTAGGTTTATTTTCCTTTCTCCCGGGATAGAGCCCCAGAGGAAATCTCTTCTGATTTTGTCAATTTTATCACTCACTCCCTTAGGGATGAACTGGGATTGCATTATGTAGATAGGAAGTGATGAAAGCACTGATTTGCATAGGGTTAGGCGACCTGCCATGCTGATCCTTTTTCCACTCCAATGGGTTGCTCTTTGTCTTGCTTTGCAGATTAGTGGTTGATATGTGTCCTTTACTAGTCGACTATGTATTATTGGCACTCCCAAATACTTGCCCAGGTTGTCGACTAGTTTAATTCCCATTTTACTGCTGAGGGCGTTAGCGTGAAGTGCATCCACGTTTGGGGAGCAATAGAGTACTGACTTAGAGTTGCTGATTGTTTGTCCCGAAGCTTGACAGAATAGGTGTAGGGTGTTGTGAATTACCGCCACCTGTTCTTCTGTTGCTTCTGCAAAAAAAATTAAGTCGTCAGCAAAAAATAAATGGGAAATGGTTACCTGCCCATTCCCGAAAGGGATTGGTCTCCAGTTTCCCTATTGTACTTCCTTGTTGATTGCCTGTGATAGTCGTTCCATGCAGAGGACAAAGGCATATGGGGAAAGGGGGTCGCCCTGTCTTACTCCTCTTGTTGGAGTAAATTCCTCTCCTAGATTCCCATTCCAGAGTACCCGGGTAGTTGCAGTTTCGAGTAGACTTTTGAAAATGTTGGTTAGCATTGGTGGTATCTTTGCGTCTGTGAGGGTGTCGATGATAAAATCTCACCGTATGCAGTCAAAGGCTTTGGCAAGATCTATTTTTATGGCCAGCCAACCCTTGGAGCCTTTTGTCATTTGCATTGAGTGTATGATTTCCTGGGCAGCAATTATGTTGTCGATGATGTTCCTTCCTTGAATAAAACTGGTTTGTGTGTTGGAGATTAGTGAAGGCATTACTTTCTTAATTCTTTTGGCTACCACCTTTGATAGTATCTTGACTGAGATATTTATGAGGCTGATTGGTCTTAAATTTTAGAATCTTTCAGGTGGCTGGATTTTTGGGATCAGGATTATCATGGACTTGTTGATTCCTAGTTGCACTTGCCCGGAGTTGAATGCCTCCTTCACCATGTTGTAAACTGTTGGCTGAATTGTTTGCCAATTGTTATGGTAGAAGCCTGCTGAGTATCCATCTATTCCACAGGCTTTTGAAGAATCCATATCATTGGTTGCTGTTGTGACTTCATTTTCGTGGAGGGGCGCCGTAAGCATGTTGGATAGTCTTGCTGGGATGGTCGAGAAGGAGTCTCGTATGTGGTACAACACTTTGGAGCTTGGTGTTCCCTCTGTATATAATTGCTTGAAAAATTTTGTGGCTTCTTGTTCTAGAAGTTTCTGGTCATTACACCAGCCTCCATTTTCCAGTTGCATGTCTTTGATTTTGTTTCTGTTTCTGTTGGGTTTGTGAGCTGAGTGGAATATACTTGTGTTTTTATCTCCGTGGGCTAGCCAGAGTGATTTTGAGTTTTGCACATGATCAGATATGAATCCAAATTCTGTTAGCTGTAATTTCAATGGGCAACTGAAATTGGGCTCCCATTGACAACGTTTTGCTGACGTAAGCTTAATTAAATTTAACCCAACAAACTGCCCAATTTGGGATTTGGAGTGTTTCAAATCTTAGGATGACCACAAAAGAAACCAACCCATCTTAAATTGGTAGTTTTTAGCCCAGAAACGTAATGGAAATATGGAACAAAGTGGGTAGATGTCGAAAGAAAATTATGGTAAAAATCAATTAAGACAAATAAACAAACACTGAAAAAAAAAAAAAAACCTCATAGTAATACCAGTATGTTTTTTTCCTCATTTTTCGTATTCGATAATCAGAGCAATGCTGAGAAAATTTGATTAATCCTTTTTAAAATCTAGGCCTATAATAATGTTTAAAAACTAAAATATTACCCTACTAACAATCCGTGTAGTATATAATCTTTTAAACTACATAGTACTTTCGCCGTTCTAAAATAATGGTGCACATTGAATTTTTAGATTTGTACGGTATGAGAAGAAATATTAGGTTTTCTTTTTTCAAGTTATCATTATTTTATGATTAAAATTTAGAAAGACATTTTTCATCATACATTGATTGTAGTATTATAGTGTAACAATACAATTCATATAAAAACAAAAAAATAAAACACAGCTAAACACAATCAAGAAATTTTTGTAACTCTTTGTGAAGTTTTAAAAAAAACGTAGATATTTTTTTGAAATTTTAAAAGTGTTAGCCGGTTAATTGTAACAAGCAAATCGTCGTTAATATAAAGCACTACTGCCAAATATAGAAGAAGAAAAAAAAAATAAAAATAGTAGCCCTAAGCACCCAAATTGTCAGCGTGAGTCAAATAGCAAAGCCCAAAATCTAAAAAAGAAAAGTAGAACGACGGTAAAACCTCACCTTCTCCGTCGCAAGATCGACCAGGCAGCTGCCGTTCTTGTGGATTTTTCCATCGAATTGTAATCCTGCAACGTTCTCTATTCGTTGTAGGTGATTGACGCAACAGTTCTCGTTGAATCTAACAGGAACAATGGTGTATATTACTTCCTGGGACGATTTCGTGGACAAATCCGTACAGTTGTTTCGCGACGATCCCGAAAAGGTAACAACAATTGTTCTAGGATTATTATTGTGTGGTTGTTTGTCGTCGAAGTTCATAATTTGCTAATTTGTTTTGGGTTTTTGTTTTTACGGGTGATGCAGACAAGGTACTCAATGAAATACAGACATTGTGATGGGCAGTTGGTACTCAAGGTCACTGATGATAAGCAGGTAAATATAGATATTGTTAAGAACTCTTTTTTCTTTTGTTTTTGAATCATGGGAATTGGGAATTCAATGTGTTTGGCTTTTTGCTTTGACGGATTTGGAAAATTTAAGTTTGTTGAGTAGTCCTACTTCAATGTTTTTCAGGAATTCTGATTATTTGAGATAATGCGGGAAGAATTTTAGGCTTTTGTTGTAGTATGTTGGACTGTAACTGGGAGAAGAAGATAAGTACTGTATGGATAGCCATGAAAGATTATAGGGGGAGTAAAATTGTATTGTTGGAGGCCAAAACAAAAGTAGTAGGAACATGAGTTTGTACTGTCAATGATTCTGTCTAGCTTTTCTAAAATTCGATGCACTAATTGAAGTGGTGAATGTTTAATTCCGTTGAGAACGTAAGCAATTTGGCTTACGGATGTTTCCTATTTTATTTGTTATAATTGATATTTTTTCTGCAGGTGGTTCGCATGATTAAGTAGATATCTGCAGTAAACTGCAATGTGTAGCATTCCCTGCTTTTCCTTCTTTTCGTGTTTTTCATTCCTTGGTGATCATACCCGTCTTGTTAAGATATGGTAGTTTTCACTTTCAAAATTTGGTGCTGTTTTGTCTTTTCATTATCTGGAACAAGGAACTAGAAGCAACCCCAAGCAATGCATGTGTAATAAAATGAAATATTTCATTATATTAAGGTTCATATCTCAATTTTCATCCTGAGTACAAGTAGTGCATGTTTATTTTGGATAATTTTTGGTTAATTCTGCATCTTTTCCCTAGTCCAGCATTATCTGATCATTAACTTATTTAAAATAGCCTTAAGGTGAATGGTTATGTAACCTTTTTGAGATCAGATAGATTATCTGTGTGTGGGATATGCTCAGAACACTCATACGATTTCCAATTGTTGATTTGCATAAGGTTCTGGAATATGCAGGGGTAAAATTTCCTGTAAAAAGTAGCATAAGATTGCATTTTCCATATGAGCTTGAGTTACCTTTATTTTGTCTATTGTCAGACGACATCCAGAATTTTCGGTTTCTAATATCTGTTCAACCTTTATGGGGGATCACAAGGTTGTGAACACTCATGTTCCTGTTTACTAGTTTAGTCTCACTATCAACATTCAGATGAAGCTGTGAGTTTAGTCAATAGATATGTTGTGTTATTTGACGTTATCTCATGGCGTTCATTTGTGTATCTTTTAGTGCCTCAAGTTTAAGACAGACCAGGCACAGGACGCTAAGAAGATGGAGAAACTTAACAACATATTTTTCACTTTGATGGCTCGCGGACCTGAAGGTATAGCATATGGCATTTTCCTTTACTGTGGATAGTTCCCCTGTGGCTGCGACATTGTTTTCGTGTGTGATGCCCATCTTTCTTGTTTCTGTGCACGTGCCTTTTTTTCCCATTGTATGAGTCTGTTATTTGTTTTCCTTTGACCTCTTCTGTCGTGTATATGTGTACCTTGATGCCTTGTCATTCTCTCGTAATATTATAGTTTCTGGATTTCCTCCTTCTGCAGCTGATATGTCTGAAGTAACTGAGAAAGAACAAGTAGAGCCACAGCCAGCCAAAAAGGGAAGAGGAAGAAAGCAATGAATGAAGTCTTTGTTGCCAGAAAGACAAGTTTGCACAAAGGAAAAAAGAGTTGTTAGAAGTTTTGGGAAGTTTAGTGTTGCTTTAGTTTGGTTCATGGGATTTTTTTGGTTAAATAGCATTCCAATGAATCATTCATCATCAATTGTTTCAATTTGGAGCGGAACTTTCTGCGGCAAAGTCTAGGCCGTTTAACATTATTATTACAACATACTCTCTATTCCTTTCCCTTGGAGAAACTTTCAATTCTATTTTGCAGATTTTACGTTTATTTATCATCAGTTTCTTTACTGTAGAGCATTAAGATCCTTATTTGCTTCACAGTGACCCATCTATGAGTCTTCCATACCAAACAACAAAGATGAACAGCCTACTGAACTTGAACGGACCCCTGGAAATTTAAATGTGTGGATACCGCATTTGCCCAGTTTCAAGTTACAACTATTAAGCTTGTATCCCAGCAATTGATTGATTATACTGATAGTATATAATCTCAACTTCAAGTAAAAGCATATGACCTAAATAGCACTACCCGAAAAAATAAACATCTATAACTGATGATGCCAAATGGGTGGAAAACATGGAATCTCCGCCTCAAATTTCACCAGTTCCAAGAGGTTGCCTTGAAGTGTCGCCTGAGGCCCAAGCTTGATAATCCTTAACCAGCTGCATAAAATAAAGGAAAATAACCACACAGGAAAAGAGAACCAAAATGACGAACGAAAAGTTAATCAAATAATACAAGCATAACCGACGCAAAAAAAAGTCATACAAACACAGCCGACAAATAACAAGCCATGACAAAACATTTTCCATTCATAGCAAGGGAAACAGAAAATGCAAAGACAGTAGGCTGCTCATTTCGCTGAAGACTCAAAAGCTGAAACTCCAAGAGCCCATCCAAATACCATAACAAAAAGGAGAAGACCCTAAAAAGAAACAAGGTGGAAAGGGTCCCAACACATGAATCTGAACAGGGGGAAGTTGTTTGACAGATAATGAGGCTACAGGGTAGCATTCACTGAAACGTGCTGCTACTTGGATATCAATATTACTGAATCTTATGATAATATTTTCACTGTTAACCGGAATTAGTATCCCAAGAGTGGGTGACAAGAACAAAACAATGTCAAGCTGGCACCTACAATCCCATTTAAAGCAGAACAAGACGGATCTGCTTTGAGCAAAGAAAAGCTACGTCAGGTTTCAACACCTGGACAACTGCTCAGGGTAGATTAGTAGAACGTTACAAGACAAAAACATAAATGAAATGCCAAGTACTGTAATTTACAGCTAATTCAGGAGTTCAAAATTTCTAGTTTGTATATGAACGAGACAAGAGACCAATAAACATCAAGACATGCTCACAAAACAATATTTCTAATTTGAGACTCAAGATGAAAACATGTCGATTCAGAGGAAGGCTTATATAGAAACCAGCAAGATGACCATGGCTAAGGCTTGAGGGTTCTGCAGAAAAGAATATCACCTCAACTTGGATCTAGTCTGGACATACACTGGAGGAAGGTAAGATAGACAGGAAGGCCTGGATGACCGCAGGCTGCATTAACTCACCTCCTCAAAAGTAACTGTCTGTCCTTCAACAGACATAAGCTCACAAACTACATCACCCCTCCAAACACTACATGGCTAACAATGAAAAATATGTTGAATGCATTATCCTCCCATCTTAGCCAAACGAACAAGAAACTCATGGGAGGTTCTATGCACGCTGCTACTCCTAGCCATCGAACCAGCATGAACATTGTGATTGTGAAAAGCAAAACACCATTAAGAGCCTCTACTCAAAACATTTTAACACTTCTTCCGATTTTAGCATCTGTTCCCATTGTAAATATTGCCTCCACACAGACATTAAATCTTGCATCTATTCATAATAAGAGACGCAAGATGGACCTAATAACAGTCTGGAACCAATAAACAAGCCAATCCAGGGTTTTTGGCCTTGATCTTCCAATATATTAGTTTCAACAAATCCTTACACTATAACTCCTCAGGTATCAAGGCATTCTAGGATAGGATATACAAGGATACAAAGTACACCTGAACATATATCATACTCCCAGATATATCATCCTTCTACCTTCTTTCATATTGCAACTTCTTGTGTTTAACTTGCAAAACGCAGACAGAACAAACAAGCCAAAAGTAATATATGACTGCAATTGTAGTTGCAAATATATAGCTACATTAATCTCAAATAATAACAATTTAAAACCAGATCATACATGACAAAGGTATGAGTGTAAACACTCCTGAGAAAAGTGAGTCAACAAGTTTCTGTAACTTTACTTTGTACAAAAGAATGCACTGGTGGAAATAGACATACCTGGGCCATGAAACGAGGAAGCATGATCCTCAGTATTTGTTCTAAAACCTGGGTACCAGCAGATTCAATTCCTTGTTTTGGAATTGCTTGAAATGGGAAAGGGATCTCAATGCTCACCTGCATGCAAAATAAAAATAGCTGACTGAAGCTGGTTACAAGGGAAACAAAGAACAGGCATAAGATTTCCTCTTGCAAATGAAAAAGAATTCACCGTATACCTCGATAACTGCATCTGATGCTAGTTCCTGCACTTGGGAGTTGCCTTTTGTGGAATCACAGGTAATTTTATTCTCCATAGAAGCTGCATGCCCACACTAAATCAGTCAAAGCTTCCTGAAACAATTATATTCTATTCAGAATCAAACAACATAGTAAACAGATAATCACTCATACAGCAAGAAGATTCTTTTCGTTTTGATGTGTTTCCAAGCTCTGGCAGTTCGTGATATTCAATTTCATGAGAAAAATATCTGTGGGTACTATTTAAGGAAAAATAACAACAGGTGGACAAGGTACAATTTCAAACCAACTATCTTATTTCCACTATGTGGTTATGGAACTGCATATCACCTAGTCAAAATTTCCACTCACTTTGAAAATGGTTTAACTACCACGAGAATCCTTTCGATTACCATTAAAAGATCCATAAAACATATACTTTTATTTTTGCTCAAATAGATATCCTGTATCAAACTGAATTTATTTGACAGGTGTTTCTCAAACAAGTACTGACAAGCAGTCCACAGAACTCTCAGTCGCACAAACAACATCTAAATCATTATAATCTCAAAGAAACCATAGAAATTGATACTAATAGCACAAAAGTTATATATAGGCAGATAAGAATAAGGAATGCCCTAAAATTGGACTCTACTTCCACAGCTATTAAAATATAGTCAACTCTGTGGCCCTCTGAGATCTAAGGTCTCATATGAACTATGCTTGTTTTGCACATGTGATTCTCAAGATACAAGCATCTAAACAAAATGCATCCGATCAGGTTGTATGCATTTGGGCCCTTCTGATAGCTTAGTATGCATTTTTAATTAACATGATACAGGGAAGTCAAGCTGCTTAGCATAAGCTTTAGAGGGTAAACAGCAACCCAAAACGTGTTTTAAAACCTATACCATCTTGCCTTTTGACTCGTATTTACTCAGATTAAAGCATTGCAGATCAGTCAAGAGCGTCTCATAGAAGAACGAAAACACAAGATGATCTGTATATTTCTTTCGTAAACAATACCTCCTCAATTACAAGGTCGTATATCTCGTAGGTAACAAGAACTTTTAACCAAATTTGGCAAGCAGGTCCAGAAATCAAAGACTAAAGCAACAACTCTGTTCAGTGAGTTCAAATAGTGGCCAATTTCAGCTCATTCACAAGAAAAAAGAGTAGTCATGGCACCAGGAGAGGAGCTTACCATCAAATTTGTCATTTTGTGCTACCACAATCGGCGAACCCTCAAGCTGCAATCAAGAGGAAGACATTAAAATACTTCACTGGTGTTGAACCTCCACCAAAAAAGACAGAAACAAAAGCCAAACACCAAACCTTGCAAGACAAGAGCTTGATACAACAGCCATTAGGCTGCTCCTCGACCCTGACCAACAGAACAGGGCAAACTTCAAAGGAAAAGAACTTGAATCTGTACACATAACACCTGAAGGTGTTATCATCTACTCTCTCTATCCTCTCCGCATCCAACACTGAGTACTGACTCGCCGGCAAGCTCATATACTCGCCTTCATCACAAATCAAAAGTGAAATCGAAAGTCAGTAGTAACATTTAAGTACATACAGCAAAAAGACAGAGGAATGAGAACAAAAAAACACAAATTAAAAGCTAGCTTGAATGGAATAGTACTCAGAGGTCGCTGGAGCTGCTGCACGGTGACCGTCTCCCTCCGCCGCGCCACGAATCGAGCTTTCGTCGGTGAATCTGACGGAATGCGAACCGAAGGTTTAGCCGAATCATCAGTTAAGCGAGAAATAACTCGAGCTGGAACCCTAGAATTCTCTACCGGAAATGTAATGGAGCTTGAATACAGACTAAATGCCATATCCCTTATTTTGATTGACAAAGAAAAAAATAAGTAAATAATAAAATACAATTTCCTTTCTTCCCGAATGACACGACTAAATTGAATCTGTGATGACGTTCTGGCAGATGTGGTCAAGGATAAGACCACGAGTGCGCATACGAAATCATCCTGCGCATCGTAGTCAGGTGCAAGCCGTTTTCACTAAGCTACGCCAAACAAGCTGACGTTAACAACTTGACGGCGCCGTTAATTAATTACCCGGATTTAGACGGACAAGTTACCTGCGAAATACTTCACCGATTATCCCTGTCTGCTTCAATCCCAATTGTTTAATTAATCATATCAAATCAATTCTGAAGAATTAACCAGGAAAACAAGTTTTAATTTGATTGTTAATATGCAAACAGCAGAAAAATTATTTCAAAAAAAAATTAAGAAAAAATCAGAAAACTAATCGGAAACTGGATTTGATTGATTCAGAAGAGAACCAGAGGTTCAGTACAGAGAAGAGATACTAACATACGCATCTATACATATCTAGGAGAAGTACAGACCTTCAAACCCTAATTTCAACCCTAAAATTAAAGATTCTTAACAAAACAAGCAAAAACATAGAGAAACCCTAGAAATTCATCCATCAATCAGAAGAGATTTGACAACAGCAGCCATAATTCTTCAAGAGCTTGTGAATTTGGTAACAGCCTTGGTGCCTTCAGAAACAGCGTGCTTGGCCAATTCCCCGGGAAGCACAAGTCTCACGGCGGTCTGAATCTCCCTCGAGGTAATCGTCGGCTTCTTGTTGTACCTGGCGAGCCTTGAAGCTTCCTGGGCCAATTTCTCAAAGATGTCGTTGATGAAGCTGTTCATGATACCCATGGCCTTGCTGGAGATCCCGATGTCAGGGTGGACTTGCTTCAGCACCTTGAAGATGTAGATCTTGTAGGTCTCGCTGCTCTTCTTCACCCTCTTCTTCTTCTTGTCTCCGGCAGCGGCTCCGCCTTCCTTCGGGAGCTTCTTTCCGGCCTTGGGCTTCTTCTCCGCCGGGGCCTTCTCGGCTGCGGGGGCTTTCTCCGCCGCGGGCTTCTTCTCAGCTGGTTTCTTGTCGGCGGCCTTTGGTGCCATCGCGAGAACAAACAACAAACAAAAAAAATTTGGGGATTGATGGCAGAGAAAAACAGATAGGGGGTTGAATCGAAGTGGAGGAGCGTGATACCGGAGACTCGGCGAGGAGGTTTCTTTATATAGGAAATTGGGTTGGATTGTGATTGGTGGAAATGGAGTGACGCGGATCGTTAATTAGAACCGTAGATTGGATTATTAAAGAACGGCTGAGATTGCGAGCGCCGACTGGGATTTGGGTTTTGGGCATTTTGGTTCCAGATTTGAAAATTGAATTTCGCACGCTTTTTCTTTTGGGAAAACTTGGAGCCAAAAGGTGACAAAAATTTGAGATATTTGTTAAAATAGTTCCCTCTATATTGTCGAGTTACTCTAGTAATATTCAAACTCAAACGCAATATGATTTAGTTTTATCTATGCTTATTATGGATATTTCATTACGCATTTTTATTTAATTATTAAAAAAGATTGTCCTAGAGCTTGAGGAAAGTTTGAAAATCAATCGAAACTTGAGGTTGAATTCCACTAATTTTCTAAAACTTGAGTTCAGATATATTTTTCAAACGTTTCACAGTGGCATACCTTGAGTCTTTATTTATTTCTTTTCTAATATTTGGGCATAGGTAAAGGTTACACTGAAAAAAAAAAGCAAGTGGTTGAATCAAATTTATGTAGATTTTCTATCAAAAGTTCCAAATTTCTGCTTTTTCATGATCATGTAATGAAATTCGTCAAGAATAATATTTATAGTGGAAGTAAATAGTATTTCAAGTCTAAATGATGTTGTTGAACTTATAAAGTATGGGGTTCACGATTTTAATCACGTTTCGTTTTTGCGAAAATGTGCAATTCTTAAACAACAAAAAGATTCAATTGTTCTAAACTTTTAACGAGATGTAATTAATAGATCTTTTATTCATCTATAAAGTTGGTAAAGAATTTTGTCACGTGACTGCGAAAGATTAAGGAATTGAAGTGACGACACAATGTCGTCATAAAAAAACACACTAGAGCATTGCATTAATGTATAAATTGGGAAAGTTTTAGTTACCTTAAGCTTTTAAATTTTTATCCAATGAAGTCTCGTAACAGGCAAAATGTTCTTTTTATAAGTTATATCACACGATTCAATGTATAATTTAAGATTTTATATTTTATTGTATTTTTTTTGCTTATACAAAAAATAATTTATGTTATAAATTATTAATTGAGAAAATATTACAATCTAAATAATGTTTATGGCACGAAGGGAGTATTTTTTATATTATTATTTTTCATGGGAAAAACATCACAATGTGAATTCTCTAATGTTTTATCGGCAATTATGTGACGAAAAGTAATTTACTCTTGCTTCTTATATCTAGAGGGCTGTGGGCTTCGATATCTGAAATTCTCAATGGGCCAGGTAGTCAAAAAATGGCCTATGAACATTTCATTGCAAATTATGAATGTTCTTTGGGATTTCCACCACATGACATACACAAATTAGATGGAAGTAATATTGCGGAGATAATGTTTGGGTACTTGTTTTTTGAAACTGACTACTTTGGGTTTGGGTACACATTTGCAACACTCTCAGCCAAAATTGTGAATAAAATTGTAGTCAATGTGATGGGCAATTGTGTTAGTTCCTCCAATATAATACTCCCTCCGGTTCTTAATATAACGCATTTTAATTTATCATAAGTTTCATCAAATACATATTTTTAATTGATAAAAAAACTTATAAATATATATATTCACATTCGTTGTGCGATTCATTGTGTACTTTTGATTATTATGAAATATTTTTAAATTTTTTTGTCAATTAAAAATACATATTAAGTGAAATCTATAACAAATCAAAATACCTTATATCAAGAGTCGGAAGGAATACTTCATTCGTTAAAATACCGTTTAAATAAAATCAAGTTACGTTTAACAATATCGTTGAAAAATTTATATAATTCGAATTTGCATAACAATTTGAATTTTAACGATAGATATTTTCACGATAATTTGAATTTTCACGACGAGTAATTACTAATATTAACTAGTGTTTTATCCACGCCACCTTTAATAATCTAGTCTCGTTTCTTGAAATAAAAAAAAAATACTTTAGAACCGTTATTTGCAATGGAATAAAAGTAATGTTTTTATAAATTTTACCACTATATTGGATACATTTTATTCAGCAGGAGGGAATAAAGCAATTATTTATGTATTGAAGGATACTTTAAGAAATTATATTGTTTTTTTGAGTTCTAAACATATTCTAGTAGATGTGAGGTGCATGGTTGAAGCCTCAATATTTTATACTCTCTCCGGTCCTTATTATAAGGCATTTTAATTTCGTCTTAGGTTTAATTTAGGATATCTTTTTAATTAAAAAAAATCTCTTAAAAATATATTTTCACATTCGTTGTGTTCTCCTAATTATTATGAAATGTTTTTAAGATTTTTATTCAAATTAAAAAAACATTCTATATGAAACTTAGAACGAAATCAAAATACTTTATAATAAGAATAAGAGGGAATACTAGTTAAGAGTAGGTTGTCTTAGAATTAATAGGCTCGGATATACTACAATGAAATATCTATAACTCGATATTAGCAGTATTCCAAATTTATAAGGTCATCACTTCCAACTAGATGCATTCGCCCGAGGTCGCCAGTATTTTAAGATTGTTAATGAAAAAAGTGATTTATAATTCATATTCCTTCTATCCCAAAATTACTGTCCAGTTTGAAGGTTCACTTTTAGTTCAATTGTTCACTTTTAGTTCAATTTATACTAAAATTAAAAATTTCAAATTAAACAATGATTTTGGGATGGAAAGAATATAAAATAATGGGCATACAAAAATTGGCATAATGTTCCTTGCAGGTTTGAAACAACTATTATGTGTCAAGCATTCTTAAAATGACATTGTATAGAATTACTATACGAATCTTATGATTTTAAATCATTCAGTGCTACTCATTTATAATCTGTTACACACAAACATATATATATATATATATTGTTGATTTTTTTTTCTAAAATTTTTATTTTCTATAAATTAATTTGCAGTATCACGTAGTAATTTAAATGAGCAATTTTGTTTTATTTCCACAACATCAAGATGTAAGTTCTAATTTAATATGATGTCTATTATTGCTATTAATATGTCTTATTAAGAATGTTGACTGAGGCCAATGACAGGGGAGAAACATAACCCTTAAACATATGGCCACATCAAAAAATTGTCAAAGTATTGCAATATTTGAAAAAAGCAAAACTTTGAGCTTGCTAAGCACCACCGAGCTTTAGAGTGTTGATAGCTTTCAATATACCACAAACATCCCCAAATGATGTGGGGTTCCTTTTTATGTTCCAGATCCAATCGATTATTATATAGAGAAATTACTAAAATTTCCATATGAATTTTATTGATTAACACTACTCAAATCATCGGCATTCAACCAAGTCTCTTTTCACGGCTGAATCTCACAGCAAATTCAGAATTTGGTAAGGGAGGTATCACTATGATATTTCCATCATAATTAAGAAAAATTTAGTGTTTCTTCTTTCTTCTTCATAAAGGTTTAGATTGTGCATATAAGAAAAAGCAAAGTGGAAGGTGCCAAGTGCAAAATAAGAAGATGATATTGAGTAGACGACAAATTCATCAAGAATACCAATTTCCCTCAACTCAAAAGGAGGAAAGAAGCAACTATAATCCATTTCAACAGATTTCATCTGAAAATAGCCTCGAAAAACTCTACATTTTGGTTATGCATTCGTAATAATAACATAGTAAATCAGAGTTGGATGGAGCTTGAATAACCATTAGTGCAACCATTAGTTCTTCAATATGAAATTCAGAGACCACTAACAACACGGCCTTCCAATTTTAATGTTTATTGAATTTGAAACATTAATTCAAGGTAACAGCAAGTAAACCTAATAATTATTACATTTTTAAGAAGTAATTCAGCTTAGAAATGATAAGTATACAAAAGAGCAAATTACTATAAGAAAAGCAAGACCAAAAAAAAAAAAAAAAGAAGAAGAAGAAAGACCTTGGATGCAAGAGGATATGAACCTTCAATCGACTTAGCTGCCCAAATCCCGCTTTTCATGAAGCGATTAGCTGCAGTAATTTGCCTCAGTACATCAAGATTCATGCAATGTAAACATCACTTTTCATTTGCGCATTGTGAAAGTAGATGCACTTTTTATCTTGACCCGGTAATCACTTTTTTTGATGCCTTCCTTCCTTCAATAAATATGCAATATAATGCTTCAGTCCTAAGAACAAACCACAAACCCGAAGCATGTTAGTATTTCATTCAGGGATTCAATAACATGATACTGACATTAGTTCCTCTACTTGTTTAAGGAACTGAAGTACTCACCTCATTCCATGACCTTTTCTCCAATTTATCTGCATCAAAATTTTGAATATATCATGATCTTCATTTTAGCTACTTGTTTTGCCATAGAAATCTGGCGTTCCGTACACTAATCTACAACATTTTTGCCATCATAAGATATGAAGCAAGAAACACATAAAACCATTATTCATAAGAATTTATAATGAATGAGAATAGACAAATCAAAAGAACTCAAATTCTATCAATTTCTTTCGTTCTTTCTTTATACTGCAACTACAGGCGGGCCTTCTTTGCTTCAAGACTACTTCATAATCCAAATGAGGTACTGATAAAAGAAACCATGCTTAAAAAATTATTTTATAACGAAATCTTATGATTAAGATCCGGATTAAAAAATGTATCATTTACTATATAAATAAGGTACTGATGATTCTAAAATCTAGTGACCCGTTCAGATATCATAAACATACTAGGAATTTCTTTTAACATTACCTCCAATAAAATCTGTACGCAAATCATCCAAAGCAAGGCATAGGCTTCCTCTGAAATCCTACACCTTAACAAAATCTCCCCAATAAAATTTGTTGCTTCCAAATCATTCATTGAACACTATTAAAGTCAACTATTCTATTATTCATAACGATTAAAGCAGGATTTTTGAAGCCCCTTAATTTCACCTCAAATGGATTCGTTGGAAAACAAAATTTTGCTTGGAATTCCCGAATTAGTCAACGATGGCATCAACAGTTGCTTTTCCTCCCGCATCTTAACCTCGCCTTTGTCTTAAACAATTCATGATAAGAAAACAATTGCAATCCAATTGCTATAGTTCAAAACACTTAATACTAAGTACAACTCAATCAACAAAACCGAAACCACAATGCAATCAGAAACGAAATAAAACACAAACCAAGGTTTGACTGAAATAAAAAAGAATTCAATTAAATCTAAACCTAAAACCAAACAATCAATTTGCGAAAGAATACTCTAGATCTGATTGTACTTGTATTCTTGGATGTGGCGATTTAAGAGTCGTGAATAGATCTTCAGTGGAAACCGTTGGACCCGGCGGCCCTGTGGCCGTGGCTGATTCCCAAAATCGCTGGCCATCAAAAGATGGATTTATGGCGATGGCAGCTTCAACTAGTGGATTACAGATCTCTCTCGGTTGCTCCCTGCCGGTGATGCTAAACCCAGTAACATGTCGGTAATCATTGAACGGAGGCAAATTTGAGAGAAGGAATCAGAACCAGAGAAGCCTTTCTTTTTCTGAAAATTGAATTTGATATGAAGAGTGAATATGATACGAGAAGATAATTTGAAAACTTAATTAGTTGGCGTGATTTGAGGCGGGTTCGAGGTTTTCATGAATGAAAGAGATAAGCGTTTCAGAATTTGATGCTAACTAATTATATAAGTAAACAGAGGCTAAAATTAAGGAATTTACTTTGATTTACCTTTTTCTTTATTTAAAAACTTTTTTTCAAAATTATATCCTTTTTCTGAATAGTTAGAGTGTCACGTATCATCAACTTGTATGCTACTTTAATTAAGTACAATAGATTTCAGTGAATTAAACGTTAAAGTTAAAATGGACCTATAAATTCTAATTTGAAACTTATTATATTAGAATATAGTTTTCAAGGAAAAAAAAAAATTCTGCATTCCTGTTTCAATAAAAGTTTTTAGTTATGTTTGTCATGCCTCTGCCAGTTAATGATTATACTATTGACGGGACATGCATTTGTATGAGAGTTTTTTAACAAAAAATTGTTATTTGATATATTATACAATTAGATTTTTTTCGTGCATTACCCAGAATATGTAAAATACAGTATAGAGTATAAAAAATTTAATTTTATTCTCTCTCTCCCCGACATTTGTTTGAATAAAATCGACATTTAAAACACTGAATTTGAATATCAATAAAATGTTTTATTTTGATTTTTTTTAATGATTTTACCCGTAGGTTTTTTACATTTTTTCCCAACATAAATGATGAAATCATGGTTATGTTTTTATTAGTGCTGAAAAAGGTCACATGGGGTGAAAATAAATCATTAAAATTTTTACATCAAACAATTATTTTAGTACAAACTAATTTTTAATGTATTTTGTTATAACTTTTTTAGTCAAAATTACGTAGTATTAACTTGATATATTTTATATAGGAAACTGTTAATTATACTACGATATGTATCTTTTATTTTTTATTTAATAGTTATTTAGTAGTAAATAAATTTATTTTTAACCAAAACATCGTAATTTTGTTTTGTAGGAGAAACATTTCACGAGAACACAATACCTCATTATTTTTTCTCTACTGGACTTTTGTTTTAATATGGTATATTCATTGATATTGATTTAACAATGTTTTAATGTGTTTGATTGTGTCTTGTCCTAGTAGTTCATTTTGACGTGCCTGTACTATTTTATTTCAATCATATTTTACAATAAAGTGAAACTTATAAACTGTCATGAATTACATCAATCGGTACATGAAATCCCAAAATAACATTTGGTTTACATTAGGTGGATGGAGTATAATAATTAAGAGTTAGGATACGATATTGTTACCATATTAATAGTTTGATTTTGGCTGAGATAATTTATTTTCTCCTATACACAAAATTATGAGCTTACTGCTCCACCAGGAAAGTAGAAGTCCTGGACTATATAATACATAAACTAAAGAATCATAGGTTTTTTAAGCCTGTGCGTTTGTTTACAAAAAAAAAAAAAAGAAAGAAAGAAAAGAAATATACAATTTACATGCTCTGATAGGAAAATGTATATAATAATATATATAATAATGTATGTACATATATACATATATATATATACATACATATATATATAATTTACATGCTCCGGTGAAATTTGACAATTTGAGCTTTATTTGGTTTACGTTTTAATAAAACTATAGGACTCGGTGGTCACTAACAAGCATGTTAGGCCAGAATATCAAGGTTTAATCCTTCTTTCTTTTCCCCAATATAGTTTTTACTGTTATTTCATTCATTTTTATGCGAGAGCAATAACTAATTCTAAACATACCAATAAGAGTGAACTAGATGCAGTGGCAGAACCATGTTTTAGTATTTGGGAGCACTAGATGTTCATTAGACTTTCGAGAGTTTTTTTCTTCATTAGATAAATTTTAAAATAATGCAATTATCAATAAATCTTGAAATGATTTTTATTATCTTAGTACATTTACATAATGGGTGTAAAACCAACACTATTATATATATAAAAAAAGACCAAATACATGTTTGGAAATATGCTATGAGATCCTTTTTAGTTCATGATTATTTAGCTAATTTTTCAATGACCTAAATAAACAAAAAATATATTAATACTGGATTACTTTTATAATGTTTGAAAGTTAAGTGGTCAAAAATAATAACAAAAGACTAGGGAAAAGAATTATGGAGTGATATGGGGTATATTTACTTTATGACTAGAGTCTGGGACCTATTTAAAATTTTGTAAAACTTTTAACTCATTTTCTTCCTTAAGTCTGTCCTGTAACTCCGGCAAAGCAGCTACGATCCGAATTCAGAATTAAAAACCCAAATGAGAGACCCCAAAGGCTAGTATTTCATCTTAATGCCCAAGGATGAAGCCCCATCAAGCACACTTCGGGGGGCTGAGAGGGAAAAATTGAATCATATAAGGACTCCTGTCAGAGAGTATTCTGGCTCTCTCCGGCCGACCGAGGGGCCTTGAGACCCCCCAAGCCCCTTAACAGTTCCGCTCCTGACTAAATGGGTTGTGGTAGAGCCGTAGAGGGGAAAGGATTCTTCCAACTTTAATCATAAGTCAAGGGGTTCGAACTTTGTCGTGAAAATGAAGCAACTTTAAATCTTTAATCAACTTTTTCACTCATTGAGATGTCTACCATGAGCGAATCGTATTAGTCACTGTTAACGATGGTAGATGTTCTGTCTCAAAATTGTAATAAATTTTCCAAATTACATTGATAACATTGGTGGAGTGATCAAAGTAATACTTGAACTGGTTAGTTGTGAGGATAAATAAAGAAACAAGTTACTAAATGCTTATTTGAAAATCTAAAATTTCTTATTTAAAAAGGAATAAGAAATTCATGTCCAACATGTCTTTTAAAAAAGAATGCATGTAATACTTTTGTACACTTTGTAATAGGATTAATTGTATAAAATTACAAAAAACTAAAGGGTTTATGAATTATTTATTGTCAATTTGCCTATGAATTGACCGGTAAATTAGTGATTCCATTTTATGAGAAAAATATAATATATAGTAGATTTATCCACTTTTTTAATATAACTAACCAATAAGTTTTTGGGCCTATGTATTTTTGTTCTCTCTCCCATAAAACTAACACCTTTACTTCAATTATATTTACTTCATTATGAAATAAGTGTCTTTCTAACAAAATAGAGAAACTCCAAAATAAATACGGTTTTCTGATTCTAATATAAGTTTTTACCGAAATTTTCAAAACTATCCTCAAAAGAAATTGTATTAATTGGGTAAGTTAAGAATATTATAGTAATTAAACTACTCTATTTAAATGTTTCATAACCAGTATATAACTTGTCTAAAAACGTTTAAAATGACTAGAATATCAAACTGCACAAACTGACGTGGCGCAGTGGCTAGTGAAGATTTACTCCACTTGATGGCTGGGCCACTAAAACGAGCTTTGACTTTGAGATTCATTTTTCTCTTAATCCCAAACAAGTTCATTAATGACATTAATTTTCCGTTAATCAATATGTACGTCCATGTATTCTGACTTAAATTAGTCATCTTATATAAGAAAAACGTGAATTTTTGTAATAATTATATAAGGTTTTCGGCGGAGGAGAAAAACTATAAACAAAAAATGAAAAAAAGGAGAACAAAGAAGATAGACAATTGCATATATACCCTGACTGACATCATCAAGATTCAATATTATCCATTTTCATTCGCTTTTAACTGAATGATCGATCAAAGTTAACATTTGTCATCAAACCAGGCAGGACACAGCATACATTACTTGTACGAAAAGTAAACCAATTAATAGTAAAACAATAAAATAAAATTAAAATATAGAAATAAATTAAATACAGCTACCTCTAACTACTACGACTTTCAAATAGTCAGTACTACGGCCCAATTGCGGATTAGTACTATCCAACTAACAATTTAACAACTCCCCCAAGTCGCTACTTATTTAATTCGAAGAAATCGTAAAGAAATCGAGAGATTTATAGTTAAAAGCGTTAGCTTGTTGTGGGCCAGAAGCGTGTTATAGCGGTCCCCCGTTTCCCCTAAAACAAAATAGCTCAGCCAAAAAAAATAAGAAAAAAAAGAAAAAAAAAAAAAAATTTGGTTCAATTTGCTCACATGAAAGTTGAAACTTCCCCCTTCCTCAGCCCCTCTTCTCTCCCGGATTCTTCTTCTTCCCAGTGACGCGGCAACCTTCATTCAGCTCATCTGTTCATCTTCCGTCGGTTCACATTTTGCCGGGTGGTATATTTTTCCCCTAAATTCCGGTTCGTTTATCTGAGATTTATGCTCTGCTTAAATGTAATTGACTTCTGCCGCTTACTTATCGGTATTCTTTTTAATTTTTGTAGAGGAGTTTACATTGTTGCCGACGTTCGGTGGTTTGAATTGTGGATAAACCTTCCATGGCAACCGAAGGAGCTGATTCTCGATTTGATGGTTCTGAGGATGGCTCCCAGAATCAATCTCCTTCGCCGCGCAAATCTCCGGCGCCGGAAGGTAATTACGCTTGCTTTGTTTTGTGACTGCAATGCGAAAGATTTTATTGTTTCTGATCTGTTTCTTTCGATGTCCTTTTTTTTTCTGGCGTAATTTGCATTTTCGTAATCCATCTTTTACGGCTCTGGATAAGCTGAAATAGTTGACGGTTACTTGTATTACACCTGGCGGTGATAGAGTGACTGTTATGGTGTAGTTAAGATTTGAGACCTTACTTCGGAATGTGTTTTATTTTTGGTTATTCCGAGCTTTCAAATTGTCTCTGAAAGAGGATAAGATTTGGTAAGTGTGTTTAAATGGGTTTTTTTTTTTGTTTTTTGTTTTTTTTGTTATTGATTTTTTTCTAGTCTAGGGCTAAATGACAATGATGAGATATTCTTTTAACAAATAGAACAATTGGAATTGGAATGTCATTATCTGGGTGTAAGAGAAGTGGTTAAGGCACCACACTGAACAATGTATATTGTTTTTATAGAATATCTTATATTAGGTTAATGGGCCTTAATGGCCAAAATGGAAATGCATAAATCACCTCCGAGTGCACGCGTGTAGAAAATTTCAGGAGAAAAGTACCAACAAGGACCAGTTATCCATGCTTTGCTCCTCCCTTTTACCTGCTGATTTAGTTCCAGTGCATAATGCCAATAGCAGCATGGTCTGATGATTAGAAATGGCCTGTTCTCTTTATTATCATTTCTTTCATTCATTCTTGGATGTCATATTTGCCGAGGAAAGAACTCCATTATTAGTTTGTCGACTTTGTTAAAGCCTCTTCACCTATGGAATTTCGACTTCTACCTTTCTGCCTATTACTGACTTCAGTCTGTGTTTTGGGAGATGGAGGGAGCTGGTGAAGAAATCTGCATTGTCTGTAGTTTATTTCAGAAAGCAATTTTGAAAAAGTATATTGGAGTCTGATTGCTATATTTTCTAGCTCTCATCCTCTGTAAATCAATCTCTTGCAAAATAAAATAAGGTTGGAGATGACATTTATTTATCAAACTTGTTAGGTGCCTTTTATTTTGCATGAGATTTTAAGACATGGAATATTTATGTTTGGTCTATCTTTTAAACTTGGACCGTTCACTACTGAATTTGTATAAACTTTTTCATTATGCTTAACTTCCTAAACTTTGACTGTCAATGGTTAAATCCTAAATATCAAAAGGAGACGTTCTATTTTGTTTTCCTTTTCTAAGTTCTTTAATGGAACACCAGATCACGAGGAGAAGTCTATTCATATCAAGTTTCTCCTCTCAAATGCTGAAGCGGGATCCATTATTGGAAAAGGTGGCTCAACAATAAATGACTTCCAGACGCAGTCCGGAGCACGGATTCAACTGTCACGCAATTTTGAGTTTTTTCCTGGAACTTCTGATAGAATTGTAATGGTATCTGGAATAGTCGACGACGTTCTCAAGGCAGTTGATCTTATTCTCACTAAAGTGCTTGACGAGGTATCAAAACTTACTCAAAATTCATTTTCATACATTTTCTGACAGTTTCGAGTAGGTGGATTGATATATTCTTTTTTTCTTGAACAGTTTTATGTTGAAGAAGGTGGAAATGAGGATCCCCACTTTAGAGTGAGGCTGGTTGTTCCAAATGGCTCTTGTGGTGGAATAATTGGGAAGGGAGGATCCATTATCAAGTATGTAACCTTCCTCACATTGTTTCGTATTTTGTGTTTTCAAAGAAATTTGATGGAGTTTTTATTAGTTGTTAATTGAGCAGCTTGCAGGGCTGCAAATTTTGTCTATACCCATAGCTTATAGATGTGGTTATTTAATTTTCAAGCGCAACAACCTTTCAACAAGCATGTTTTTGGTCTGATATTGGGTGTTCAAGTTGTATACTAGTTATCTAAATGGTTGGTTCAGAAACTCATCTCAGGAATGCTTTCTATCGTAGTATTGGTTACACTTGATTATCCAAATAGTAAAATGTTTCAACGTACTCCCTATTAACCAATTGGTCTTGATTCTACTTCTTCGTTTTGGTTCGTTAGTCATTATGTAAACAGATAATTGACTGTTGACTTGCTTATGGCTTAGCTGAAGCTAGCTAATATTTTGCCTAAAATCCTCGACCGGTCCCTATGATGGAGTGATTTGCGATTAGAAATGATGTTGATGTGGGTTCTTAAGTTTGACAAAGAACATTTATCATGTTCATGCTTTAATGTACTTCTACTTTGAGTCATATGATCAATAACACATCCCCTAAGTACTATATAATCCCTTGGCTTGAGTGGTATATGCTCACACACTCAGTTACATTCTTACGAAACTGCTCCTGGAATTTAAGCAAATATTAGTAAAACCTATTTCTGGATTTCAGAAGAGATATGGTAATTCTGCTTGTCCCCTGCTGAATTCTTTTTCAAATGGAGATAGAGAGGCTAAAATCCCTTTTATTTTGTTTATATTCCATAGAAACACTAAAGGATGCTTTTGTTTGTAGGTGTATGTGGTCTTGTAATGCGACTTTTGTGACTCCTTCCTTATTTTAGTATCGAAATTCAGCGTACCTGGTTTTAGTCTTATGTAACTTGACTCTGCTGGCTTGATTTATATGAAGGTCACTCATTGAAGATTCTCAAGCAAACATAAAAATATCCCCACTGGATACCAATTTTCCAGGCCTATATGATAGGCTAGTAACTGTGAGTGGAACTCTAGGGGAACAGATGCGGGGCATTGAGTTGATTTTGTTCAAGTTGGCTGAAGATCCTCAATATTTACAATCGGTCAATGCTCCATTTCCTTATGCAGGTACTTGTCTGGAAAAAATGCACCATTCTTATGAACGTAGGGTTGACAGTTCTAGGATAAATTCATAGATTTATGTTTGTTTAAGGCTGGTGGTAAAGCCTCAGTGATGATAACCAAGTTTTCACAATCAATATATACAATATATGATTTTTCTTATTTTATGTTTTGTGTATGTCTCCATATATTGTTTGTCTAGAAGTAAAGAATGCTGTGAAATGTCACTCAATATGTGGCAGTTAAATTAAGTTTCATACATTCAGAAGTATTTTTTGTGCTTAAATTATAATGAGTGCTTCAGATTTGCTCTGAAAGGCATCATCTACTACTAGTAGAAGGCTTTCTGCAGTTGTACAGAAATTTATGTCATGGCTTCATTTTTTGTGGCTAACCTGTTAAAGCTTATCCTTCCTAGACTTTAGTACGTCATGGTAACCAGCATGCAGGACAATCATAAAGCAAGATGACATAATTTTTTGTTGTTCTGATTTTAGTAACATGTTTTTGTTAACTATTGCCTTGTTCTCTTTCTATAGTTTCAGGAATGCCCTACAATGGAGTGAACTATGCACCAAATGGAGTTGGGGGTAAATTTCAGAACCCAAGGTTCCAGAACAAGGTAATCCACCATTTCAGTCCTCTATTTTTCCATAAACTTTTTATTGATGTGTTCTCTGAGACACTGCGATCTCTCCCTCCCTTTTAGTCATGAATATATTTCTGTAACTTTGAAAAGTTAAATCTTTGCGTGATATGGGAGTGTCTTGCTCTCATGAAGGATTCCTAGTAATATGCATGATTGATGCTTAATCAAGTGAAGGGCTCTATATAGCATGATAGTTTGGGAAATCAACAAGCATAGCAAACTAGTAACATGTAACAAACTTGGTATGTCAATTACGGGTTGTTGCACTTCAGGTTCTGGGTAAATGCCTGAAGGATTTTTGCATGCTTCCATATCTAGCTCAGAGAACCGGAACTGATTTCAACTTCTCTCCCTGCTTCTAGTATCTGCTCCGACTCATATTTCATAGAAGTCCTGATATGTTGAATGGGTATTTTTTTAATGTCAATGCCATTTTCCCTTCACACTTCTTTTGAGCCACATCATTTGGTATTTGTCAGGGTAATCAACAGGAAGACCGGAGTAACTCAGTGACAATTGGTGTGCCTGACGATCGTATAGGTTTAGTTGTTGGTCGTGGTGGAAGGAATGTTGTGGAAATTAGTCAAGTAAGCAATTTTTAGTTACTTTTCATGTTCCTTTTGTGTGTGTGTGTGTGTGGGTGGGGGGAGAACTTGCTTTATTGCTGGTTCTGTATTTATAGCTGAAATGGATCCAATTTTTGCAGCTAACTGGTGCAAGAATCAAAATATCTGAAAGGGGTGATTTCATGTCCGGAACATCTGATAGGTAAGAAAAGCACTTTCCAGTATCTGTGTTATCAGTTCTATAAAACTTAATAAGATTTGACAAAGCTTCTGTTGTGCAGGAAAGTAACAATCACTGGATCACAAAGATCGATTCGCGCTGCTGAGGCCATGATTTCTCGGAAAGTATCCTCTGTCGTGGAGAGCTGATAACAATGCTGGGGATAAGTTATTCTCTGAACTCTGAAGAGGGCACCTTTTTTTCATTAAGTCAAAGGAAAATTTTTACATGACATTTGTAAGAGTAGAAATCCATAAGTCCCATAACTGCTTCCTTTATAAATTAATAGCTATTTTATACATATGATAGTGTAATTCTTCAAACCGCAGGCATTATTAAATTTGAGAGGTATTTAAAATCCAGCTTTTAGAGTTAAAAATTTTAGCAGTCCCCCAATCGGTGTGGTTTCTCTGCAGTTTTTCTGTATGCTATGGGAGTTTCACTTTCGCAAGGGTCTATTATCAAGTTTCAACCCGCTTAGTCCTTGGGCTGATTATGTGTATCAGTGGATTTTTTTTTTTTTTAATTTTTAGAAGAAAGAGATAATAAAAAAAGAAGGAAATGCATAGGATCAAAAGTGATATAAGGAAAGGGAATAGAGTCTGGCCCTCGGTCCCACAAAAATAATTCAATTTTACTAAAATGAAAGATTTTATTTTTGGTCAAATTTAATTATATTTTATCTTAAATAACTGGATATATCCTTACATAAATAATTGTTTAACCACTAAAATTTTATGGATAATGTTTTTTACTAAGGACAAATGTGTAACTTGATCTATAAAAAGTCAAATTGGACAATAATTTTGGGACAAAATTTTTTGACCAAAGTAGACAATAATTATAAGAAAGAGTACAATTTTTTTATTTTAATCATACAACACCTTTTAGACTCTAAACTTCTAATTTTACCCCTGTTTTCTCAAATTGTAACACAAAAATATTTCATCTTCCTTGCCGGAAAATACTTCTTCGCCGTAGAACGTTCGAACTTCCAATATACCAGGCATTAGCTTCAGCTTGAATGGGGAAGGATGAGGTCCATCAAAACAGAATAAGGCCACTTCCTTCTCGTAACAGAATTTGGCATGAAAACAGAGTCATAAGGATCAGAGGATGAAAAAACAAGAGAAGGGAAAATCTTTCGATTTGGGAAGAATTGACAACAAAGGATAGAGCATAAAATTGTTTTTGGCCAAAATGAATTTGCAGCCCCAGTTGTGAAACACAAAACACAGAACCTTCTCCCAACTCATCTTCTCCCATCTTTTAACGAATTAACCATAAATATCACAATTTTTCAACATGAAATCAGATTTTAAAAAGGCTATATAGTATCCCCACTTATCTTCTTTAACGACTGGAGATATGGAGCACAGCGAATCCAAATCGGAAGGAGTAGATTGGTGAAAAAAGGAGGAATTTTTCAGATTGGTGATGGCGATTGGGTAAGTAGAACCTCAATCCTCCGGCGACGAAAGAAAGAAGAATTGGAGTTACTGGCGGTGGCAGTGGCGGCAGCGGCGGCTCGTGGGGCTTCTTATTTAACTGTAGGTTGTGTTGTTAGGGTAATTCAGTCATTTTATTCTTATTTAATTTTGACTTTCTGAAACTGGATTATTCTTTTGGGACAATATTTTTTATCAAACTAGACTATTTTTTTTGGGAAAACGAATCTGAATTGTCATTAGATGTAACCATTCATTTTTTAAGCATCCGATCAAAGTAAGATTGTTTTTATTTGATCAAAGCAATTTAACAAGTCACTCGATTTAATCACTCATTTATTTGTTTGCACCAAAAACTAGATAATTATAAATTTGTCTTCGTTTTAAATATGCCACTACTTTTCTTTAACCAACAAATCGGGGAAAAAAAAAGGGAGAAATAAAAAAGAAATGGGTTCGTACGTAGCATATATATGTAGTTAAAATGTAGAAACGAGCACTTTATTTTCATTATGAAGTAGAGTATAATAAAACATAGTGGTACAACAACACAAGCAAAAATCACACGTACGTAAGTCCTGCATGCATTTTTATTGTTTGGACTTAATTTGGAATATATTATATGATTGAAAAGCGTCTGCTATCTTGTGAAGGCAGCATGCATGCAGAGTTGCATATATATATCAGCGGTGTTTCTTTACGGCTTACCACCGGATCCTGATCCATAGCCAGACCCGGAACCGGATCCACTGCCGGAGCCATATCCAGACCCATTCCCTCCACCACCACCGCCGCCGCCGCCTCCACCTCCGCCACCACCACCACCTCCTCCCTTGCCACCGCCACTTCCATATCCCGAGCCACTGCCACTTCCATAACCTGAACCACTTCCTTCACCATTACCACCTCCAGACCCTCCACCTCCACCGCCTCCTTGACCGCCACCGCCACCGCCACCTCCTCCTTTCCCGCCGCCACTTCCATATCCTGATCCACTGCCACTACCATAACCCGAACCGCTTCCGGCACCATTACCTCCTCCAGAACCTCCACCTCCACCGCCTCCTTCACCACCACCACCGCCTCCTCCTTTCCCTATTCCGCTGCCGGAGCCGTACCCTGAGCCAGAACCAGACCCATAGCCCGAACCCGACCCTGAGGATCCTCCACCACCACCACCTCCTCCTCCACCACCTCCACCTCCACCACCTCCATTGTCAACTCCGACCTTTCCGGTTCTTGCAGCAAAAGCAAGATCCACAAAGAGCAGAACCAACAATGCAAAGGCTATCACCTTGTTGTGAGTAGCCATTTTGCAATCAATGCACCAGAGAGAACACGAAAAGTACTTATTTAATGAGAGAATGGAAAACTATGGAATACTCGATAGCGAAGCTGGTTACTTGGTGAATGCTAAGTTGGGGTTGCATGGCCTTTTTATAGGCAATTTTCAAGTCAACTGTGACTGTGTGTAAAACCTGTTGGAAATGGATTTAGTTCAAGCAGCTGCTTCCTTATCTCTGGTTTTTGGGTCGCAAAAATGGAATGGTCTTCCATCACTGTGCATGTAAGTGTGATGATAATGATGTTGGTTGGAAAAATGTGATTGGTTGGCAAGTTGGTTTATCATCTATCTTTCTTTTCTTCATTCATGCAAATTCTTTTTAAGCTTTATCCCCTCCATAAAGTCACTATAAAGTATAAACTCTCCCACTTTTGACTTAGTGGATCTCTGCAAAACTAACTTAATAGGAATTAGGATTGGGGAACCAATGGGCGTCTCTCTTGGTCGACCATCTTTTAAAACTTGTCCACATATGTGTTCACATTTCATGGAGATTCATATTTACTCTATTCTATTGTCTTCGTGCCAATCACATACGTACGTGTTCTTCACAAATTTTTAAGATTAATTTTATTACTCTTTTCGGTATCCATTACCAAAAATAAAAAATAAAAAATGGTGAACGTTTTGTCACTTTAAAGTTATAAAAGTGACAAAACAGTTTGGTTAAAAGATTAGTCGATGGTGCATCATTTACATCATTATTTATATGTTGCGTGATCGATAAACACGTACAAATTATAAATAAGACATACAAATACTTGGGATATTTGACTCACGCATAATAAGTACAAAATTTGAAGGATAAAAGGAGTGGTCATACTAAACTATTCATATATAATATTAATAAGTTGAGATATTGTTGATGCGGATACGCCATGTAGACGACTATAATATGTTACGCTGATCTAATTCATTTTGTCGTTTATTCTACAACTCGCATACCAATTTTATATTTTAAAAAAAATTTCCTCTTCGTATAATGAATGACAGAATGAGACAAGAGTTTAAAATCCACACAAATACAATAAGGGGATATGATACCCATCATGATTTAGTCATAGTTCGACGCTTAATAATGGAGCCTCTAACCGACGTCAAATCAAAATCAAACAACCATACGAAGTTACGTTGACTTGATCTTGTACTACAGTTTCTTTCTGTGATGTCACGATTAAACAATAACTAACCATGGAATTCAACTCCAATTGATTCACTTTGATTGGCAAAGAATGTGTCAAAATTTGACAATTCACTTGATTCAGCTCCAATTCATTAAATTCCAAATTCACTTGAATTTAGAACAATTGTCTAACATAATAATAATAATAATAATAATAATAATAATAATAATAATAATAATAATAAGATTTCAGGTGTATTAATGTATCGAATTTACGGTGGTTGGAACAAAAAAATTTTAAGTCCAAATTTATTCAAAATTCAAAGGAATCATATGGCATGAATTAATGTGTTTATTTGGTTATAAGTTTTGTGAGAATTCATTTGGTTGGATTGGTTGTATTCACAAACGATACATATAACTGATTATCTAGTTATTCGATCGAATCTGGGAGATGTATTGTAATTCACATTATGGAGATTGAAATAAGAGGAAACAAGATAACATACTACAAAACTCACCACATTATACGTCCACTAGATTCATTACTTTCTGCACCACAATTTTGAAAATAACAAGCCTAAAAGTATCCTCGATGTTTTGGTCTTGGGAATACTGATATGTTTGTTTTGTTTTTTTAGTGTGTGTTTTTAGGTGTTTTTTGTATTTAAAATATAAAAAGATGTATTGAAAATGTAAAAAGATATACTGAAATGGAACATTTATTATTTTAATATTACGAAAAAAACCATAAAAAAACAAAACAAACAAAGCAACTTTCTAAGATTATAATTGTCTTCCAAGAAACTCTGATTACTCATACTTCAGCACAAGCCACTAAATCTCACAATTGTCTCAATTCCAGATCTCATTAATTAGTTTGTCCTCAGCCCGAATATTGGATTCCGTTGTAAACATACATCTTGCCTGCCAGCATATGACAAATGAAGCTTTAGTAATCCCCCATCCAAAATAAATAAATAAACAATCTATGTTATAAATTATGAATTGCATTGTTTTAGCAAATTTAAACTTTACAATATGGATTATTTTTGTGAGACGGAAGGTTTATTTTAAGAAGATTGAGTTTAATTAATAGTTATAAAACTCCAAAGTAACTTTTTTTTTTTTGTTTAGAAAAGAATTTAATCAAAGCATGGTAACAAAATTCATGCCACATAGAGAGAGTGAGATATATCAAAGAAAGAGGTTTTGGGAAAGTTTATAGATCCAAGAAGGCTATAAAATTTATAGACCGATAGCAATTTATAGAAAGTTTATAGACCGATATTTTCTATAAATTTATATAAAAATATGATTGTTTATTATTCTATTATTTTAAATATTAGCCTCTTTCATTGCAAAAAAAAAAAAAAAGAAACGAAAAAAAGTTTTGAACGACCGAAGAGACAAACCTCCATTTCTAATTAATGCCTCCGTCTTCAGTGTCTTCACATTGCGTATGTTTTATTCTTAATTAGATGAACAAATTAAGATAAGCTACAATATAGTTAAAAAAAATAATATTTCCCATCTTTTCACATTGGGCGGATGGGAGAAATAATTTTCTTTAGATCTTATAAGTTTTAAATTTTATTTTAATTTAATTTTAATACACAAGATTATTACATGCTTGTAGATTATAATTTACGAGTTCACTATGGCGACGGAATCCTTATTGAGGTATGACAGCGGTTCCCTTGGTGACGTCAGCTAGTATGGCAGTATTGGTATGCATTTGATCAAAGTAATTTATGAAGCATGCATCTGATCAAGTAATTTTGTTTTTATTATTATTATTTTTTGTGATCAAAAGTAATTTTGTTTTTATTTGATCAAAGCATTTCAACAAGTATGCAGCAAAAACTCTGTATTCGTTGTAGGTTTATATCACTATTTTCCTTAACCAACAAATCGGGGAAAAAAAGAAGTCATTAAAAAAAACAAGAGAGAAAGAACCAAGGTATAGTTAAAATTAAACGACCACTTTATTTTCATTATTATGAAATGGAGTACATAACATAGTAGTACAACAGCACAAGCACAAGCACAAATCACACGTACGTAAATCCTGCATGGATTTTATTGTTTGCGTCACAAATTTCTAAACTTGGAAAATAGAGTCTGCTAGCTGGTGCAGGCAAATATGCATGCACAGAGTTGCAGTCTTTCAGAAATATCCCCGGTGTTTCTTTACGGTTTACCGCCGGACCCGGATCCATAGCCAGACCCGTAACCGGATCCATTACCGGAGCCATATCCAGAACCATTCCCTCCTCCACCACCGCCGCCTCCACCGCCACCTCCTCCACCACCACCGCCTCCATTGCCACCGCCACTTCCATATCCCGAACCACCGCCACTACCATAACCTGAACCGCTTCCTGCACCATTCCCTCCACCACCACCACCGCCTCCGCCTCCTCCTCCTCCACCACCACCACCGCCTCCTCCATTTCCACCTCCACTTCCATATCCAGAACCGCTTCCGCTACCATAACCCGAACCACTTCCTTCACCGTTACCACCTCCAGAACCACCACCTCCACCGCCTCCTTGGCCGCCACCACCTCCACCTCCTTTTCCTATTCCGCTGCCGGAACCATACCCTGAGCCGCTGCCACTTCCATAACCCGAACCACTCCCATCACCAATACCACCTCCTGAACCTCCACCTCCACCGCCTCCTTCACCACCACCACCACCTCCTCCTTTTCCACCGCCACTTCCGTATCCGGAACCACTGCCACTACCATAACCGGAACCGCTTCCGGCACCATTACCTCCTCCAGAACCTCCACCTCCACCGCCTCCTTCACCACCACCACCACCTCCTCCTTTTCCACCTCCATTTCCGTATCCAGAGCCACTGCCACTGCCACTACCATAACCCGAACCGCTTCCGGCGCCATTACCTCCTCCAGAACCTCCACCTCCGCCGCCTCCTTCACCACCTCCACCCTTTCCTATCCCGCCACCAGAGCCATACCCTGAGCCAGAACCAGACCCATATCCTGATCCTGAACCCGCCCCAGAAGATCCTCCGCCACCACCACCACCACCACCTCCTCCTCCTCCGCCGCCACCACCTCCATTGTTAACTCCAACCTTTACGGGTCTTGAAGCCAAAGCAAGATCCACAAAGAGCAGAACCAACAATGCAAAGGCTATCACCTTGTTGTGATTAGCCATTTGCAGTTGCTAATGCACCAGAGAAGAATATGAAGCAAAAAAAAAAAGGTTAAAATGAAGGGAATATTGGAAACTTAGCGAATAAAATATACTTGGAAAGGCTGTTTACTTGGTGAATTGCTAAGTTGGGGGGATTGCATGGCCTTTTTATAGGCATTCTCAAGTCAACTGTGACTGTGTATTAAGACTGTTGGAATGGATTAATCCAAGCAGCTTCTTTATCTCTGGTTTTTTTGGGTCGCAAAAAAAAATAAAATAAAATAAATGGGATTAAAGGTCTTCTATCGATCACTGTTACGTACGTACATGTAGGGTGATGATAATGATGTTGGGGTGGAATTATTGGGTGACAACTTGTTTTGTGGATGCCACTTCACACTCTGTGCATATACTTAATCTTCTTCAATCTTCATCCATGCATGCAAATTAAGCTCCATCTTTCCATGCATAAAGATAAAAGTCAGTACTAGCCCCCTTTTGACTTAATTAGGAGGAATTAGGATTAATTGGGGAACCAATGGGTGGGATATAGATGACTTCTCCACATATGTTCACATTTCATGGAATTGGTCCAATTGGAGATTGATATCTACTCCCTCTGTCCAAAAAAAATAGTCCACATTGCTCAATCTATACTATTTTTTTGGGACGGAGGTAGTATTATTATATATTGTCTTCATCTTAATTGCGCAAGTGTTCTTCACAGATTTAATTAACATCTCATTACTCTTATTGGTAATCATATTACTCTTCACAGATTTAGTTACTAGCTTTAAGGTTACCAAACTTTACAAATACAGTTCGGTTGAATGATTTTTCGCTTTTGCACGGTACGTGGAATTTATAAATAAATATTAAAAAAAACACTTGGCAAATATTCGATTTACACAGAATTAAGTACAATGTCGAATGATAAAAGACTAACTAGACTAAACTATTCATATATAATAATATTATTAGTAAAATGAGATATCGTTAACGTGGCATATCTAACTTACAATGAAGAATTCAACCGAATAAATCTAGATCTGTATAGGTTGAATTATAGTGAATACAATAATTTTGAATTCAATATTATGTGTATGGGAGTTTAATGGCTGTATCTTTTTTCTTTCAATCGTTGATGGACGAATTCCAATAAAGTTAATATAAGATCTTATTTTCAGAAAGAAAAAAAAAAGATATCGTCAACGTGGATAAAAGACTACAATATGTTACGCAGTTGTAATCAATTTTGTCTTTTATTCTACAACAACTGGCGTACCAGATTTTCATTTTTTCAGCAAGTAATGGATGGTAATTAGCCCGCGCCAGGTACGTTGGTTCCGCATTCATGGACTGTGTCCCTGGTTTCGATGCTAACTCAAAATCAAACAACCATACAAAGTTACGTTGACTTCATTTCGTGCGTACAGCTTCTTTCTGTAATAGTATCACGATTAAATAAATGATAACTAACCTTGGGACTCAACTCCAATTGATTCACTTTGATTGAATAAGAATGTGTCAAAGTCTAACAATTATGAATTGATTCAGCTCCAATTGTTAAAACTCCAAACTAAAAGTGAAATTGGAACATATATCTCACAAAAACACTGTCATCAACACGGAACATGCACTTAGTGACAATAATTTTATTTTATTTTTTAGAAAAAAAAATAGAAAAGAAAAGAAAAACAGGAGTGAAGCAATGGTAAGGCCATGGCCTACAGAATCGAATACAACAAGTCAACAACACAGTACAATGTCGGTAAACTTATTGACATAAGAAACAAAAATATAAAGAATTATCAATTATCCGCAAATAGGGAAGAAAAAGAAGACATTGGAAAGTCAAATCTTAACCTTTCTTTTTATTTTTGGTACTACTTCACCTCCCGTTCTTATTATAAAGTATTTTGACTTTTCTTAAATTTCACTATAAGACGAATTTTTCACTCAAAAATATTTCATAATAATCAAGAGAGCACGATTAATGTGAAATATATTTGTAAATTTTTTTTCAATAAAAAATAAATATTAGGTAAAATGTAGGACAAATCAAAATATCTTATATCAGGGATGAGAGAAAGTACAATAAAAGGAGGCAAAATGCCCATAATATCGAATACAATAGATCATCCATCAAATGGAACTACATATAAGAAAACCAATAAATTCGCCGCAAATGTAGACTCTTCAGCCCCATCACCCGTTATCTTCATGATTAATCTCAAATAATACTAACTACTTTGTCATTAGTGTGTGAAGACCAACATCAAAGAGTACTCGGAACCAAGTACGTGTGTCAACTCTCAATCTTTAAACGTTAGTCTTTCAATAATTTCAATTTTAAATAGTAATTTCTAATATAACTAGTTTTGGTAAATAGGCGACATTATATTCGTAGTGGTAGCACAATAATATCCTGAAATTTTTCATAATCTTGAAAAAAAGAATAAGAGAAATTAAGACTGCAATTTGCGGGGTTATCGTTATCACATTTACGTTAGCTGGAACAATTTTTTAAGTCCAAATTTACTGCAAATTCAAACGAATCATATGGCATGAATTTATGTGTTTATTTGGTTATAAGTTTTGCGAGGAATTATTTTGGCGGGGCCCCTTGCCACATTGGATTTGTTGGTTTTATACACGAACGATACAGGTTATCAAGTTAATTATTCGACCAAATTAAATATCGCGAAGTACATAGTGATTCGGCTTACGAAGATTGAAAGAATAGGAAAAAAGATACTCCTTCCGTCCCATAATTATTATCCAGTTTGAGTTTTTATTTTTAGTTCAAAATGTACTAAAAGTGAAATCTCAAACTGGACAATAATTTTGGGACGGAAGGAATAACAACTTAGTATTACTAATGTGATTCATATTTTTCTGTGATTGTATTTTTTTGCCAAAAATATATATACTAGGAGGCATTTGCAAAAGCAAACATGGACCTCCACAAATTTTTTTTAACCATATTATACATCCACTCATTACCTTGTGCACAAAATTCCAAAAATAAAAGGCACTTAAAAGCTTCCTCGATGTTTCGGTATTGGGAGTACTGATTAAAAGATTAATCAACTTCTAAGTAATTGTAATTGTTTTTCAAAAAAAAATCAGTTTGATGACTCATACTTCATAGGCCATAGCACAAGCCACTCCAACAATTGTTTCAAATTCTTGATCTTATTAGTTTATCCTTCTGCCTGATTATATTCCATTGCAAACATCTCTCGCCTGCCAACATATGACAAATGAAGTTTTTTTTTTTTTGACAAATGAAGTTTTAATAACACTCCTACCGTCTTAAAAAAAAAACAGTACATATTATAAATTATGAATTATTTTGTTTCAAACACAATTAATTTATGCTTTATAATATACATTATTTTTATGAGACAGAAGAAATATTTTAAGAAAGTTGGCTTCAAGCAATAGTTGTAAAACTTTGAAGAAACTTAAAAAAAAAAATAAAAAAAATCAAAGTTTGGTAAAAAAAAATTCATGCCACATCGAAAGAGTGAGACTTACCAAAGAAGGAAAGTTTTGAGCGACGTAGGAGCCATACCTCCATTTTTTTTTCTTAAAGACATATATATAAAAAGTAAAATTACCAAACAAATGATTTATAATACTCCCTCCGTCCCAAAATTATTATCTAGTTTGAGATTTCACTTTTAGTATAATTTGAACTATAAATGAAAATTAAAACTGGACAATAATTATGGGACGGAGGGGGTACTATTTTGATTATTAATTCATTTTCTCTATACCCTACAAATGATCAAAGCATCCACATACTGAGAGCAAAACACAATCACACTTGTCACGTCCCTAATGTGTTGTGCTACTTGATTGGGTGTTCCCGTTGTGATGATTGATCTGCCCAAAAAGCCAGAACCCTTTTCGCGTTATAGCTTATATATTTATTACCATTGGAGAAGACGGTATAGGTAATTCTGTATTGTGTGTGACTGTGTTATTTTTTCGCCGTCATTTTCCCCTTTCACTGGCCGAGTGAGCCTCTTTCCATTGTAAAAAAAGAAAAAGAAGAAGAAAGATATACTAGATGGGTACGTTGTTAAAAATGACCACTTTATTTTCATTATGAAATGGATTAATTAAGAAATGTAGCTAGCATAGGATACAAGTATAAATCAGACGTTACGTAAATCCTGCATGGATTTTATTGTTGGGCGTGACAAATTTCCAAACAAAAAAACTTGGACTATATATATGATTGATCAGAGTGTGCTAGCTGGTGCCGGAGTTGCTTTACGGAATACCACCTCCGTAATTGCCACCGGCTCCTAATCCGTAGCCTGACCCGTAACCGGAACCACTCCCCGAGCCATATCCAGACCCATTCCCTCCACCACCGCCGCCTCCGCCTCCACCACCACCGCCGCCGCCTCCTCCTCTCCCGCCGCCGCTTCCATATCCTGAGCCACTGCCACTTCCGTAACCCGAACCACTTCCTGCGCCGTTACCTCCTCCAGAACCTCCACCTCCACCGCCACCGTGACCACCACCACCACCTCCACCCCCGGATCCATACCCTGAGCCCGAACCAGATCCATATCCTGAACCCGACCCGTAATTCCCTGAAGACCCTCCACCACCACCACCTCCTCCTCCGCCGCCACCACCTCCTCCACCTCCACCATTGTAGTACCCCTCATCCTCCCCATAATTACCACCGCCATACCCAGACCCACTCCCCGAACCATATCCAGACCCATACCCGGAACCCGAACCAACCCCTGATCCACCACCTCCTCCACCGCCTCCGCCACCCCCGCCTCCACCACCTCCATTGCCAAGTCCGACCTTCCCGGTTCTTGCAGCTAAAGCAAGATCCACAAAGATCAGAATCAACAATGCGAAAGGTATCACCTTGTGATCAGCCATTTGGAATTGCTAATGCAGCAGAGAATATGAAAAAAAAACAAAAAAACGATTTGAAAAGTTAAGAGTTGATATACAAAGGGAATGAATAATACTCAATTTTGAGGCTGATTTTACTTGGTGAATGATATAACTTGGGGGGTTTGCAGGGTTTATATAGGCATTTTCAAGTCAAACTGTGTGTGACTAATATGGAATGGATTTCTAGTAGCTTCCATATCTTGTTTTTTTTTTCGGCATGCAAAAATGATAGTGGTGTTGGTGGAAGAATGGGATTGATTTTAGCAAGTTATGGTAATGGTTGCCACTGCAAAGTGCAAAGAGGTCCTCTGAATCTATCTTCATGCAAAGCCCTTATCTCCATATATAAAGTCACACTCTCCCACTTTTGACTTGCACAGAAACTAACTTATTAGGATTACGCCATTAAGGGGACCAATGGGAGGGGATGCCTCGTCTCTTGGTCCAGTCTTTCACACTTGTCCATATATATTCGTTCACATTTCTTGGAGATTAATTAATTGGCACGTTGTAATTCCATCTACTAATAACACTCTCTTATATTGCCTTCATGTTCATCAATATAGTTGTGTTCTTCATAAATTTAAAATTCTCCTCTTTTCGGTGGCCATTATAAAAGAACAACAAACGGTTAACATTTTTGTCACTTGAGGTTGTAAAGAGACAATACGTATGGTTAGTCAAAATAATTTAGATTCTTATGATACAATTATGTTATATATTTATTTATATCGTTATTTACTTACCAATTATTCATCATGTGATCAACACATGAAACTTATGAATGGGATGGACACTAAGTGGAAGTTTGATTTACCTACAAAGTCGATGGATAAAGAGCGTACAAACTAAATTGGTCATATATCAACAAATAGACCATAGAGAGCCGATATCATAAGTTAAGTTGGTTTTAGTTTTGTGTGTTATCCGAAGGTTTTCACTTTTTTTTTTTAAAAACAAGAAAAAGACAATTGCCTGAAAAACTAAATTATTACATTACGTTGGTAAGAAACACCAATAACATCACGAATTAATCAAGGCTTTAAGACCGTCGGTGGTTCATCTAAGAATAACAAAGTAATACACAATGCGTAACAAAGTTAAACCATGGGTGTTTCATGTGGATAATTATCTCTTGTTCCCTACCTAAATTGCTTTTAACTGTACGCGTAATACACAATGCGCGTACGTACCTGCTTTACATTTTCAACAAAGTAATAGATGGTAGTAATTTGGTACAATGCATCCGCACTCATTGAATGTTTTTCCGTGGTTTCGTTGCTAAATCAAAATCAAACGATGAAAACCACACAAATTTACGTACGTTGACTTGAATTGTTATGTGCAATTTTTTTTTTTCTGTAATATCATGATTAATTATAACTAACCATGCATGGAATTCAACTCCAAATGATTCACTTTGATTGGGAAAGAATGTGTCAAAGTGTAACAATGTTACTGGCAATCACACTTAGGGTCGAATCTAAAATTGACTAGTATGCAATTTTTCTGGGTGATGGTTTTGGAAATGATATGAATCGATGCCACCAAATGCCACGCACTAATTACTTACCAACCCATATTCTATTTTTCTGTCACTTATCATCATAACTTTGTTATCTAGCTAGCTCTACCGTTAGTGGAAGAATTTTTTTTTTTTTTTTTCATACGTAAAAATGTGCGCATCCGGCGTGAATGCCATCTGTCAGCGGCTCATGGAGGAATGATCTTTGCATATACATGATTTTTGGTGGTCACACTCACACCTAATTATGCACAGTATATATGCATGCTTGCTTGCACGCACTTTGCTGTTTAATCATTTGCTGTAGCTGGATCCCTAGCTCAGCTTTCCAGTGAATGTGGTCATCAAATTTCATATATATTGTTGTACGTCCCGAAATTATTATTTAATTTTAGTTTTTATTTTTAACACAAATTAGATTAAAGATAAAAATCTATATTGAATAATAATTTTAGAGATAGAGAAAGTATTTTTTTCTTGCTTATCTATCTTTTTTTTTTCCAGTCTTCGTTGACATGAGACAAGACCAGTTCATACACGTTAGAGATTAGATTTCATTCATTTCTAAATAAACAAAATTTTTATTTTGGAACGAAGTTTCGTCACATGATTGTTAATTTGAAATAAAAAAGTATGTTTTTCTTTTAAAAACTGACTCGATCGATAGTAGTGTAGACTAATAGTTAATACTTAATAGAATCGAAATTTGTTTATTCTTTTATCTGAGGGTGGCTAAAGTTTTAAACCATATTATTATCAATATTTGTGTCATTGGAGCATTACAATTTTTACTAGAAATTTATTCATTTACTGTGTGTATGTAGTGTGCTACCTAAATCACCGTCGGTTTTTGACCGATTTGATGATGTATATGTATAAATATTTACGTGCCTAGCGTCTGATAACTTAGGGTTAGGAGTTAGGAGTTAGACGATGGGGAAGTTCGGTTGAATTGCATAAGTGGTCTATGAATAATTAAGAAATATACACTAGTCTGATAAAACTTGTGGATTTGGGCACAGCCCCCCATGAGTTTAATTATATATTCTTTTTCCAATGGTATTTGACACCTTCCGATTTCACTAAACTTTCCCGATTGGAATAAATCGAGCCATTTTCAGGGCAGTGGTTGTAAAAAATTGACGCTTTTATTTTTTAACTCGTGATATGTATAGTTTTTAAGTAGGAGTAGCACATATTTGTAGGTAAGTAAGATCAACAAATACTGTGTATTGGTGAATGTGTAGCTTTTACTGAGACCGCTTCTAGCACTAGAAAATTACTGGGCCTTTTGCAGTCACAAGTGACTGTATACAATGCCGTCACAAAAATAATACTCCCTTCGTCCTATAATTATTGTCTACTTTGAGTTTTCATTTTTAGTTCAAATTGTACTAAAAGTGAAATCTCAAACTGGACAATAATTTTGGGACAGAGGGAATACTATTTATTTGTTCAATTATTTAATCTTCAAGTAATGGGGATACTAAAGTTGAGATAGTGAAAATGATTATTTGTTCAATAATACACACATATATATATATGTATATATATGAGAAAATGATTTATCAGGACCAGCCTAATAGAGGTCTTATTAGGATGTCTAATGATATCATGTCACCTCGTTGATCATTACCTAAACGAGTTCACAATTTATTTTTTTTTTTTTTGTGTAGGTTTTAGTATTAATGAAAAAATAATCCAAGTAATTTAAAGATTTAAACTAATAAGAAATGAAAATTTTAAAAATTATATGTGGCATGATATCATTGGGCGTCCTAATTTCCTAAGAAAATGATTAATTAGCTAAAAACATGAATTTTTATAGTTGTGAGGACAAAAATGGGCCAAACACATCCATGAGTTCGAATCCACGAAACCTCATATAAGTCCTAAGTGGCAACTGCCAAAGGAGACCGAAGGGTCAGAAACTATAAGAGGCTGTAAAATAAAAGGTGAAATTCGAGCAAGGTTATTTCAATCCTGGCTCCTGAGTCCTGACATGCACATTTTTTTTTACTTTCAAAATTTGTGGCTTTGGTTCTCTTCTTACTCTAGTACTCCATCTATTCAAAAATAAGTGTCATCCTACATTTTGCATATAATTTAATAAACTCTTAATAAGGTTATAAAATTATTGAATATCCTCAACCAACCCCATTAAAAAAATATCCACCAATAGTATTAATTCTGTTGAGGATAAATTTGAAAATTTTGGACAAAAAGTGCATTGGAATTTGAAAGCGACAATTATTTTAAAATTTCTCTATTTTGCTAAAACGACACTTATTTTAGAACGGAAGGAGTACTTCTTAGCAATGATAGGTTTCGCCGCAACACAATGATTTTTACTATTATTTTATTTTAAGTTACGAGTGCTATTTGTTATCTTTATTTTAAATTATTATGTGTTTAAAATAAATAATAAAAAACTTAATTCGTAGTTTCTTCCTATGCTATTTCATCGATTATGAAAAGGTTGAACTTTGAGATCAAATATTCACATGTACTCTCCACAAGTAATCATCACATGTTACACTCTAGTGACATAAATAAACGGTCTTTAAATAAACAAAATGGACTATTAGCTAGCACACGTAAAAGAAATCACTGTAATAGCCAATGTGAGTTTAATTGTTGATCTAATAAACCTTTAGGATGAACAGATAAACAAGCAACGAAGTACTCTGTCCATTTCATAAAATCAGTACAATACATATAATTTACAATAGGAATTACTATTTTTAATAGGATCTTGGGAGTAGGTATTAGTAATAGCTCGTGAGTAATTTTTAGCTTCCAAAGCAAATATTATATTTTTACCAAATTTACTTTTAATTAAGTCATTATCTCTGTGTCAAACTCTCCACTCCGGATTCCAGTTATGTTTCTCTAAAGAAATTAACAAAACTTCTCATAGATCGTTATATGACAAAAGACAATTGTTATCAAATAGATCTCATTGACAGAGAATATACAATAGGTGGGCAAATTATCTGGTGTACCTGGGGGCACTGTGTACCCCCTGCAAATTCTCCAAAATGAATTCCAATTGAAGAATTCCGACCGCCGACGATCCCAACCGCCATCTCACACACACACTCTCCTCACACACACAGTTTTCTTCTTTAATTAACAATAATATTATGTGATGGTTGTCCATGCTATAATTGCTGGTTATCCACCCATTTTATACTGGTTATCCAGAATGTGTAAACTGGTTATCCAAAAGGTGTAAACTGGTTATGACAGTTGTAAATTGGTTATCTAAATTTTGTTTGTGGTTATCCACCTATTTTATACTAGTTATCGACAGGATGTAAACTGGTTATCCATACTTTTTTTAGATGTACTTTTATGTAGCTACCTGTCCATACAATTTGCTGGTTATCCACTCATTTCCGGTGCCCCTGCAAATTCCGGCGGTACACCCCCGACCACGTTCAATTAAACCCTAAGAATTCCGGCCAATCGATCCCAACCGCCTCCTCACACACACACACGAAAAAAGGACTCACCTTATAAAAACCGGCGTGTTTGGCAGGCGGCGAAGCCGGGACAGGTTGGTGACCTGCGATTTCGGCGGCCGCGGGAGTCGATTCTGGTAGCGGCGGTGCTGAACGAGAATGGCGAAGAAGAAGAGGCGGTGGATTCTGATTCTGATTTGGGGTGTCGGATTTGTTGACGAAGAAGAAGAGCCGCCGAATTTGTTAATTTCGATTTGGGATGCACGGTATCTCCGGATGCACTGAATACAGACTCCAATAGGTGAGATGTGGATTAAAAGAATTAATAGTTGTCCTTGGACTATAGCTTGCAGAATACAAAACTAACACAGAATTCTTGAATTCATGTATTTAAGGACAAAACAAATTTTCATAGTTTGGTAGAGAAGCAAAGCTTTTCACCATTTTCACGAACTGTTAGTATAAAATAAGCCCTGATAACTAGGATTAATTTTCTCAAAATCAGCCTGCGAACAAATTCAATGGCTAATATAACTTTTCTCTCACAATTGATTATATTCTCTCACAAAGTAATAATAAAAGAAATTTAAATATAATTCCACCATTTAATTTAATGGATGATCAATTCGAATTGAAGAAAGCGGCTTACCAACACAATACAATATAAATCAAATTTTTCTTTGCTTATGGCATCCAAAACCAAACGTAAAAAAAGCCAGGAAAGAAAAATAGTGACCAAACTAATAACAAAACAATTAGAGGAAACGATTTGATTTGCAACCACCGAAGAAAATATATTGATTTTGGAGGGGAAGGAAGAGGTGACGGCAGGGAGAGAGCTAGAGAGACAGTGTCGGAAAAATTTATTTGTGATTAACTGCGGATTAGAGAGATATATAAGAGAAGAAGATAGGATTGACCACATTAAAGGCAGTTCCAAAAAGATGTGTAAAATTTACTTTAAAGGCTAAAAATTGCTCTGGTAATATCGCCAGACGCGAGCCATTAGTAATCTAATATGTCGAAAATAAAGAAGAATAACATCATCCTTAATTAATAATCTCTAATATTTTGCTTTTTTGATAGAGCATAAAAAATTATAGAGATACATACGCCAAGTTTTTTCTTTAGTTATTACTAGAAAGTTTCCTTCATCGTAGATCAGCCGAGCAAGTTACTCATTAGTATTTTCTTTTTTTGATATTAAAAAAACAAAAACAAAACTAGTAACTTAGGTTTGGACTTCTATCTTAAAATTAATTCAAAATTTTAGAAATTATGATTTTATAAAATTAGAAATGAGGTTCTTTTTATTATCTAAAAACTATTCCCTCCGGTCTTTAATCTTAGGCATTTTCATTTGTCTTAGGTTTAATTTTGTACACATTTTTAATTGACGAAAAAATCTTAAAAATATTTTTCACATTCATTGTGTTCTCTTGACTGTTATGAAATATTTTTAAAGTTTTTTCGTCAATTAAAAATGTGTATTAAATAAAATTTAGGAAAAGTTAAAATACCTTATAATAAGGACAGAGGGAGTATTATAACATTGATAATTAAATAAGACATGATATTCTGTTCAATTTTATATTATATTTTTTTTATTTTAAAAATTAAATAGTAGTAGTTCTCTAATTAATTGGAGGAGTAATCGCATAGGAAAATTGGTCGGTTCCCGCTCACACAACACAGGAAGTCTTAAACCCTTTTCCCCTTTTAAGTCTCTTAAGCGGAAACCTAATCTAATATTCCCAATCTTCTCCGCTCCAGCTGCTAGAGAAGCTGCAATGGCGGTAAGCATCTATTGCGTTTTCTTAATTTCAGGTTAATGATGTTGTTTTTCAGCTTTGATTGTTGATGGAAGGTTTACGATTTGGGTTCGTTGATTCGCAGGAGGTTTTCGTTTCTTTGTATGTTCGTTTTGTGTTTTAGTTAATCTTTTAGCAGAAACCCTCTAGAAAATTGTGTGATTCGAAGCTAGGGTTTGGTTATACGCTGTGACAATCCTGCGCCAGGTGTGTGTAATTTCTGCTCTTTTGTTTGTCTGGGCGATTCAGAATTGTCTGGAAAAATTTCCTGCTAGGAACTTTCGATCTATCGTGAGCTGGAAATAGCATAGTTTTTGCTGCGTTTATGGTTTGAAGCATTCTCACTGATACTTTGCAATTTTGGTCTAGTTGTGTTCATGTTATGTTTATAACCATATAATATTTAATCGTGGGGGGTTTTGGGGGGATCTGGTGTTTGTTTGCTTTTGGGTTCGAACTTTGGATTTTAACTCTTCATTATCTTTGCGGACTGTACCCGTTAATCCCAAGCCCTTCCTGAACAATCTCACGGGAAAGACTGTCATGGTTAAGTTGAAGTGGGGAATGGAGCACAAAGGTATTGTTATTTTGTCTGTATGTCGACCCTTTAGGTAGTTTGATCTGAAACACATTTTCTGGAAGAATTAACTATACCTTTGTTATTTTTCTGCTTGGTTTCAGGTTTTCTTGTCTCTGTGGATTCTTACATGAACCTGCAGGTATGATGCTTACATTCTACTGATATCGGATACATATTTGTAGCAGAGAACTATTTCTGCCTGTATTTAAAACTTGTGCCAACAAGTTTAGTTTGAAGTGATTGAATTTGAGTTTGCGAACTTTCGCTTATTTGAATTTCCAGTTTCTTTTGATGCAGTTTGTTAACTTCTCTGTTCAATTTGTCTTTAGCTTGCAAATGCGGAGGAGTATATTGACGGACATAAAAAGGGAGATCTCGGAGAAATCTTGATCAGGTTACTCTTTAACGCTGATTGTCTCTTTCAAATGTGTATATTTTAGAGTTGTTTGTTCGTCTTGATCAGTGCCATTTGTTCATCCCCCTGGTTTTTGTGTGAAAATTTATAGGTTTATTTTGTGCGTTAATTGCATTTTTGTGTCATCAGAAGTCTGATTAGTTCGAGTCTAAAAGGCTTGTACCTTGCCGCTGCATTTAGCTGTTATTGTTCATTGGATGACTCTTTATGGGTGGATATGCTATCATATGATTAGTGATTAGTGATACGCATTAGTTGCTTCTTTTTGAATTAAATTTTTACATGCTGTCATTTTGAACAAAAAATGTTACTGGAGGTTGCGCTTTTTTCTTTCTTAAAATGTACTGATTCGTACTTTTCCTTCCCCCAATCTCCTATCTTTTAATTTTATCAATCGCTTGGCTGGGTGAGAAACTGGACTGATGGATATTATTTTGTGGGTGCTGTTCAGGTGCAATAACGTCCTTTATCTCCGTGGAGTCCCAGAAGATGAAGAAGTACTGGATGCTGAATGAGACTAGTATTTGCTATGGAGTTGGGCATAGAATCCCCTGTTTCTATAAATATTTAGGAAAAGTGAAATGTGAATTGTAGCTCTTGCAGGATTTGAATCATTGCTTACTGGATACGGCTTTGTCATGTATGATGGTTTTACCATGCTAAATGATTCACCTCTCTGACTTCTGACTTTGCCTTGGTTATATTGCTCATTACTCTGTCAATCATGCATTCATGCTTACTTTCTTCGGGCGTTTGCATAATATGTCGACACAGTGATCACTATCATTCAGTATCATAGCTCTGAATCTGTCTCGACTGAGTATCATAACTCATTATAGACATGGTATTATCAGTCTTGCACCACATTCGAGCAAGTGTTTGCCAAAAACACAAGCACATTTCATTTTAATGTATCAGTTTTGTTCTCTTGTTGACAAGGGGCCCAGCTCAGGCCTGCCTAGATGATAGTCTCTGATCTCCTGCTTAACTCTGTGTGTTTGAAAGCAAACAATAAATTCTCCACTTCGCCGACATGGTTGGAAACATTTATACAATACAATTTGCCCTACAAGCCAGCCATAATGAGTTTGATTGATTTCCGTTTTCCAATGGCTTTCTTCAACCTTCACTTTTTTTTTTTTGGGTGCATTCGTTCTAAAGCAACTTGTGTCGGCGGCAGTTAGCACATATTTGGTTGTCGGTTGTAGGCGGAACTCGGATGACACATCAAACGTTTGTTATCTCAAAACTAGCGTTTTTAGTAGGAAAAAAATAGTTGCTCAAAGAAATATTAACATATAACGTATAACAGGTACTTTCTCTTTTGAAATGATTACTCAATTTAAATTTTTATTTTTAATAAAAATGGTGCAAAATAAAATTTTATATACTGTACAATTATTTAGAGACATAACAGTATTATATAGTTAGACACTCCACGTGTGTATGCCTAGTCCACTAGATTCTTTGAAACGCTTCTTTACGCGTGCATGCTTAATCCATTCGATCCTTTGAAATGTATCCCTTTGGATGCTGCTACTTCCTACTCTGCAGGAAAGCTGGCCAGCGATAAATCGCGGCCGTGAGGGTTCGAACCTGCGATCTCGCGATTGGATGCTAGGGCCTCTACCACTAGGCCACCCCTTAAAAAAAAAAAAATAAATAAAATAAAATAAGAACTCGAGCTTCTCTATTTCATTTGTTTTTCGGTGTATCCGTCGAAAACGGCATTGTTTTTCCCAGGACAGATCACCAAAAATCTTGGGGGGAGATCCCAAATTGGCCGGTTTGTTCAGATCCAAAATTCCCAGTGAGCTCCTCTCTTCTGATTCTTCATTGACCTTCTAAGTTTTCTTTTTCTTTGATTGATCGACTCCAGTTTCTTCTGATTTTTACATGAAATTATGAAATTCAAGTTTCAATTTTGGCGTTTTGCATCGCGAATTTGATACAGTGAAGTTTTAGCCAATGTGGTTCCTCATTATGCTGATGGGTTTTGCTTCTTTGTCTTGGCTTGTTACAATGGCGCCATTGGTTGCTTTAGAAATGTTTGAGGAAATGATTTAACCCACACACGATTTTTGACCTTAAAGTTCGAACGAATTGTAAATAATGAAAAGGAACTGATATAGACAGAACAAATGAAAATCATGTCAGAGCCTTTCCAAATTTTTTTTAGGATTTTCTTTTATTCTGATTCATATAGCTACTGAGGATGACCATAGAAACATTATTAATCTGTTTCATCATTGTTTCTTCTGTTCAAGTATTCAGTTTGACTTTATAAATTATGCATCTACCTGCTATTGTGCTACTTGTTCTGCGTGATCTTGAACTTTTAGTCAGCTATTGTCACCTCTCTCAATGTCTGAATAAAAATCAAGTCCTAACTCCAGATTTTCAGTTTAGACGGGATGCTTTCAAAATTATGTTTTGTGTGTCATCTTGTGTGTATGCTCTACCACTTTTTTTTGGCCCGGGGGAGGGGGGGGGGGGGTCTGATCGCTTTTCCCTCTTATGCTGTGTTATCTTCTTCCATGTTTTTCTCAGTATCATAGTCTGTTTTAGTGGTAGATCTAATTGTCTCTCATGAACAGGGAGAAACTTATCATGGGAACAGATAGTCAAAGTTTGCATTTGAATACATCTTATGATGAATGGGTATCTCTACCAGTGCCTGGTCCACGACCAGCTGCTCGCTACAAGGTATAATTGTTGGTCAACAATTTTCGAGGCCCTTGATACTGAGGGATTTGACTGCTTTCATTTGTTTGCATGTTGCCTGGGTCCAAATTTGATTTTGGAAATATGTATATGTTTTTTACTTTCGGGTTTATTTTCATGTTTTAATCTGTTCTACCATTTTCTGCTTTCCTATTGTAGCATGCAGCAGCTGTAGTTGATGGGAAGTTATATGTTACCGGTGGAAGTCGTAATGGTCGCTACTTGTCTGATGTCCAGGTAGTATTAGTGACAAGACTTCCAGTAAAAGAGTTTTGTTTCTTCATACCTATTCTCAGAATACTTTATATTTTCTCTTTTGTAGGTTTTTGATCTAAAGAGTTTGACATGGTCCACTGTGAAGTTAAACTCCAAAGTTGATGCCGTTAAGGTTACTGAGGGCATTCAGATTGAAAGCCTCCCTGCAATAGCTGGCCACAGTATGGTGAGATGTTGACCTACATACAATGCTTCCTTTTCACCTGATAGGCATGCTGTGCTTACTTATCTGAATATTTTCAGAAGGTTTTTTTTTTGTTAAAAAAAAAACCTAGGAACTTACTTTATCTATCCTCTTTATGGTTGGAAATTTTCCTTGTGTAACTTGGTTACCACATTATATGTACAGATAAAGTGGGGAAACAGGCTACTGCTTGTTGCTGGGCATTCAAAAAATGCTTCTAATGAAGTGACAGGTTCTTATGCCTCGATGGCTCATTTTTCCAAACAAAATCTTGGATATCTTCTTTAAAATTTACACCTTGTTTTTATTTAATGTAGTTTGGTTTATCGACCTGGAAACCCACCAATCTGGTATCATAGAGACACATGGAAAAGTGCCGGTGAGTGACTTGTTAAATCTTGCTTTTTTTTTTTTTTTTCTTTCTAATGTCACGCTTCCTGTCCTTGCCTCTTTTTCTGCGATATTCATGTTTCTAAGCAATATAATGGGGAAAGCAGTGATTTAGGGCACATTTTCTTTTCGTCTATGTTGATACTCAAGGTTAATTTACAAGGTTGTCCCTCCTTTATGACTTCTCTTTTAGGTAGCTCGTGGTGGACAATCCATTACATTGGTGGGTTCTAAACTTCTAATGTTTGGTGGGGAAGATAGGCAAAGGCGATTGCTCAATGATGTCCAGATTTTGGATCTAGAGACTATGACTTGGAGTTCTTTTGAGACTACGTAAGTATTTAGGAGTTTCTAGCTAATGTTTCATGCCTATGCTAGAGTTCTCCCCATAACTTCTTATTCATTTTGATAGGCAGACACCTCCAGCTCCAAGGTTTGATCATGCAGCAGCACTCCACGCAGAACGTTACCTATTAATTTTTGGTGGTTGTTCTCATTCAATCTTTTTTAATGATCTCTATGTTCTGGATTTGGAAACGGTAAGGTGATTTTTCTGTGTTTTTTTCTAAAATGTTTATTGTTTAATCTTTTTCTACTCCTTAGAGAGTTGAGATGATCATATTTTTCTGCTCCCCACCTTGCTGATTTTCATGATGATTTATTTGATTTTGGATTAAAGAATCACCAGGAATAGTTGGTGATACTCCATTTTGATTACCTTGCATGCAAAGAAAATGCTGGTTTTCTTCTTTGGCTGCATCAGTGCTCAGCCTTAGACACTTCCCTTCTTACTGCTTCTATTGAATACCCCGTCTCAAAAGCAGAGTCCTGTTTGTTGAAGCAGAATAGTAAAACAGACATGGCCGTTTTTTTTTTTTTTGGGGGAGTAATATGCATATGTGAGTCTTGCTTAATTTGATGGTTTATTGGCAATTTTCTCTTTCTTCCATATGTTATTTTTCGTCAATCATTCAAAATTTGAGTTGTTTCCGTCTTCGTGATTTAGTAATATATATTATGGTGATGTGAAACTTTCTACAATGGTGATAAAAATCTTGATGAAGCTTTTCACGTGTGCTTTACATGAGACCACCTATAAATTGCATTCAACCAGCTAAGAGTTGTTTTGTTTGTATTGCATTTGTTACCTCCATCTAATGAAATGAAGGATTGCACATATTACATGTGATTTTCTGAGAAACTATTCGTGTGGAGACTTTAATTGATTAATAGGTGCATGTTGAAGATAAATGCTCTTTAGAGAATTTTCATCAAATTAATTATTAGTTATTTAATTACATTTACCTTTACAGTTGGAATGGTCTCAACCACAAATTCAAGGGGACTTGGTGCAACCTAGGGCTGGTCATGCTGGTGTCACTATGGATGAAAATTGGTACATAGTTGGTGGTGGAGATAACAAAAATGGTATAAAATCTTAATATTTTTCATTTGATTGTTTGTTTGTTATTCTTGGATTTTAAAATACTAATAAAGTTATACATCTGCTCTTAGGTGCTGGAGAGACTCTTGTGCTAAATATGTCCAAGTTAGTTATGTCAGTTTTAACCAGTGTGAAGGGAAGGGATCCATTGGCCAGTGAGGTAGCTTATTTCCCTTTCTTCTTTCAATTTCAGCAGAGCATATTACTAAATTCTTGCACTGTGAGTTTCATAATTAAGCACAGGTTATGGAAATTGTAACTCAATTGTTTGCTATTGAGATTATTCTTTTCACTTTCTCTTTTAAAAGCGGAATAAGTAAGGTTTGTTGATACATGTGAACTTTTTTGATCATAAACTATTGCTAAAACTGAAAGGAAAATTTTAATGAACAGAACACGATAAATGTTGCTTTACTGATTGTTCAATGACCAATTGAAATGAAAAAGAAGGAGAAGAAGAAGAGGGAACTAAAAATGATAATGTAGAGATGAATGTGCTTAATTTCTGAATTAGATAGGATTAGAATTAATACATTAAAAGAAAGGAACGTGATTGCAATGAGCGGAACAATGAGAAACAAACTTAAGGTGGTTTGAACATGTACGGTGCAGACATTTAGATATAAGGTGGTTTGAGTAAAGGGGTCTGGAGAAGAGAGAATCATTAGCTCAAAGTAAGAAGGGAAGGCAATGGCCTGCAAAGAATTCGGAAGAAACTAAGAAGACATTTTATTCAGACCCAAATCTAACGAACATAGAAGATGAATTATAAGATATAATAATCCTTAAAAGCTTGATTTATTGTAATTTCTGAATATTCATATGATTTATTTGTGTGGTCATCTGTATTAAGGTTTAGAACTTACTGTACTATTAAGTTCTCGTTGCCGTTATCATCAACCACGTTAAGATTTCTGCTTCTTCAATCGAAACATTTACTGTGTCCCTTTGCAACATCCTGCTCATTTACGATAGTTCAACTTTTTTTTGTTAATTTTTGCCACAAAATTACGGATGTGCTAATGCTGCAAACTTACTTGAATACCTTTAATAGTTCAGTAAAAACCTTGTTTCAGTGTTTCTTACTTACCTTCCCTTCCTTTTCCTCCATTAACCTTGTTGTGTCTCATCTACTTGGAAATCAGGGCCTTAGTCTTTCATCGACCCAGATAGATAATGAGAACTTCTTGGTTGCCTTTGGTGGCTACAATGGGAAGTATAATAACGAGGTATGCTTGGTTTTGTTCCTTTATGCTATTTAATTCGTGATTACATGGGGAGGGAAATGCCATATATAGACTGAGCACTCAGGCGGTATTGATTAACAATGGGATATCTTTAATCTTCTAATTTGAATCCAGATCTAACGAGAAGGTTAAAAGAAAAAGAGAAAGAAATGCATGTTGCTTTTTTGGCCGGCAATCATGAAATATTATGGACGCCTGAATGCATTGTGTTTGTTGCTGTACATTTGTGCTGGTGCTTCAATTGTGATTTTTGTGTGATGGTTTATATAATGAGTATAGAAATGAATTCAATCTCGCTTGTCCAGAAGCTTTTGGTTGAGAATCACTGTAAATTTTACATACTGATAAAGATTACAAGACCTGCACATATCCATAGCTGGCACTTCATCTTTTTGCATCAGAGAGTATTTTACGTTTTCATTTCCTGTGAGCATGTGGTTGACAGTCTACCTGCAAAATGGATCCTTCGCATTCCTTGATTTTGCGCTGGTTGTTCTTTTAGCTCATATTGTCATCTTAACTCCTTACTTTTCAAGACTAGAACTGTGTGTTATCCCAATTTGATGTTCGGTTTCATATATGTTTCTATTACCACCATAGCGGCTGGAGGCTCTTTCAAATGGTTTACAATTTATATCAGTAAAAGAGCATTTTATGTCCACAAAATGCTTTGGTCAATTACTTGATCTAAGAAGTTAGTTTCGCAAAAAATGCAACTAGGAACAATGGCAATCGGAAACCATTTTTCACATTGTTCTCATTTGAATAGAAAGGTCTTAAGTGTTCGTTTTTAACTGATTATTTTTTTTCTGGATATACTCTGCATGCTAGTTTAGAAGTCTTTTCAGTTTCATTAATTTTGCAAATGTTTGGATTAATGTGTTTGTTCTATATTCTTTCAAAATGTTATGCGTGCATTTTTGTGATCTCCACGGCTTATTATTTCATGAGAATCTCTTCCCTCTTATTCCTTGTTATACGCGGTTTGAATTTTTGTTTGGAAATCCAGATTTTTGTTATGAAGCCTAAACCCAGAGATGCTTTACCTCCGAAAGTTCTCCAATCTCCGGCAGCTGCAGCTGCGGCCGCCTCCGTTACTGCTGCATATGCATTGAGCAAATCTGAAAAATTGGACTTCCCTGAAAGAGAAGAATCAAATCTGAAAGTCATCCAGGTGGATCATTCTCAGCAAGACCTTTCAATCCAAATCAGCAAGCTGAAAGAGGAAAAAAGTTCATTGGAATTGGCCCTTGAGGTGGTCAGTTCAGAAAACTCTACCCTTAAAGCTAAGATTGTGGAAACTAATGCAACCCATGCTGAGCTTTCAAAGGTACGGTCTTCATGCAAGTTTCTCTCCTCCTTTCTTTTCTCTTATCAGCCAATTCTCATGTATGATGCATCCCCTATCGTCCATTTTACAGGAGCTTCACTCTGTTCAAGCTCAGGTTGTGGGTGAGAGATCAAGATGTGCTAAACTTGAGGTGATACTTCTGCTACTGTCTCTATCGACTATCTGTATTTTGGGGCCTGGGTTTTTCTGAATAATGTAGTGATCTTAACCTGTATTCTTTACCTAAATTTACGTTGTATTTTCAGGCACAAATAGCTGAGCTTCAGAAGATGCTCGAGTCAATGCAGTCCATAGAGGAAGAAGTGCAAGAACTAAGAAAACAAAAATCTGAATTTGAGCGTGATATGGAACATGCAGCCGCTGCTCAGGCGCAGAGGCAAAACTCTGGTGGTGTATGGAGGTGGATTGCTGGATGAATTATGGAAACCGAATCACATCGGGGAGATCTCACGACGCCACAGTGAACTGTAGGATTTCAGTTATTTTATTCTATCCAGAAATTATTATACATGGATGCTTTTGGAAGAGAAAAGAGGAAAGTTTGATTATAATCTTATAGTAATCTCATCTTGTTTGGATTCTTGTTTATCTACATCAGGTGTAACATATACGATATCGTTTCCTCCCCCCCCCCAGGGTGGTTCATGTTACAGCTTCTCACATTACTCTTTTGATTTATTCTTTCTGGTATAAAGTTACAATTTTTTCATTTACTGTTTCAATGGTTGTGCTTTTTTTGAAGTAGAGAGCCAGGCCAACTTTAAAGGCCCTTTTGCGTGTCTAATTAACCAAGGTTTACAGCCATTCATGTTTAAATTCGGACCGGACCTTTGATTAAGAAACCTTAAATTTTAAGAGAGACTAAATGAAAAGAATCCACACGTGGATAGATGTTTCTGAAGTTGCTCGTCATATGCTTTTTGTTTGTTCTTATGGCAAAGCTGAAATAAACTTGCGAATAGCATGTACTCCCCGTGTCAAGGTAGAAGTCTGGTTTGTTGTACCAAAAAATAGATTCTAATTTTGGGACGGAGGAGGGTGTATGCAAGTCCATCTTTCCGACATCATTTCCCTCCTTTCTTGTTTCAGCCCTCTTCGTCACGATGCTGTTTCTTCTATTATTGTTAAGGTTTTAGATCCTTTCCCAGTTGGGTGCAAGTTAGAAACTGCTTGTTTTTCTATCTAAATATTTTTGATGTAATCTGCCAAAGTCATCGTGGGGGCAGAGGACTTGCCTACCAAAGCATTCTGCAATTTTCTCATGCTGACATTGTTACTTGTCTTTTTCTATACAACACTTTCAATAAAATGGAAGGGTTCATTGGGGTTGGTTTTCTTTTCAAAGAACAAGACGAGTAAAAAAACAAAAAGCAGATTAGGCTAGTACTACTACATTATAATCTTGATAAGATGTTTTCTCTTCCGCGCAGAACTAGGTCCTTCCGCAGAATCTTTCCTGCAGCTGACTTTGGTATGGCGTCGATGAAACTAACTTTTCTAACTTTCTTGTATGGAGCAACCTGAAATTTTCAGAATCAGCTTTAGAAAGTCGTATCTTAATTTGAAGACTTCAAGAAACTCAGTTGATGATGACTTAGACAAACCTGGGTAGCAACAAAATCAATGACTTCATTTTCTGTTAGGTCAGAATCAGCAGCTTTTACAGCATATGCTATGGGAATCTCTCCTGCTGCTTCGTCTTCGAGCCTGCATTTTATCATTACAAGGGAGCTCATGATTCATGTGACGCAACTGACTTGGAGGCCTGTCCTTACTCGTACTAAAATGCATAAGTTTTCGCGAAAATGTAAACTTACGGTACAACTGCTGCATCCAGTATATACGGGTGGCTCAAGAGAACTGCTTCCAGCTCTGCTGGAGCTACCTGTATTTAAGTATATGTTAGTTTCTACAGTTAATAACGTTGATTTTTTTTAAATGATGTAGTTCTCTGTTTCTCTTTACCTGATACCCGTTATGTTTGATGAGCTCTTTTACGCGGTCCACAATGTGTAGACATCCCTCTTCATCAAAATAACCCAAGTCACCAGTTCGCAGCCAACCATCCGAAACTATTGTTGCAGCTGTGGCTTCCTCGTTTCTTAAATAGCCCTTCATTATACCAGGTCCTTTTAACCATAACTCTCCTCTGCTGAATGGTGGCAGCGGCGTTCCAGTTTCAAAGTGCACGATCCTGGCAGTAAAGGTTGGAAGTAACTGTCCACATGAGCCTGGGTGAACCTTGGCAACCTCATCAGAAGGAAAGAAAGCGGCCGCGCCACAGCTTTCCGTCAATCCATAGCCCTGCCTTACCTCCACTCCTGGAAACTTCTCTCTAAATCCATCAGTGACTTCCTTGCTGAGAGGAGCCGCCCCGGAACCAACTCTTTGCAATGATGATAAGTCATGGCCAGCTATGTCATTTTTCACTAGAGCAAGTATCACAGGAGGAACTGCTGGAATGTTATTGACTTTGTAAGTTTCAATAGCTTCCAACATTGCTTGGAAATCGAATTTCTGCATCACTACATTAGTTGTTCCGCAAGCAAGCAATCCCAGGGTGAAAAATGCAAGTCCATAGACATGAAACATTGGGATGAAGCACAGGAACACATCATTCAGTGATGAACTCGCTTCTGCACTCCATCCAAGTAGTGTAACAATGGCTATCAGATTTGAATGGGTAAGTTCCACACCTTTGCTTGCACCAGTAGTTCCTGAAGAATACAAGATCACAGCAGTGTCTGACTGAACCGGCCGAACTGCTGGTAAATCCAGAGGATCACAGCAATCAATCAGTTCCTCGACAGAAAGCACAACGCCATCTTTAGCCCTTGAAGTAAGCAGAGTAGGAACTCCAGTAGGAAGCAACTTGTGGACCTCTCCTGGATCAGCAATGGCAAGTTTTGCTCCAGAGTCTTTAACTTGCTTGCCTATCTCTGATACAGTATTTACAGGGTTCGCCGTGGTGAGAACCGCTCCAATGGACAGAACAGCAAGACATATTGTTGGATAAAGCAGACAGTTTGGCGACAAGAGGAACACAACATCACCTTTCTTCACCCCTAAGCCATGGTACAGCCCTGTTGCCAGTTTGTGTACAGAAAGTTTGAGCTGAGCATAAGTGACCTTTTGATTAGTAGCTGCATCGATGAGAGCAACCCGTTTCAGGGCTTCGCCGGCAGTTGGGAAATGAGACAGAACAAATGTAGCTATGTCAAGATCAGGACTTGTGGGGATTTTATTGTGGAGTTGATGCACTGAATGATACACTCCAGTTTGAGGATCAAAGCCACTTCTTTGCATCAAAGGCGACCGAAATATCGCCTTTCCTGAATCTTCCGTGCAACCTAACAATCCCTCTTCACTTGACATGTTTTGAAGAAATTTGTCAACAATGAACTAGATTTGATCAGCTTTCTCCAATACCTTAGTAATCTCAACTACTCACAAATTATAGACACATTCTAATATACATCATTTTGTTGCATTGCTGGTTTGTGCACTTAGGATTGCGACTTAAAATATTATTAACATTGTTGTATCCGCTAGGTTTTGGATATATGCGCATTATCTTATGGGATTAGGACATAAGCAACCGGCGAACAAACCTTAGTTTGACCTAGTATTACCTAGAATTTCAGCATCATGGGTTCAATCAATCCGCATCACCAGTTTCCATCACACTGGCAATAAACAGCTACTGGACGCAGAATATGAATATTCTTATTGGTTTCAGTGACTTGTCGCGAGGGATTTTGGGGTTTGTTTAGCCGTCCAATTTGTTATTTGTTCTGGGTTTGATCATATAGGACTGATTCAAAAATTTTGATTTTGCTGTTGTCTTTTGCTGACTATCAAAGTCAGGTTGTAGATGAAATAGGTCAGCATTTCATGTCCTTTTCTTGGCCGTCAAGTCCTTTATTTTCTTTTTTCAGCATCTGACGCATTCCTGTAAATGCCCGTGATTTATGAACTACAACATTCTGGAGTATGGCACTACTCCCTTGTTTTCAGGATTGATTATCAATTAATTATTCTCCAGTATAAGAGAAACTTTATTTGCCAGTTATCATTGAAGAACTTATTGAATGTGTTGTGTATTAATCATCTCTACTCTCTAGATCTCCAGAGTCTAACTGAAGATGCATGAAGTCCTCCAGTTTAATCACGTTTTAATGATGAGACTTTGATTCGTAACCAAAATAAAAATAAAAATAAAAATAATGAGACTGATACTTAAGCAAAATAGAAGTTTCATCGCGCTCTAATAGAAGATTGAAAGGGTTATCACCTATCAGTAATTATTACTGATTACCAATGTGAAGTAAAAAAATAACCTTTTTAAGTTTTTAACAGAATACCTGTAAAGTTCTTATATACTGTATGTATGTGTCAGGAACTGAGATTTTAATGGAAGAAATGGAAGCCGAAATCATCGCCGGAGTGGCTTCGAATTGGCCGGAAAGATGGAAAAGGGGAAATATGTCACCGGAGACCGGAAAACACAAAAGAGGGAAAGAAACAAACGTTTCTGTAATATTATCAAATACTCCCTCCCTCCGTCCTACAAAAATAATCCACATTGAGTTTTGAGTTTTGTAATATTTTTAATACAAATTTGAAAACTCAATGTGTATTATTTTTGTGGGAGGAATGTCGTATCTGATTTTTCATACTGTTTATTACATTTGACCTGGTATTTATAATAATATGACCAACTAATGAAGAATTACAAAAAAGCCCTTGTACTATCTGTTATTACTAAACTACCCGGGGCATAGGAATATGTTTCATATGAACACTTTCAGGCCCTAGGCCTACTAACTTCCAAGAGTTGGGCCCTGGTCTTCAAAAGAATTTGTGAGACTCGGCTCAAGGCCTAGCAACTTCCAAGTGTTGGGATGTCCAGTCAGACCTGATGTTACAGTGGTGCATAACGGTGTACACGATGAGAAAATTTTGTAAGGGAAAATTTGCGACTTAAGCTTATAACACTATTTATTGTTTAAAAATTATTTAAATATTTTTTGATATTAGTATGTTGAATAATAAAAATTGAACCTATAAATAAATTAAGTAGTGCATAAACTGCACTACAAATATAAGAAATAAAAAATTAGATTATTGCTTATTACGTAAACATTTCTAATTCAATATTAAACATTCAGAATTAAATACTAATTTTTATTAAATAGATCTTTATTGCCGCCGTATTCTGTAGTACTAGGTAGGTGATAGACTGCACGAGGTGTGGTCGATGAGAATAACAGCTCGTAGTAGTTTTTATGTAAGCACAAAAAGATTAATGAAGTAAAAAAAGAAACTTTATAATATATTAATATTTATTAGGTATCTTTTCTACAAATATATACAAATCCCATTTCAAAAAAAAAGTACACAAATATTTACATAGTGTTTCAATGGGAAATTCGGGCCAAGTGATGAAAAAAAAAAACTACATACTTGAAGACACTAAATTGATGATGATGAGCTATACATTTCTGCCGTGGCAACCCAGACATTTTACTGCTTTTACAAATGTTGACTCCAAGGTTAAAGCCACGTGCATCATTTGGGGTTGAAAGAAACGACTCCATCTAAGAAATTCCTGCTTAAATTCAAGTTATATGCACAATAAATTGCCGAAACTCACCACTATTTCACGTCTTGAGAACCAAATAATGAGAAGCTTGAAGTTGCAATTTGGTTAAGAACCAAAAGACCAAGCTGCAATCTGCACATCCGTACCATGAAGGAACTTGATTTTATCACCTTGAAGTGCCAAATTCAAAAGTTTCCAAAAGTCAAGATCAGTAACAAAGTTTTACAAGTACATGAACAAGGAGGTAACGGAGATACTCCAAGAATATGAAATGCATAAACCAATGGTTACAGTATGCTTGAACTCACCTCTTTACAGGTAGCATTAGAGCTTTAAACAACTTATCTTAATTAACCAGGCTGACAGATAGATTATTAGAGCACCAATCAAGTTTCGACTCGATCAAAATATGGCTGTATTGAGAAGTAACAATCTGCACGTAAAGAAGAAAACAGTAACCTAAGATCAATCAGATCAATAGAAATCAAAACAAGCATAGGAGAAGAATTAAGGCACTTGCCTGCTGATGGATAAAGTTGAGGAAGTTGCCATCCCTAACCAGGTTATTGAATCTCAAAGCAGCTTACAAAACCAAACAGAAAGCACTCCTGTCAAAGAAGATATAAAATTCATTGTTAATTTTCTTTCGTACCAAGAATCAAACACCTAACATGCATTGTTAATTTCCTTTTTTCACAACAACAACAAAACGAAAAAAGGAACAATATGGAAGACAGTGTTTTAACTTTAGATAGCCAAGTGATATTACATTGCAACCTTTTATTAGTTGAATCTTTAATCAACTTGGTAGCTTCAGATTTTTTACTTGGTTACAAGACAAACATTATTTGTGCAGTTGTGCCTCTATGCAACAATGCTTTTACAACAAATTAATTTTAATTTAAGACTGAAACATAAGAGTCAGTTTGTGACCTTTATTTTCCTTTAAAAAAACAGAAGAAAAATCTATACCGACATTCTTTAGAAGTACACCTCTTGACATTAGTTAAAACGGCATAGATTTAGCGACAAAAGATCCAAAGTAAAAACGTCAGAAACTAAACAACACAAAAATTACAAATAATTCACTGCCAAATACGTGCGATAATTTCATAAAGTCATCAATCATGGTCAGCCACCTTTTGGTTTTCGTCATCTATAAGGTGCATATAACCAAACACCTCACATGCAACCAAATAGTCTCCAACTCTTGACACAATTGAGCGACACTACTTCAACTCAAATTAAATTCAAAGCAAAACATATTCCTCTGATTCCATAATTGGTTTGAAGTTCTTTCTAGAGTATAACTTAGGAAAATTCCATATGAATCTTATATCATTACAGCCACATAAAGAAATTGAAAGAATCAATGTATATCCAGTGGTCCTACTGCAAATTAGATTTTTCAAAACTTCATTCAATTGAAACTTTCAATAGTTCACTATTTAAATAGATAAGGCACTGCGATTCAATGTGAAAATCTTAAATTATAGACAATAACTTTACATTACTGGAATAAAAAAATCAAATCATGGGAAAGTTTCATCAAGAAATAAAAATCCGAATTAAAACCTTTGACTTGGATTAAACAAAAACTTAATTTGGATTAAAAACTAATCTTGTGACTTCTTCAAGAACAGAGGTACAATCTATTGCTGTCCCTTTCCAAATAGATAGATAAACAGAGGATAGTTAAAATCCAATTGCTTGGCGCAATTTCGGAATTCAGCAAAGGCAGTGCAAATCATAACTTTTTTTTGGGTCCTTTTTTTTTTCAGCCACCGGAGTGCAAACGCAGTGCAAATTTATGAAACAAACGAGAAGAAACAAACACCAAAATTAAATAGGGATAAACAAGCTACCAACCAAGAGCATTTTTGGAATTTTTTTTTCTTTTTATTAATTTCTGACAAGCGAGAGACAAATCTGGAAAACAAACGAAGAGGGAATGACTGAAAATTGAATAGGTTTTCGTAGCAATTTTGAAACAGCCGAATAAAGAAAATAAAGCAGAATCCAATATAAAAAAAGAAGAAGGTTTTGCTGGCACATTGAAGCGAAGACACGTAGTTTCAAGAAGCAGCTCTTAATTTTTAATTCATAACGGGCGACCGAAATTTCTATGAAACCAGAAGAAGAACAGGGGAAAGGAAAAACCGGCACTATCCAATAAGCGTGAAACACGTACAGAAAAGGCGCTGGCAACCGTTAGTATACCGTGTTATTCCAGCCTCTTATATATGTAAATACTGTCAACCACGGAAGTCCTCAGATAACCATTTCAATAATGTGAAAGTTATTGTAACTTCAGAATAATTGATTGTACCTTTTAATCGAGGCACTACAAATTTTCTCTTGTTTATATAAATTCTCCCAAATTTACTAAATGCCAAATGATCTTTGTCTCCAAATGAGTGTATACATTTACAAGTTAAATTTATACTAATTTATGCTCGAAATTTGTACTAATTATGAATTCATTATGTTATCTATTTCAGTTTAAATTTGTGCTTATTAGTAAGATCCGTCGGTTGTAATAATTGTTTATATATAATTCTTATATATTCAAAGGCAAAGTTAGTAGGTAGTTGGCAACGAGGTGCAGTTTAGTGGTAAGACGCCTCACCTGTTGACCAATAGGTGAGTAAGTGGAGAACCACTATTGATTCCTTAAAAAAAAAGTTAGCAGGTAGTCTTTACAATTGTTTCTATAGGAGTAATTGAAAGAATATATAGGTATTCAGAAATTAATTTACTTGGCTGAATGTTATGCTTCAATGTGGATGAAAGATAGTGAAGAAATATGGAAGTTCTAGTAAGTTTTTTTTATCGCTTTCTCTGTCTCGAAATAATTATTCGGCTTATTATAACCAAGTTTATGTGAACAGAAAAAATGAAAGCTTCCATTGAAGGTTTAGAAAGGCAAGTTTCGAGACCTCATTTGGAAAGAAAATAATATCAACCAGTAATTTCCAAGGGTGCACATCTTGAATGGCATTTTTCTCCATTCCTTGTGCCGAAAATGAGGGTTATGTCTAAAGGCCTCAAAAAAGGCCATTGCTCCAAATACCAATATTTATACGTCTCTACAGAAAAATGCCATAACCCCCCAAAAAAAAAAATTCCCAAATCAGTGATCATTTTTCTTCATCAACCAAAAACCTTTTTTTTTTCTTTTGACAAAAATGGCCAACAAAGTTAATCTGCTAATACTAGTAGCAGCAGTTTTGTTGGTTTCATTTTGGTCCAACTTCGGCGCCGTAGCTACGGCGGAGGAGGGGGTGGAGAAGTCGCCGTTAAGTGGGAAGATCAACCGACGTCTCTTCCAAAACTCCACAAGCATTGATAATAATGGTACTAATTTCAATGAGGAGCTGCTTTCATGGGGGAAAGTATGCCAATGCCTTTTATGTTCTTGTCATTGTCATTCTTGCCCTTGTAAATCTTGTTAATTATTATTATTAAATAATATTATCATTCCATTGTAATAAATCCCCAATTTTACCCGCTAGGGTTTCAATAAAAAGTGATTTCGATTGGCTGAAATAAAATATTTAGTTGTAAAGCTTTCGTTCAGATATATGTTGTTTTAGTTTTTATTAGCATAATACTGCCTTTCTTTTATATGCTACTACCAATTGAGATATGTCAAAGTCGGTTGTTTTTTTCCTCGTTTTCTTCCTATGGTGTTCTCATCGCGCTCTTGTAGTTTTCGCACAATACATATAATCTCTAAGATTTTACTTATACAAACATTAACTTTAAGGATAGGATTAATGAGTTTTATCCCTTCATATTTTTCCCATCATCCGTTCTTCATACAATTTGGAAATTAGGGCTGGTTTATGCTGTTCAACAAGTATAAACATAAACAATAAACCTAAGGTGGATCGAAATTCCAGGGTTGCAGATGAAAAATATATATTCCCTCCGTCATATAATTATTGTTCAGTTTGAGTTTTTATTTATAGTTCAAATTGTATTAAAAGTGAAATCTAAAACTGGACAATAATTTTAGGACAGAAGTAGTATAAATTTACGCGAGTAATGTTTGTGAAGCGGACGGTTGCAAATCAAGAATGCGAATCATTCCCTTTGGTGAACTAGAGTGCCTAGTTCCTTACTATAATAAGTTTACATGTTCAAAGGAAAATTTGTAAATCACCTTTTTATATGTACGTTTTATAAGAGAATGGGACGACCCCTATTCATGATGTTTGAGACCCCGATGAGAGTTTACGAATTCGAATTTTATCGATTTTTAAAATATCAATCATTTGTTTTTTGTCTCAAAAAGATGAAGAGTACTTCTTCCATCCCACAAAAATTATAATTCGAATTACTTTTTAAAACGGAGGATTGCTTTATTAACCATGTAAGAGCAGAAGCTAAATCTATCTTCAATTTAGTAAGAAATGTGAATGTGCGGGAGGGTGTATGCTCAAAATGAATTAACGAACCAGGAGCATCTTTTTTGACAAATATATGAACCGGTCCGGATGATAATTTATTATTACTATAAAAATAGAATGCAATTAGTATTTGAGGAAGAAAATTTTATTTTCGGAAATATAGAAGTATTTGAGGAATTGCCCTCAGGTATTACCGAATAAATTGCAAAAACAAACTTTTTTTTACACAAATAAGAAGGTAAAATTGCCATTTTTTTTTGAAGTATGTGAAATTGCCTAAAACAATACTACTCGTATCGTACATTGCAAGAAATTTACAATATAAATATCACATATGATTAACCCTGATAACTCTCTACTCGATGATGAAGCAATAAAAAGCTCTACTTCTTCATTATTTGTTGTTAAGAAATTTAGATGATCAGTTGCAAAATTTGATCATCATGTGTTGTATAGAGACTTCTCAATCCCACTCGAGTAGGTAAGTAATTTATTTATTTTACCTATAATTTTATTTATGTATGCGTATATTTTGAAAAATCTCGTTATGATGTGTTCATCGTTCATTAGTATAGAGTTATATGGATTTATCGATTGTGAACACAACAATATTAATTGATTGTAATAATTATAAGCCATGGGTCGTGTTTTATTGTAATGTCAAAAACAACTCCACGATTTTCAGCAAATGAATGAAATCATTGTTTTTTTCAAAAAAAAAAATAAAATTTGAAAAGTCCTAACCCGAAACTCAAAACCCAAAAACCCAAATAGAACCAGAAACGTGAAAGAAAAAGATCCGATCCGACAGGAAGAGATAAAAGAAAAAAGAGGACATGTGTCATATGCATGGCCTTTCCTACCCTTTTGATCTTTCAATTCCAAGACTTCAACTTTTTTTTTTTTGGCTTCCATTTCTTTCCTCTCTGTCACTGAACTCTCCCTCCAAACCACACAAATCTTTTCATAGAATCCCATTCAATCAAACAATCTCCCAAAAAAATCACTGTTTTTCCCAAACACTCTGATCAAACTGTTCTATCAATCCATCATCATCCCATTTGATTTTGGCTTTGATTTCTGGTTCTTTTGTGGGTTTAAAATTCCTCTGCTGCACCAAAAGCTATGGCCGTGGCAGAGTTCACTTGTACTCCCACTTCATACATCATCAATAAACCAAACCCTCATCATCATTGTTCTTCCCAGCTTTCCTACGCAACCAACCGAATTTCAAAAAACCTTCTTTCTTATTCGTTCAGGCCGTACCCTCGAGCTCAAAATGCCAGCATTTGCTGCTCTGTGAAGTAATAATTAATGGATTGCCTGCATTTTGTTCATCTCTTTTGTCACTTCTTATTGGCTGTTGTCTCATTACCCTGTTTTTCCTTTTTTTTTTTTCTGGGTTGCAGGGAAGCTCAAGCGCCGGTTGGTTTGCAGATTGATGATCCTAAGAGGAAACCCGAGTGCTATGGAGTTTTTTGCCTCACTTATGATCTCAAGGCCGTAAGTTCTTGTTCTTCTCTGCTCCAGTTCTTTGTCCCTGATTTTTCTTTTTTTTTTTTTTAGTATTGCATGGTTTGAGAAATTCTACTTGCTGCTTCTGCAGTTTCTATGTTGATTTTCGTGAGCAAGAATTCTGGCAAACGTCTTTCAAGTTTAATTGTTTAATAGAGATTTTAAAATCAATATTTTAATCTTTTACCTGCAGCTGTAGTTATTTGATTAGTTGCTCTTATCCTGGGAACAAGAATAAGAAGAAAGAACATTAGTTGTTTGATTCTTTGCCTAACGAATACCGCGACAGAAACATAACTCACCATGCCGTCTTGGCTTTTAATGAAAACGGATAACAAACTTTAAAGGCTGGTTGATCTTCTGGTTTGCAGCTCCTAATTTATACTCCTTCCATCCCCAAATGATCGTCCAGTTTTGAATTTTCATTTCTAGCACAAATTGTGCTGAAAGTGATAACCCAAACTTGGCAATCATTTTTGGACGGAGTATTATTATTTTTTTTTTTTTGAAATGCCTATTCATTAAAAGTCTTATCTAGCTTGGGTATTGATCATTGTTGTTATAATTTTGCCTCAGGAAGAAGAGACAAAGTCTTGGAAGAAATTGATTAACATTGCTGTTTCAGGCGCTGCTGGAATGATTTCTAACCATCTTCTTTTTAAAGTAAGAACATGTGTGATGCCTTCAGTTATTTTTTTTTGTATTTTTAAGCTAAACGAGGCAATGTTCTACCGTGCTTGCCCTGTTAATTTTACTGTTAGTGGTGGTATGGAATTTCAATGTTTGAAAAATCACGAAAGTTCACCAAAGCTATGATAATGATGATGGGAATAAAATGGTATACCACTGAGCTTTTCTCAACCTTTTGCGTGATGAATCACATTCTAAACTTCTTTATCAACGTAAAATCTCGTTAGTTTTTAAACCAAAAGCTGCCATAATGGTGGTTTTACTCATTGTCTTGACCCCCAATCCCTCAGAACGAGAATGAAGCTTTACCATTGAGTCACATGCAATTTTAACTTCATGCCTTTTAGTGATCAATAAGTGATCACTACTTTGATCTAATATTCTAGCAGCTTAAGGAGTTTCCTCTTTTGAATTCTTGAGTTTATGACATGTTCTGTTGAACCAGCTTGCATCTGGAGAAGTTTTTGGGCCCGATCAACCTATTGCATTGAAGCTGTTGGGGTCTGAACGGTCTTTCCAAGCTCTTGAAGGTACATATAAATTGTCATAATATTGTTGCTGTGCAACTCAAATACAATTTCAACGTTTTAAACAACTGCATGAAGATCTTAAAAGCTTGAACATACATTGACTGATGGTCTTTCCCAAACCATTCAGGAGTGGCTATGGAACTTGAAGACTCCTTGTATCCCTTGCTGAGGGAAGTTAGTATAGGCATCGATCCCTATGAAGTATTCCAGGATGTTGAATGGGCACTCTTGATTGGGGCAAAGCCTCGGGGCCCTGGAATGGAGCGAGCCGACTTACTGGACATCAATGGGCAGATTTTTGCGGAACAGGCAAGTGCCTATAGCTTTTTCTTTTACAGCTGGATGTTGTTAGTCCTAGTTGGTTGCCTTTTTCAGTTCAGTTTCACTGCTGCACAGAATGACAATGCCTGTCATTGTTTAATTTGTCTGAGCTGGTAATACTTTTAAACAGGGGAAAGCTCTCAATGCTGTTGCATCTCGTAATGTGAAAGTGATAGTGGTGGGCAACCCTTGTAACACAAAGTAAGTAATAACCGATATTCATGCTTCGCATAGACTGTACAATTTGGTTTCCTGTCATTACTAATATAAGACCTTTGCTTTGCAGTGCATTGATATGTTTGAAAAACGCTCCAAATATACCTGCAAAAAATTTTCACGCTCTGACCAGATTGGATGAAAATAGAGCCAAGTGTCAGGTGAGTAGAAAATGCATCAGCATCGCCAATGGACATGTTCATATTGTTATGAAGAGGCAATAACTGTTGCCTCTTTTCACTGCAGCTGGCTTTAAAGGCAGGAGTGTTCTATGACAAAGTCTCTAATGTGACCATATGGGGGAACCACTCGACCACTCAGGTTTTTGCAGGATTCTCTCATTGTCATTACCTTGAGTTCTACTTTTGATGTGCACCTATTTCAACTTGATCAGGTTCCGGACTTCGTAAACGCTAGAATAAATGGTCTACCTGTGAAAGAAGTGATAAAAGATACCAAATGGTTGGAGGAGGAGTTCACTGAGAAGGTTCAGAAGGTGAGGATTAAAATTCCTAGTGATCTTTTTATTCTCCACTTGGCTCCTACTGATTGTTTTATATTCATTCTCAGAGAGGAGGTGCCCTTATTCAGAAATGGGGAAGATCTTCAGCTGCATCTACTGCAGTGTCAGTAGTTGATGCGATTAAGTCCCTAGTAAACCCTACCCCCGAGGGAGATTGGTTCTCCTCTGGAGTAAGTCTTCGACACTCATCCGCTTCCTCACATTCAGTTCTTGTATCTTGTCTCTGAAGATATATCGTAAAAAATATCCTTTAGCTTCTTCTGTACAAGAAATGCCTTTGTTTCTAACACACATTTAATGACTCCTGGACGGAACATTTACATATAGCATTATATTTTATGAATTGCGAGACTACTTCAGCATATGTCACTGCTTTTTGTTGACTTCATTATATGTGATGCCACTGAAGGTGTATACCGCTGGAAACCCTTATGGCATAGCAGAGGATATTGTTTTCAGCATGCCGTGCAGGTCAAAAGTAAGTTATTCACCAGAGATTTTATCCTTCTAGCTTCAGAATCCCAACTCAGTTTCTTACAGCATTCTCTCATGGACATCTTTTTATTTTATCACAGGGAGATGGCGATTATGAACTTGTGAAGGATGTTATAATCGACGACTTCCTTCGAGAACGAATTAAGAAGGTACAGTAATTGGATGGTTGCCTATGACTCAACATTTTTCAGTACTGAAACCATATCTGTTCGTATCTTTACTCTTGTAAGCTTTCTTATATAGAGTGAAGCTGAACTGCTAGCTGAGAAGAGATGTGTGGCACATCTCACCGGGGAGGTAGGTGTCAGATTACCACTAGCATTCGCTACCATAAAAAATGTTTAACGTTTAGTCCACACAATTTAATATTTTTTTTTTTTTCAGGGAATCGCTGTATGTGATCTGCCCGAAGACACTATGCTTCCTGGAGAAATGTGACAACCTGCAATTGATTATTCATTTTGGGGAACTGTGGTGACGATGGAGTCGTTTCCTGTAGAGTTCCTCAGTTGTCTGTCTGTTGATTTAGTATAGAAAAATTGAGTAGACTTTAAAGGTGACAATTTTGAACTACAAGTAGTATCCCGATTGTATTCGATACTCATGCACTGTGTGGCTCTGAGCTGCCACGGCGGTAGGCGTCACAACTACAAAATAAAAGTTCTCAGAACAGATTCCAGGTCCACTGAATAGTCCCTGTTCATTCACTTCAATTTTTTTTATTCTTCTTTTTTTTTTATGAATAAGAAGAAGAAGTGAAAAGAACTCCAGAGTCTGAGTAATTAACTTTGCTAACTTGAAAGATGGTCTGGGACTACCCGCAGAATGCAGTTACAGTGCATACATTTGGGATTAACCATTCAGAGAACTCACTTCTAACAATGGATAGATCAAAAACCGGGTAAAAAAACAAGAAAAGTAAGAACCGTAATCTGAGTGGCCTAGGTGCAAAATCTGAGAACATTCAAACCTCCTAGTTTTAAAGCTCTAAAGTAGTTAAATAGGACAAGATTACAGAAGCAGCAAGATAAACGAGAAAGAAAAGGCCCACGCTGTTGACCCACGCTCAACACGCTGCAAGATTTCTTTCGCAATATATTTGGTAAAGATAAAGATTCGAGAGAGATCAGGGCACCCTTTGAGCACAAAGGGGCCATTTTGAACCTAAACGTGACAAAACAGAGGAACATGTAGTGGAGAACAAAGGGCCGTCTTGTTCAATCTTATGATCAGTTAACAATGCTGCAGACTTGGATGCCCAGACGAGGTGTAGATGGCAAAACAACAATCGCCTTCCCCCCATCAAGTCTCGACTCTCGAGCACCTCAGCAAGCAGTGCCCCTTGGCAGAATTGAGGATAAAATAGAAGAACAGCAACAGGTAAAACAAATCAACATTAAGAGAGGATAGTGCAGCAAAACAGATAATGCAGCAGCCGCTACTTTAGAGCTTAGACTCCACAAAAGTTACAATCCAGCTTCCTTGAGGACAATTTATCCTTGAGATACAATAGTTTCGTGTTTCCTAAGATTGAAGAGGTTTATAGGCTGAAAATGCTCACAGGCTAGCTAGAGCTTCGGTACGCAGTATGTTTCAGGCATGTGGCAATAATATAACGTGTTTTCAAGAAACCAAAAAAAAAAAAGGTTAATTCCGAAGCACTAACATACTTTAGCAGCGATTTGTTGCAGAACTATCTTATTGCACAAGAACGAAGTGTTGCACAAGAATGCGAGTCCAACATATAAAAATAACCAGGGATCCCCAGCCATTTCCTGCAACTCTTCCCAGAATATATGTTAAATTGTATGGGCCTAACATTAATATTATGTCAAAGTTGTCAAAAAGTAACAGGCTCCAAAGAAGTTCTAACAAACCAAAGACTCTGCACAGAGAGAATGGGCTCCTATAAATTTCCAAACCAAAAAGATACATGGTTCTAGGAATAAAATCTTGGCTGGACACCTTCCAGCACCACTAGACTTCAAGGTAGAGTTCAGCAAGGCGAACCCACATAACAAGCACACAAACCCTCTATTTTAATACTCGTGTCTGGGACTACTGGGCACAAACATAGGTCCCGATCTTGAAGCTCATAGAGAGGACTAGGACCCAGAAGAACATGAAGCAGAGCCACCCGCTGAAGACTCCTGATGTGTTTTTCCCAGGATGTATCCGAACAACTGATTCCAAAGTGGTTGAGTTGTCAACGCCCCTTGACACCCCGAAAGAAAGAACAATATTGAAGCGAGCACTCTTGTCTGACAGCCAGTCCACATTGCCATCCATATTCCCTATTTGAATCATACCAGCAGTAACACGTGCAGTAGTAGAAGATGAAGGATACAAATGAAGAGCAGCATCCTTGGAAGGGAACTCTGAGGCATATGCAGGAGGAGCAGGAATACTCTCCAACATGCGACTGGCTTGCTTGAGAAATGGATAATGCAAACCTGCAGAAGACAAATTCATATAAGATCAGGCCCAAATATCAATATGCTAAGACAAGAAACTGCAACCTACAAAACTAAAATTCAAAGCCATAACCAACTAAGACTTATATTTTTCAATACCTGGCGCATAATCTTTCGATGGTTGTAGCTTTGAAGAAGATGCATCATCAGCCTTATCCCCAGGAATCGGTAGACTCGCCACATCAATTGCCTGTGTTTCATTTTTTAAGTCCTGGAAAATATAAAACTGAATAAGACACAGCTTAAAATTGAATAACATGGTTGGAGCGTGGAGATCAAACCCTGGATTTACCTTTTGGGCTGCTTCTTCAGAAACAGGAGCAACATTATCACCAAACATCTCCAGACTATCAAAATTAAAGAACTCCTCGTCATTTGTATCAAGGCATGCCCAGTAGTCATAGTCATCTAGGAGGCCACCGCAAGAAGCATCCGAAATAGGATTACTGAGGTCGTCAGATTCAAGGAAGGCTCCATCACACGCAAAATTATCCATAGCATCCACATAGGGTTGATCAGGTATATCTCCAACATCTGCAGCTACAGTACTCAGAATACTGATTGGTTCAATATTATATTCATTCTTGACAGGATTCTGGGGCATGCCATATTCAACAGGTAAGTTGTATGCATTCTGCTCTTCTGACTGATCTGATACACCATAATACTCATTAACACCAGTCGAAACTGGAGAATCCTTGACTATTCCTTGGTTCATGTCACAATGCACAGGCAAACCATATAATTTATGGTCTTCTGACTGCAGAAACTCCTCAACACCAGAGGACACCATTTCAGGATCAATTTTACAGTCAACAGTTTCCTCGCTGCTATTGACATCCTCTCCACAAAACTGATCCAAATCAATGAGGGAATCATCCGCAGGGATTGATGATGCAAGTATCTAAGCAAAAATCCAAACAAAACAAGAGAGCTATTTCATTGAAATAACCAAAACACTGATCCATCTTTCTCCTCCTCAAGTATCATGCAAATCCAAAAAGTTTGAAACTTGCAAAGAAGAAAAGGACAAGCCACACATCTACATAGAAGAATATAAGGAACTAACTTACCCCCAAAACCAATGAGTGTTATCGTGCAGGTAAAAGTGACAGCTCTTCCAGTATGTAACTTTACAGGAAAAAACAGAGAGACTTTTAACAGCTATGACTACAAACCTGCTCAAGTTCAAGTCCATCTAAATAGTCATCATTTCCAACATCAACTCCCTCAGCAACCTCCAACTTGGGAAACATTTCCAAATCATCTGCTTCCCACTCTTCCTCCACAAAGGGTGCTCCATACTGTTCCCCATTCTTTGGCCCTGAACCACTTTTCTGGAAGATTCTGCACACAACATGTGCATCCTTCTCCACCAAAGAAGAATACAGGAAACGAAATCAAAGAATAGAGTTAGTTGGTATATCATTTTTTGCGTAATTCAAATGATCAGGTTCAAGTGAAGTCTGACAATGTTTGTACAAACTCCATAAGACCATTAGGTTTCCAAATTCTTTAGGATTATGATTTGCTCAAATAACATGAATAAGAAGTGGAGTAAAATAAACTTAGCAATCCCCCACCTGTGAAAATGCAGCTTTCCCCATACTCTCATCAATGAGTCTGTACTCATGCATGACCCAGTTAGTCCTCGTACCTTTAGGAGCCCTACCATGGTGATAAACCAAAGTCTTCTTCATGCCTACAAGCTTATTCCTGTGATTCACTTCCCTGTCTTTTCCTGTGGTCTTCCAGTAGCCTTGTTCGGTAGCCCGATTGGTCCGGTCACCATTGCCATACTTCCTGTCCAGTCCGCTGAAAAAATACCACTCCAAGTCCCTACTCTTGTGGCTTGACTTGCCTAAAATCCATCAAATCAATAAACACTTCGGATTACTAACAATTAAATGCAACCGAATCAACGGGAAAGGTGAAGAATACATCAGTAAGATATTACCCTACCCACATTTCAGCTAAACTAAGAAAATCCCATCAACTAGCTAAACTCACTTAAAGCAGCCCGAGTCTTAATTCAGACGAAGAGGAAGAAAAAAGAACCATAACTAGCACCACAAACAGGAAACCCATCTGAAAAAGAATATAACAATCAAAACGAAACAGAAAATAAACTCATCCGATGATCTATCAGATATTACACATCACACTTAACCAACGAAATACCCCTCTAAACATGAATTTAGAAGAAAGTTCTTATCACTGATCAATCAACAAATAATGTCAATCAAACAAAAAAAACCCCAAACACCCAAAAGATAAAATCAACATAAAATACAGAATCTTTATGAATATTTTACCGGGAAGGTCCCAAGGTTCAGCCTTGTAAATGTCGATATCGGAAATCAACCCGGCATGAAAAGGTCTCCCGAGAGTCTTCCTCCTCAAGTAGTACACCACGAGCTCTTCGTCGGTCGGTTTGAATCGAAACCCCGGCGCTAGTGAAGGCGATGTGTTAGAAACCATCGATCTGATGATGATGATGAGATTCAATTCTTCAATCGGCGAGAGAATTTAGCAGCCAAAATACAAAAAAAAAAAAGGCGAAAAACAAAATAAATAAAAAGGGGCTGTGCCTATCTTCTCCTGATATTAATTCAACAGAATTTCGTCTAAGATGATTTTATGATTTTGACTTTTTACAATATTTTAGATTAATAATTGGAAGAGTAATTGAGAGAACGAAGGAAGATGGAGAGTAATTCCATGGCGGAATAGATACACATTATTTTGACGTCAGGGGTTAATTAGAATTTTGGTAGGAATCCCAAAAATAAAGGAAGGGTTTTTGTTTGGGTTACGGGTCGGTGACCGCGGGTTAAGATTATTTAATGTAAAAATTATTTTTTAAATCTAATTTTATTAAAGCGGCTTCCAGAATGACCTGGATGATTCGGATCAATGGCGGCTTCTACCTTGTCGGAGTTAGGAGAAACAGCGAGCAATTGGGAGCCGGTGAAAATAAAGTTACAGTTTTACTCTGGTGTTTGGCCCCTGCAAAATCAATTTCTCCCCCTTTTCATTTTAAGACTACTACGTACTATTTTAATTTTTTATTTTTTTTTGGTTTTTTGGTGATACTGTCTTTACATTACCAATGTAATCTAACATTTCTATTGGGATCAAATCTGAGTTTTTAAGATAAAAATAAAGGTACCTTAGTGAATTGGTTAAAATTTTAAATCGCTGCATCGAATCATGTAGAAAAAAGAAAAGCTTTCATTTAAAAGATTAAGGCTATATTTGAATTTTTGTTCTTGTTGGGCGTGTTTTTTCGGTTAAAAATATAAAAATGTATAGAAATGTAAAATGATTTATTGAGACAGACAATATGTTAATAAAAATTTCTGAAAAAAAAATTTATTGGCATGATCAAAAGTAGGAAAATCATTTCTTTGAATTACAAAAATTTGAAAGATCATATAAACGTTGTGTATGCATCCACGCTACTTGTCTGTGATGCATACATTTAACAACCACCCGTCATTATTTCTTCGCATCTAACTCCTTACTACGATTATTTATCTTCACTATGATTGTTTTTTTTTTATAAAAAAAAAAAAAAAAAAACTAAACTAAACCAGGCCGCAATGGAAGAAGCTGCGATCTGGGTCGGTTTGAAATCAGTCGGCATATTTTTGGGCTTTAGTCCAAACAATTTGACTGAATTTATTAACAGTTTGGGTCGGAATGGAGCCCCACAAAAACATAAAATAACCGGATTATCGTTTTTTTTTGTAGCAGTGAATGAAAAATTTCAGCAATTGGCCTCAGATCTTTATAAGGACAAAATACAGAATTACGGGTTTCAGCCTGACAATAAACATAATCCAACTGTTCCAATACCAGAAATTAGGTTCCGGATAGACTTGAGTTTCTATAACAGAGAGCCATCAGGAGGCCATAAGCATTTGAAAGTTTTGTCGGAATTCACTGATTCCCTGTAAAGTTCACTGATTCCACATTTTGTCACTCTTGCTACTGTGGAGCGGGTCTGATCTGATCTGCCAAGAGATGGTGATTAATTAAGAGAGATACATAGTGAACCAGCAAGTAATGGTAAAGCTTTTTAATTTGGTCTTTTTATATTTTTAACCCATGAGTTTTCTTATAAGCTGTCAATTTATGATTTCACTTTCCGTTGCTCTCTCATAGGAATTGAAGTTGGGACTAACGCAATTGGAGCATCTCTGCTAGTAAGGGAAGCTTATAAGTCATGTTTTCTTTGAGCAAGTTGAGCTGGTTGTATTGCCGAATTTGACAACTCTTTTAAGTTCAAAACAATAGTATGCAATTTCAGTGAAATTAAGATGAAAGATACGCGTCGCATGCTGAATTGATGACAAATTCGTCTTGGACTCCTAGCTAGGACGATTGGTGAATGTGAATGGCTTTATAACTATGAGACAAATGTTCAATTAGGCAAATTGAAGAAGAACAATAGGGTAAGGGAAACCCATGCAAGTCAACCCTTTATTCTCTTTAAGTTTGTATGTGAATGTTGTTTGGTGTTTGGTTTCGGTTAAGAAATGCAAAATTTTGCTTCTAAAATGAGATGTGTGAAATCTTACATCTCTAATATATTAAAGTAGAGTTTTCAATCGGACACATGACGCGATATTATATAGGCTAATACACGTAGCGCAAAATTAGAGAGCCACGTCCACATGTCACAACTATATCACTCTATCATTTAATGGTAAATTTTTAATGTAAAAAAAAGTCAATTCATAGATTAAAAAAATTAACTAAAAATTACAAAAGTTAATCATGATTCATACGTGTATCGTTAGTTAATCATAATTCAGACGTGTATCGTTCAACACAATTCACCTTACACTAATTAAATTAAATTAAAAATTCACCGTGTATCGTTCAACATAATTCACCTTCAACTAATTAACTTAAATTAATAATTCACAATTAGTCTTTTTGTATAAGTTTGATTGTAATAAAATTAGAAATACTACTTCTCCAAAAAAGATTCAAGGGCTTCTTGCTTTTTATAAATACGCAAACCCTAGCATAATAGTATCAAGCTCCTTCGGCATCGCAAACATAATACTCGCACACATGTCATAACCACATCGTTCCATCATTTAATTCTATAAAATTTATAAATAATCAATTTTACCTGATTTAAAATCTATAAATAATCTATTGCACCACTTGATCATCAACAAATTGATCGTAGAACGAAACAGATATGCATCAAATGCGCCAGCCCAACTACTCCCTATTTGATCCATATTTGATCGTGCGTTCTGTTAGTTTTAAACGTTTATTGGCAATGTTCATGAAAATTCGTCGGATGTTTTTTTGGAGGTTTTTTTTGGTTTTTACATATTTGTCGTCGAGATCGTTCTGTCAACGTGTTATTAGTTTGGTTGTGGGATATTAATTTATGTGGTCGTAAGATATGTCTTGGGATGAGTTGTATTAATCTATGTGTTATTAGTTTTGTATTGAAGAAACAATACAAAAAAAATGAAAATTACAATAAATATTTCTTCATGAACCGATCTATAAATAACATCACAAAGAAATTTATTCGTAAGGAAATTAGTTGAGCAGAAAATCATCATCACCATAAGTAAGACATATAATAATCATCAATATATAATTCCAACCAAAAAATCAACAAAGTTGAAAATGTTCTAACGTTTTTTTTTTTTGGGAAATTAATTTGAAGCCGAGAAGACAATTTTTCAGATGTTACATGTTTTGGTATGCCAACAAATAAAAATCAGAAGCTGATCACTCTCTCAAGTGGTATGTTCTTGCTACATTTAAATATTTTATTGACAAATTTTTCATGGAATGTACATAATAAAATCTTTATGTTTGGTATGATGCAACCAGTCAGCTATTAATTATAAAAGAATAGAATAGTATACATGCTTAAATCATTCGGTTGGTGTAAAACTGTGAATATAATTATAGTTGCGGAAAACAATGAAATTAGGAGACACAAAAAAATCATAAATATACGATTGTATTATTGTATATAGTATTACTTTAAGAACGAAATGAAAGTGTTACAATATTTAAATTATTAAGCTAAAACATCACACAAATCCTTGCAACGCGGACAAAACTAAGAATTTTTTTTTTTTATAGAGGCTAAAAAGAAACCTTTCTTAGTGTTTTCCTCAATTTTTTTATTTCAGAGTATAAGTTAATTATAGTGAGTATTTTTTTTCCCCTCACTCCTATACAAATCTTTTCACAAGAGATTTCTATTGATAGAATTATTAAACTGAAGTACTTCCCAAGCCTCAAAAAGTTAGTCCATATCTTATTTCGTGATTTAAATAAAAATACTACAAATTATAAACACACTGTGGACAATCTTTTTAGTATCTGGAGAGTATATTATATCACTGCACAACATGCGGGTATAATATTAGTTGGTTGAATGATTATTGTATTTCTCTAGAATTCAAATCCAATATGAACCACAGACGGGGAGATTTGATGCTGCTTGTTTGTACAAATGCTTTTCATCCTCGGTCAATACCATGAGAATGGCTTGATCAATTCCATCATGCAACTCTCGTGTATAGAAAAAAGAAAGGAGGGTCATATATAGGGATATATATGCTCCTTCCATGAAAGGGTTAATTATACAATGTAATTGTTATGTCCAAAATAATTATCATGTTTTTCCTGTCTTGTTAGGTGGAATACAACGTAATGTACATGTCAAACGGAGATGTCCGTGAATTGACATAATAAGTGGAGAAAATGTTAACTCTGGTGTCTGCCTCGGTTGATAAAGAAAATGGAACTACAAAATAACAAAAGCGCGGCCGCAATGTGCGTATAGGAAAAAAGAAAGAGTTTGTTAAGGTGACTGGCAAATCGACTAACATAGTATAGGCATTTGCTTCCATTTTTCCCTTTTTCTTTTGGCGTGTTATGCTAATTAGCCATCCAAAGTCCAAATCGATCAAAGTTCACTACTCTCTTCCTTTCTTCCAACTACCCAAGATTTACTTCTCTGTGCCAAACACCAGCCTTATTTAAACTCCTTCCACAAACCAGATTTACTCCTGGGCTACAAAAACCCATCAACTTTTTCCCAACGTTCATCCATTCTCTTCTGAAACACACCAGATTTCAGGAAGCCATATATAAGCAATTAAGCATAGCCTTTTTCCACCCTTGTTAATGATGATGATATCACATGTAAAATTTCCTAATTAACTTCGCTGTAAAATTATAAGGTTATTGCCGAATCACCTGATATTGCATTCTAATACAAGAAAACTGTCGATTTTGTCACAAACTTTCACTTCCACAAATCGTATGTATGTAATGAATGGATCTTAGTTACTCTCTCCATGGTTTTGCTTTATGTTTTTTTTTTTTTTGTTGATATCATTACAGGAGAGATGATGATTCTCACAAATTTTCAGGAATTCTTGGAAGCTTTCCAAAGCACAAAAAAATCATTGGCGCTTAGAATCCAGAAACTCGAGTAAGTTTTGATAAAATGGCATTACTAGGTTTGGGAGATTTGGATGACGAGGCACGGCGGGCATTGATATATCCTCAAATGCATACCAGAAAACAGTTGGATTTTGTTTAGGTTATCTTCTGGACTAGTAATACTACAACTTAGATTTAAATCCAAGGTGGGAGAATCGAGAATGGCCGATTGGTTATTGGTTACATTTTTGTGGGAGGAGACCAGACTCGATTCTCATGGAAGGGAATTTAGGATGGGTAAGAGGAGCGGTGGTTGGTTGGGTAGTACATGGTAGCAAAAAAAAAAAAAAAAAAA